TTCTTTTTAGTTTTGCACAAATATAGGATAGTACATCGGGCAGGAGGTGCCGCATTTACAGGTTACTAAAGACACGATTATGATGCCTGCTTACCTCAGGTTTAGCAACGGTATGGACCAAACCAGAAGTGTACTCTGAAAACATTAAAGTCCTTTACAGTATATCTCTCTTTATATATTAAAACTTGCAACTTTGAGCTGAATATTTTTTGTTAAAAAAGATGCTAAAAATCAGCTGGGGATCAGATGTTTCAGATTTAACAAAACAAAGTTTAGCTGGTCACAAACAGCAGCTGGCATCGGTACGGGGAGGGTGTCTGTTCCTATCAGCACGCAACAAGGTGGGACCTGCCCGCTTTTGTATAGGCGTCATATAATCGGATTCTGAACTGGCTCAAATCCTGACATGCTGACACTCTTCCATCATCTTGACAGTTCCTTAGAATTCCGCGTAGAATTTGTGGTGGAAAGATTTTACAAGAGGAGGCATGCTGTAAGAGAAGGGTGTCCAAACTCAAAGTAGAAGAGAAAAAAAACCAAACAATTTTTAAAAACATTTGAAAAAAGAGAAAAAAAAAACTTATGTCAATTTCTCCAAATGCATTCTGGACATCATCCCCTCCTCCCCACACCAACTCCTTATCGCCTCCAGCAGAGCAGCGTGGGCAGACCTTCCTCCCACAGGCCAGCTGGATTACGCATGTTGGTCTAATCCCATTCATTCTCTCAGTCCTGTGTCAGACTGACATTTGCTGGACCACTGTGGACACGCAAACATGCACGCACATAGACGCTGGCTCAGGTGCCTGTCTCCGATAAGGGCCGCGTGGAAGCGTAAGCCCCAACAAAATCCCGTTTCCTCCCGTGATCCCCAGTTTGCCCTTATCACCGCAACCTGCTTCAAAGCCCTAAGCCCTCATGTCACTACATGCCCACAGCAGCTTTGTGTCAGGGATCATCTCTGATGTGCACACTGGCCAGATAAACTTGAGAATATTGTTTTTTTGTGACACAACGTCTTCCCTCTGAAGCAGTGTCCTCGAACGAGACAGCTGCTCACTTTGAAGCATTAAAAAACAATCTTGTGGTCAAGTACAGAGATTCTCTTTTTTTGTAAAACAGATTTAATTTCACACTTTTGTCTAATTTAGCACTGTCTTACTCATTAGTGAAATTCATCTCTAAAGGGTTTAAATGTGGGGCTGATTTTTTTGTCTTCAACTTTACAAATGATTGTTATCCTGCAGTTTTGGCACCAAAACAGATAGTGAGTGAGAAATGCTGTGCGATAACTCATGGATGAAAGTAGCAGCTGTTTACTGCTCAGACATGAACCGCATGATTCTGTAGAGCTGGAAATGCTCTGCTATTGTAATTTTTTTTCATAGGACTGACAGATGCTCTTATAGATGTCCATCAGTGGAAGAAGCTCAGTCAAATTCAGATGCAGCATCCTTGCTATTAGAATATGCTCACTGAAAACTATTGTTAAACTTTGTAGCAGTGTATTCCAACATACGTCTGAGGCCTCTGTCCTCAGTGTAATTGGCAAGTTGCTGTACCTAATAAAAAAATTTAAAAAAAAAGAAAAAAGCCATGTTAGTAAGTTAAGGGCCTGCCTATATCATATGTGAGATCTGTACTCATCCAATGTTAAATGAGATGATTATGCAGGTCAAAAGCCCAGATTCCAGTCCAGTGTTGCTGTCAGAAGAAGTGGATATTTTCACTTTAGAAGACTTTTCATTTATTTGAAGAAAAAGAGAAAAGCTTTTTATTGTGAATAGCTGAAAGCGACATTTTGCTTATTCCTCTTGCCTTGTTTTTGAAACAGACATTGTGTATGAGTCAGTGCTCCGTTGTGACAGTGATCATTATCTCAGCAGTAAGGCACACAACTTACAGTTGGCTTGGACTCTAAATGTCAACCACCAAAAAGAAATTCCAAAAATGACTGAAAATCAATATTCAGAAGGAGCTTTGTTCATCTTAAAACTGTAATAAGACTTGTCCTACAGAACACCTCAGTCATCAGGTATCAGCCCATCGGCGGCTGAGCCCTCACCCACAAACCCTGGTTTCCTCTCTCTGCAGCAGAGCCACTTTATAAAGATTTTTCGACGCTGTGACTCAGTCCTAATAGGCACAGTTTCCTTCACTGCACAAAATTGCCTCTTAGCATCACCGCTGTTTTTACAGCAAGCCTTAACTTAGCTATTTGAGACACATTTTTGTCATCCTGCCAGCATGCACTGGACAGTTTGTAACCTAGAAAAGCTGATGTCAGTCATGTTTAAGAAGAGGCTAAAAGTGGGGCACTAAACTCACACACGTCCCCCAGACACTCTTAACAAGTACACACACATTAACGTTTTTCAAAGTTCCATCTGTCTCTCTTTTTATTTTCTGATTGTTTCAGCCTCTTTTCAGGAGGCTCATTAGTGGCAGAGCAAGGCTTGAGCATCACGGTCTGCTTCTGAAGCGCTGGTGAGCAGAGAACACGTGCGATTTCTCCTCAGATAATTTCTGTCTTCAAAACAACCTGTAGTCTGAAAGGAAAGAAGCTGTGCTTTAAAGATGATTTTGTTTCTCACTGGCTCATTGCGAGATCATTTGATGATGCCTGTTTTTTGCCAGATGCACCGGCACAGTTTGACTTGACATAATTTATCAGCAGGTTGTTCTGCCTTGTTTTTTGGTTGTTTTTTTTGTCAGCTGACACCTTGTTCCTGAAAATCTGTTTTGCCAAAACGTGTAAATGCAGACGTGATCGATTGAGCGTGAGGTTGCCCCCCCTCCCCCATAGCCTTCATACTCACCATGATGCTGCAGCCTAGAGGTGTGTCACGGTGTGAGGGCATCAGAGGATTTTCTTTGCTCACCTCTTTGATTGAACTTTGGCTCCAAGCTTCCTTCAGCCACATTTATCACACCACTCAACAATCCTCTATTGACCCTTGATTGAACTCCCACCTCAGAAATCTTTAGGAATTCATTTTGACATCCAGATGGAGGGATGGACGTAAATACATCAGCTCTTGGTTATCACTTAAGATGACATCCCTCAGATTTCCCCCTCTGGTTGGTGTGTGGGATGCCTCGGGCTTCAAGAGGCTGCTATCCCCTCACTAAATGACAATCCACACTGTTATCAGCATCCCTTTCTTCTCTGCTGACATTTATCCACTGCTTGTTGTCATCGTTACACTGACTTTAACAGGAGAATGCAGTGTCTCTGCCTCATGTGGAGCATCTGAGATGAAAATAATACTCAACCCTCTCCTTCTCTGCTGCTTTCTTTCTTGTTTAAAGGATAGAAATAAGCCATGGCTTCAGTTTAAAGGTTTTTATGCCATAAAAAGTATAAGATTTCATAAAAAGAGGGTGAGGTCCTGCGATTCTTCTCTTTCCTATGTGCTGCAGCCCAGGACCAAAGAGATCATTAACTAGCAAAGTCAAGACCAACATCAGCCTTCTCTCCATTGTTTTTGATTTGAACCCAATAAATTAGACCAATGGGAGTGGGCATTAGGCTCTGTTGCTTGTCGCTGTAAATGAGTACCACAGGTTCTACTTATTTCCAGAAGCAACAACACCTGTGACAGACATCCACAAATAGACTATAAAGATGGGTCTTATCAAGAAAACCTGGCTTTTGATAATAAAGCAGCCAATATTCACTTTTTAGAAGTTGCTCAGTTATTGAGCTACTTCTAAAAGGTACAACCCCCCCAAAAAAAATTAAAGCAAGCCCTCTTGCTGAATTTGAAACTATGAAGAATATATCTATCAAGACAAAAACCAACAAAGCAACGTACACCACATTCGGTTGTTTGTTGTTATTGCAACAACTTCGTGTGATCTCTGTTTAGCTCTTTCTGCTGAGTCACTAAATGAATGCAAGCGCCTCACAGCACCAACGTCAGCAGCTCCTCATGTATAATGAATCGTCTGAAGTTGCTGTGAGCTGTAAAGCGGAGAATTCTTAGTGTGGAGTTTTTTTCCCACTGTAACAGCATCATTCTGTGCTGTTGCTGCATGATCTAGATTCATTAGTGATGCTTCCTGAATGTTTAAACGCGGATTTACTCGGTGGTAGTGAACTGATGTGGATACAGTTTTTCCTCTATTGTCTATAGGGGTTAGCTTGAATTATGGTGAACAGAAACCCTTCAAGCAAGCAGTCATTTCAACAGAAACCGCAGCAAGAGAGAAACTGCTTTTGGCAGTTTTGTTATTTTGCAACTCCAAAATTTGAAGGAATTTCCCCGAGGCTAAGTTTAATTTTCAGCATGTCAGTTGCATTTTTCTGATGTTTACACAATCAGAATTGGAGTGCTGCCAAATGTTGTGTAGGAAGTTATTGTTTAAGCATTGTCTCTTAGTAAAACCCTTATTTTTAGTCCATTCATCCTGATGTTTGTGACATTTTTTCTAGCTACACAAAGACTTTTAACTACTCTTCTTAATGGCTTGTGCAGACCAGTTTTCAGTTTCCTAATACCTTATAAGTCGTAAACTTCCCAAGCAGTTATATATAACTGAGGAAGCCTGTCGGATGTTACGTAAGAAAATGTCCTTAACAGCTTAGAAGATAAGTCCAGATTGGTTATTGTTTTTAACTTTGTACGTTTTTTTTTTTTAATAAAAGCCAGCTCACCTCTCTGGTGTCTCCCATTTACAGAATAAATGCTTGAACCACAGAGTTTTTAGAGAAAAATGTCTCTTCCTGAAAGGTTCATGAAAGCATCTTATTCATCTTCCCTCCTTTTCAGTTTCAGTGTAATGTCTGGTTCTTCTTAGCGCCCCCGTTGCACCATCTCTACCTTTTGAATGCTCCGAAGGCCACTACCTCATTGATCTACGCCTTCACGCTCCAGCACAGTCTCATGTTAATACTTTGTGAGAGTGTGTTGATGCACACATGTTCAGACGTCCTCTAACATGCAGGCGTTTTCACGCATAAGTGAGTACGCCCGTGTGTGGTGATTTAGCGTGAAATGGGACAGGTCAGGGACCTGGCCCACAGCACATTGGCAGGTGTTGACCAAGCTGAACTGATCTTTGGAGTGCAATTTTCGCATGCTGGACACTGTTGCCCTTTTCCCATCAGGCAGCACAGGTTCAGATTGAATCAATACCCAAGGTCCTGAAGCTAAATAAGCTCCAAAATGGATCTGCTGGTACATATTCTCATCGATACTGTGTCGATGGTTGTAGAAAATGCTTTGGTGAGAGGCAGCTTCACCCTCAGCATCTTCTGCGTTATGTTAACCTAACACACATTCATCAGAATATCCCTCCATGCCAAATGCGTCTCTTAGGCTTGGGGCTGTTTAGTTTGGCACTGATAGTGCACTGGGGTGTTCTGGGTCAACACCAGGGATTTTTCAGCCCCTCAAAGCCTGCAAGCCTTCCCTATCTGAACAAATGCAATACAATCCCCTGTAATCAAGCAGCTGGAAGGTCCTCCATGAAGGGATTTATTGGCCTGTGACAGGTGCCAATCTGACTCCGATAAGGATTTATGCAGGCCGGGCTCCTGATAGCATTCAGCAATTTCCTTTGAGACTTAAGAGCAGCCATTTATGAGGTGCTCAGTGTGCCACTGTGTGTGCAGTCTAAGACATTTTTATGAGATTTGGGTTGTGCCTTTGTCTTCCTCTTTTATCCAAGGCGATAAAAGTGCACCTGTGACTCAGCATTTATTCTTTGTATTTACACTTATCAAGCATTTTATTAGCCCCAGCCTCTATTCAGCCTGAACGCAATGTATTCCCCAAGATTGTGTTCAATCAACGATCCCCTGTTCTTCTAAAGAATAATTGTGTTCCACCTGGCATGTACACTGAGGAGGCTTTTGAAACCCCCTGAGCTCAATTTAACTTAAAAAAATAAAATAAAAATCGGTTTGCTTTGACTTACCTGGCACAAATGGATGCACATGACCCGCAGTGTTGCATCACGTGATCAGCTAGTTTACCTTTTTGTAAAAGTTACATTCTGCTGCTTCCCCTCATGTCCGGCTGGCTCTTGCCTCATTCAATAGATCAATTAAAGGCAGTTCAATGATGTGCCATCATAACGGAACAGGAACTATTAAAGGGCTTCTTTGGACCAAAGCACCTTTAGTTTGTGCCCTGATATTTGATATGAGCGAAACCCAAAAGTCCTGTAGGATCGTTCTAAGAATGAAAAAAAGTAAGAGATTTATGCAAGATCCGACCAAAGAATGGTGTAAAGAAATGCCACTTCAACCAGTTTTTTGGGGTGTAAGCAAATATGTTTGTGTTTAAATATTTGAACACACACAGGCATAAATAAATGTCTGTGTAACATAAAGGTATGTGGGTGTGTGTGTGTGTGAGGCATCTATTTGATGTATTACACACCAATAGCAAAGGAAAAGAAATGTCTAAATGGGTGGAAAGGCAAAAAGAAAGATGTAAGATAAGGTTTGCAGAGGGGACTAACTCCAGGAGTCAGTGGCGCGCACACACACACCCTGCCGCCCCTCTACTATCGTTGTCTATTATTAATGGACATGCAGGGTTCCCTTTCGGCCATCTGCGCTCAGCTCTCCCACTCAGAACCCATCGCTTCATGGCTTCCACTTTTCCAGGCTGGCATAAGGAGAGCAATGCTGCTTCATCAACAGTGTTTGATACATACGTCACAGTATTAGCGGATGGACCAAGAACAGAGAGAGGGAAATGAGGCACAAATTAAGACTCTAATAAGATGGACTTTCCATCGGTTTTACTTCCTTGTCGTGCTGATTGGCAGATTAAGTCAGAGTCATGTGGTGACTTCATCAGATTTAAGCGGACAGGACTGGCGGGGTTCGTTTCCCCTTTTCATGTTTTCAGATCATAATCAGATCACTGCCACACCCTCCTACGGTTAATAGCATATGGCTGCAGGTTTGCGTGGATCCGAACTGTAATTTATGACGGTGCATATTCAGCCTGACGGTTGCCAGGGGGATCCCGTGTCTTGCATCTCCTTTTATTGGCTGCGGGGGAGGTCACATGTGGCGTAACTTGGTGTCCAGCTGGGACAGGGGCCACATGTGGCGAGCCAGGAAGCGTGTAAGGTTGACGCGTGTTTGCAAACATGTGGCTGGGGCTGGCAGTTAATCTGTAGATTCTGCTTCTGTCGGGGTAAATAGAGTGCAAATATTGCACGTTATTGCATGCGGACTGAATTATCCTGGGGTAATCTTGGCTGACAATAAAGCAACAGAAGTGGACACCGGGAAGCCAGTGGCTGTTGGTTGTCATTGAGGATAAAAGAATGGATTAAAAACTAAGTTATCACCACATCATGTGACTTGTTGTTTTTTTCTTCTCCCCTTTTCCTAATGGAGTTGGTGAGGCTTTATTCTCTGGTTGGCCCTGAGTTAAGACTCCCCGGGGAGCGCGAGATGAGAGGGAAATTAATAATGTGTACGGATCCAAAGGCTCTGACTGCATCAAAAGACTGAAAGAGTGCAGGGGGGTGGATTGGAGGCAGAAGGGGAAGCTAAAAACATGGGCAGAGAGAAGAGAGTGCATTCAGACACACAAACCACCTTTGAGCAAAGGCTCAAAGGTAAGAGGAGTGACATTATAAAACACATAAAAGAAGACTTCAAAAAAAGCCCCTTGAATAAGGCTAGCTCTTAAAAGGATCCTCAATTGAAAAGTCATTCCATCAGTATTGTTTTAAGCCAACGTGTTTTGTTTTGTTTTCTTTTGTTTTCTTTTTGGTTCAGCCCTTAGCCAGCTAATACCAAATCAAATGCTGTATTTCATTGATACTGAGACTGAGCCCATAACTCTGCTAAGTATTTCATTACAAATAAGCGCTTCTCACTCGAACCAGAAGCAAACATCGAGTCAATGTTAGGGCATTTATCTCATAACTAAGAGTAAACTTCTAATGTGGACGTTTTTGATTTGGTATTAATAGCCTTTAATGAATGAAAAGTCAGGCGCAGGGCTGGCACAGTCGGATTGTGTCTCTCCAGGCCAGCGAGGCTCTGGTCCCTATGTGACCCATCTGGCTGGAAGCCAGCTGTCTGCCATCCTTTGAACCTGAGCTATCCCGAGCCGAAGGCAGCTGTGTTCATCCAAATCCTACACCAGGCACATTAAATATTCATTGCTCTTAAATACCAAATTTAGCCATCCATATGACAGTTTCTATCACTTCTTTAGATTTTAATGTGTTTCCTCACTGTTTATTCGGCCTTATTTGCACAAAGATAATTTGGGCTGATGGGACTAAAAACATAAATACGACGCTGCTTTCTGCCATATGTGATCCCTCCCTGCAGCATGGCCAGGTGGGCAGAGCGCCATCAAGCAGAACAATGATATCCGTCCACAGAGACTTCATAAAACACCCTGGCCATTGTTAAAAAGAAGAAACCAAGATGCATTTGCAGTCTACTGTTTTTCTGCTCATCTTTTTCTCTCCTGTTCCAGCCCATGTGCACCATACCATTAGAATTAATAATAGACGCCAAGTATGAGGCTATGCTCATATCAGACTCATTAAGTGGGAAAGGAACACTCACACTGCTCAACAAAAAGTTTAGTAATTAGTAATTTGATCTATAACATTGCTCAATGTGATAGCCTCTCTTTCTGCTAATGATAGTTTTAAACACCTTGAATAGAAAGATTTAAATGGGTTTGGACAGAAGTGTTCGACAGGCCTAAAGTTCTGGTCCTTTTTTCATGGCAGAGGCTCAACTGGAATGATAAATAGCACAGGCGCACAGCCACCACCATTGTGTGCTCAGAGAAGACGGAGTTGGATGGGAGGTCTTGGATGACACACCTGCCCAGAAAGAGAGGTTGAGATAACACTTTTCTCCTCCCTGTCGAGGAGACAGCTGGCATTGGCACGGTGTCGCAACCTGAAACACACCCAGGAGTGGGTAATGAGGCGTAGGCGACAGGGTTTGTGTAGTCAAATACTGCGTGTGTAGCCATGTGTGTGTTTTGTGGTAGGCCATTCCCTTGTCTTCCTGAATTCGCCTGCAAGCACGCCATCTGTACCACTCAACCACAAACTGTCCCAGTACATGCCTCATAAGTGGCCCTGCGTCGAAACGGTGGCATGTTTAACCTTTTCAGTGCTACAATTTGAGAACCGCACTGTTGTAGAGTAAGAATACGCAACTCTGAAAGGGAACTCAGAGCTAGAATGTCCCACCACTATTTTGCACCATTAATTAAAGTCATTCAGTATTCTTAGGAAAATTTGATTCCTCCTTCTTCTGCATTGCTAACCATTCTCCGACAGTTGTGGTGTGTGTATACATATATATGTATATAAAAACTCAGATGATGTAATAATAAATTGGGACTTGTCCAGTTCAGTTGTACTGCATGATTAAATTAAAGTGGCACCCAGCCATCCACATCATGCCATTAACATTGACAGAATTACGTGTGGACAGTCGAATGTGGCGCTGCATATGCCTAAGAAGGGTTGCTAAGAGACGCACATGTATTGTTTCCCCCACAAAGGACACGTGGGGCTGTGATCATGATCTTGGCTTTTAATTATCTGCCGCACTTCCTTTAAGGAAATCATTTCTTTTTTGGATAAACTTGCCTCTTGGAAGGTTTTTTTAGTCAGTAAAACCTGACTGATGGCTCATTACATTTGCCACTGTTTTCATATTTATGTGGTGTTTATCAAATCTAATTATCCAAATATTGTGTACTCTTCACCCTAAGTACAGACATTTGTTTTAGAAATGTGTAGATCTATGATTGACTGTTAATACGTATCATTTCAGGTTATCTCCGCCCTGTCCAGGATCTCCCACCACAGCATTGCACAAATCAAAGGCATAAGGTATGTAACTTTTCATTTTTTATTTCAGCTGCATGTTTGCTTCAAAACATCAGTTTCAAATTAGCCATTTAAAAAAAAAAAACATTCCACATTCTCTAACCTGGATGATGCTATTAACATTGGTCTCTGATTTAAATTTAATTTACATACAGCAATTAGCTGCAGCTTTTAGCTTTTACACTGTCTTAAAGAGCAAAATCCTGCATGCTGCATTTCCATCTCTCACTCCAGCAGCTCTACATCATTCTGACTCAGACTGCTTCCTTACACGCAGGGTCTTCTTCTTTTTTTTATTGAGTGTTTATAAGGTTTGTTTTTGTTTTCAAAACTTTGGAGAGGCACTTCTATTTTTTGTGTGTTTATATTGTTTGTTTGTTTTTGTTTTTGTATTCTAAACTTTGGAGAGGCGGAACAAATTCTTATTTTTTTCCTGCGTCTTTATCAGAGCTGCATCTGGCATCTGATCTCTCTTCATCTGCTCAATGTGCTTGGAGCTTGTTTGTTCCACATAAAAAAGCCATTTTATCTGTCTTAATACATTGATGGTGTGTGGCCATTAGGAGCGGTGCCAGGAAATTAAAGAGTGGTTGGGGGGGGGCGGGGGGGCTAGCACGAGGGAGAGCAGGTCCCCCGCGACTAATAAAGGAAAACACAAACCAACCTGCAGACGGATGGCTTATTGCTGCCACTTCACGCTAACCGCTGTTTGGCTGTGTGGCACAATCGCTGCTCTTTTTGTCAGAGCATTCAAAAGTCAAAACCTTTACCTGGTGATGTATAAATAAAGACATTAAATAAAATACTATGACAAAACATGTTTTAAGATAGGATCTGTGACATTCTCATCCCTCTTTTTACATAGTATGCATGTCTTCTTGTCTACTTACTTGCTCATAGTAACTTGATATCTATCAATTATTGACACTTAACACTTAATTACTCCCTAAATGGAATATAATTAATATTAGAGGACATGAAAAGCAGATGGCTTTGTTTGTCTTATCATATTTCTGTCTGTCTCTCTATCTCTATCTCCCCCCCCCCCCTCTCTCTCTCTCTCTCTGTCTCTATATATATATATTTTATGGAGATGCTCATAATGCACTAAGGTAACATATTTTCAGTTTGATGTTAGGCCGCATTTAATTATGGCCCTCTAAAAAGAAAACACTAGGAAAACACTAAGTTACTGTAGACTGTTAAATGTTAACTGGACTAACTCCCTGTGGAGCATTCAGTATGGGAATAGTTATATTTGGGCTAAGAAGAAGTTAACATTACTTTTGTGAATATTTAGTTTCTGGCCAGCTGTGAGTATTGAAAAAGAAGCACGTAGAAAGTTTTGCAGATAAACGAAACGCAAGTTAACCTGCATTTTTTGAGACTGGGATTTATTTTCCTTGCCATCAATAGAAATAGATCTATTTTTTGTCTAGTTTATAAAATCTATCTAATTTATTCTAATATTATAATTTATTATTTATTCTTTATAATTAATTCTAATGATCTAATTTATGAAATAGAAGAATCTGGATAAGTGTGAGCTTATGTGCTAAAATAAGCTTATAAAGGTTTTGGAGAGAGCGGCTGAAAAACAAGCAGAAAAAAAAAGCAATGAACTTATTGATTCTCGGTGGCTGCAACAGAAGTGAAAATTGGACACCACAGGCTAAACATTTAGCTGATTTAAACTTAGGAGGGTTGTGTGTCTTCAGCTTAACTTAGTGCTCTGTCTTAGCATGACATGCAGCCTCCAGGAAATGGATTTCCACACATTGTGCCACTCGCTATGATTGGTCCTAATAGCATTTGGGGTAAAGAAACTAAATGAAAACACAACACGTACTCAGGATATTGATTTATCATGTTTGTACGTGACGTCTCTTTCCTGGGAAGATTTCTGTTGTCGTAGCTTTGCCACTCAGTTAAGTTGTATTCCCACATTTCTGCTCCTTTCTGAGTTACAGAGAATTCAATAGAAGCAGTGGTTACACAGCATTTGTTAATTCCAACTCGGGCAACACACATACCCATTTTGATACATAATGAAGCCTGAGGTTATTTTCTGTCTCTTGCCATTCCGACCACAGGCTTTGCAGATATGCAGAGGAGCATAAGATGAATACAAATCCAAGGCCACAAGCAGCAGGATGTGAACAGGGCAGTTATATAACATGTGTACTCACTGACTCACGCTGGTTCTTTTTTTTTTATAGATATCTTCCAAACTGTTATTCTTCAAATTGTTAGTAAGTTGGCCTCAAGGAAACATGTTTGAAGAAAATGCTCGAGAATGATCTTCTTTTCATGGCAACTCGTTTGTATTTTATTTTATGATAAACCTAATTAGTTATGTACCGTAGTTGGAAAATATGATAGTCAACATCAAACTTGTGGAGTTAAAGCCTAACACACTGTTTTTGTCTCTGGTATGCACACATAGAATGGGTAAGTATGAGATTAATGCAGCACCACTAATATTTAATCACGCAGAGCAGAACAGAGTCCAAAAAGGCTTCAAATAAAGTTTTCCGATCAGCTTTAAGATGAGCAAACAACATGAAGGAAAGACAAGAAACGAAGAACAATGCCACTGACTGTGGTGCATCACCATACAGGTTCATTTAAATGCTGCTCAAATAGGGAGCATCTTGACATTTAATTTAATATTTCTAGCCATGTTGTCAACGTGACAAATGTTGACTGTGGCCAGCTGAGTCGTGCAGTGAATGATAAAGAGGGACATCTTCAAGGTCTTTCCTTTTTTTTTTCAAAATCCGGTATGTTCTCTCAGGCTGCATTGAAAGATATGGTTCAAGAGTCAGGAGAAGCAGGCGTATCTGTCCATCGCTCAGTTGCCCGCTGGCGCTCCAATACGGCAGCAGAAGTGGCAAAAAGATGTCCTCAAAGCTTCACCTCATAAAAAGTGTAGCTTTAAAGAAGTGATTGTTCATAGATTCCACGTGTGACACGCTAAAACAGAGGCATTCTGCTTTAAGTCGAGCAGCAGACAATAACCCCAGCATCCTATAGCTGTAAGCACACCATATCTGACTAACCATTGAGCTCTTAAGTGACCAGAAAATTCCTGTGTGTAGCTATTTCCTCTGGTTCTGTCATTGATCTCTTCTGATCCCTGTAATAACAACAGTGTGTTAGCATGAACACTTACTGTATCGAGTGCATATTTTCTAACATAGAGGACGCACGCTAAATTATTTTCTGTTTTTTGTAAGCCTTATTCCAGCCCTATTCTCCTCTTAGGCAAAACAGTGAAGCTTTGTTTACAGGGGAAAAAAATGCCTCAGAATTCTACAAAGCGTGAGGAATCTGTACATTTCAAATTTCTGTTATGTACAAAATGTAAATGCATTTAGGAAACAGTGCAAAAGTCACTGCTATTAGACATAAAAAGTCAGTAAAAAACTTCTACTTATCGAGAACTTACTTTGTGAGAGCATCAGCTCTGCCATAAACGGGACTTGAATCCCTGATCTGTTTCTGTGTGCAGGACCATATGCCGCCATCTCCCAGTGTCTCTCATGAGCTGACCCCGGTGTTCTCACAGCTCTCCCTCAGAATGAGCATGTCGTCCTCTGTCCTGTTGTTGTCCTGACTGCTGCTTATCTTTGCTTTCCTCAACAGTCCCCCCCGCTTTAACCCCTCAGCCCTTCTGTCACGTCCCTGCTGTTTCGTTGTTGTCGAATAGGAGGTGCATGAAAAGGGAGTTCAGAGCAGATCTATCCGTTTAATGTTTCACACTGCAGATGTTGTCACCAGATGACAATCCTTACACTTGGCGTGTGTAGCGTGAGGGGGTTAGCACGGAATGGTTCTGATGCACAAAATGTCATCTAGACCAGGATAATCTTTGATTATTTAAACAAGAAAATGCCAAGTCAGCCTCAAACGGCTAAAACTAAATATCTGTGTAACACAAATTTCCGAAGAATAAAAAAAAAATCAGTGCATGCCACTTCCACATCGGACATTAGTATGCAGTTATCACATTGCACATCAAGTCTTTATTTTTAACACATATTAATGTCTGCTGTGTTATCATTATACACTAATAAAATTGTTAATATGACTCAAAACTGCAACAAAAGGGAATTGTGGCACTCATTTATACATGGCTGGCACTAGGCCTCTCCAGGCAGAGCGGCTTTATAGACATAAATAGCTCAGAAAGTGGCAAAGTGCACTTTCTTAGTGGGAGCTCCTGCAGTTTATCGACCCCTGCTGAAAGGAAGACGTGTCCTGGGACATGAAACTCCTGCCACTGCTGACTATTTGAGACACTTTAACACATAGCAGCTACAGTGTTGTTGTGCTGTTCGACAACAACTGATCAATGGGACCGCTCACTGCAGCTGTGTGTTGCACACATGCTTTTACAATGCTCCCCAGGACGGCATGGAGACATGGCCGCAGAGAGCCTGGCATGCCTTAGTTACACAGCTTACATGAAAATTGGGAGAAAGAATAACAGTGAATTATCAAAACCTTTGAATAAAGGAAGTGTGCAGTTTTTATTTTATTCTAATTAATTCAGGTGTGCCGAATAATTGCTTTGCCACTTTTTGGTCCATTAGTAATAAAATAGAAATATTTCAAGAAAAGATTCCTTTGAAAATCAATGAGAACATACCCACTTGAGGGAGGAGTTAGACAATTAACAGTTAGTAAGATGGTAAAAGAGAGAAAGCCCTTTCAAGAAAAGCTAACCAGTATCCACTATCTCTCAGCTTCATTAGAAATAGAAAGTAATAGACATAAAGGTTTGTCTTAGGTTACTATCTAAATCAGATTTACACAAATGTGTTTGTGTACAAAAAACCATCACAATACTGTGTTATGATGCTTTTTTGCACATCAAAGGTAGCACAGCTCCAATATCACAGGCAAACTGACATCAATTTAGAGCACACAAAGGTCAAACAATTTTCCTACTCCTGGGTTTTCCCCTTCTTTTCTATCTGGAATGTATTGTATTTTTGTTACTGATTTAGAAGTGATGCGCATGTACCCCGTCAACTGGCACATTAGGGACATTTTGTAGGCGACATCACGAGCCAAAGGTTTTATTATGTTGTGGCATTTTTGTTCAGAAAAGTGTACAGAACAAGATTCTTTCACATTAGCACGACTGCTCAAGGATTTAGTTTTTGAATAAAAATAAAACAGCCGAATGGCCTGAATAGTTCTTCCTAAGTGAGGTGAAGCTCCTGTTATCAGTTTTATTGTAGGCAATCACATGTTTATTTACGATAAACAAATACAAAATAAAAACAACAAATTATGTTATTCCTACTGAAATCATATCAGTCAGATAACATACTTCATTATGGCTAGTAACTAATTATTAATACATTCTCCAGCATCCCAATTTCGGTTCTTAGTTTCCACTGATGTAGCTGAGATGCTGGTAAATCCTCTCTCAGTTCCTGACTTGACGACCATCCTTTGAAGTCACCGTAAAAGTAACTTACAGTCAACTTTGCTTTACTTCCATCTAGAATGAACCACAACAGAGAAACTCTGCTGGTCCAAGTAATATGCCCCGACTTTAATCTGTTATATAGCTGTGCAGAGTCTCTTACCGTGAACCTGTGAGGGAATTTGTTTGCGAGCTGTCAGTTAAGTTCTAAGAGAGGAAAAAACCATGAAGGCTTTGCCTTTTTAAGACATCGGCCCACTGTGAAGGAATTTGTAATCAATGCCTTCATGGGAAGCGAAATCTCCTGTCAGGTGTACTGACAACCAACAAAAATGAATTAAATAAGGGGCTAATGTTGAGTTGTAAAGAAACTGAAATTCTCTAAATAGAAAAACTAATCATTTGGTTGCCCAATATGCTCGCTGCTTTATACGAAGCAGAGCCAATCATGCGCGAGACACACACTGCAGAGCGGAGATGAAATGTCCAGAGACGGCTCATCAGAGGTGTGCTGATGAAATTATGAGGATAGTTCAATTACCCCTCGTAGCATCGTTTAAGGGAAATGAAAACTGCCGCTCTGGATGTTGCCTGGCTCCACAAAACAACACGGAGGTGATAGATACGTGCGCGCCGCACCACAAACTACCACGTAATTAGATTTTGCCCTGTGAGACTCCATTAATAACTTAAAATATAATGCACACTTCATTGGAGGGGGCCATTGAAGGTGGGCGGGTTATTGCGCTCTGGAGGAGGCCCCCCTCCCCGCGCTTCATAACGGTGGAGGAGAACTTACCATAAATCAGATGAGGCAAATTTAGTAAAAATATTACTTGTAATTAGCTTTTAGAAATAAAGTTTTTAATGAAGTTGCAACTCTTAAACAAGAAAGAGAGAAGCAGGGCGATTACAGAGGATTCTCTCGCCGCGTGTGCGACCGCTGACCTTTCATTAACCTAAGGACGGAGGCTCTCTCTCAGAGTGACCGCTGCTTTAATTATGCCCCTGTCGATTGGTGCCACACACAAACACCTGCAAAACCCAGTGAGAGCATCTGCCGGTGAATGCTCTCACTAAGCTTTCCACTAACAATGTGCGGCAACTGGCCTTTTGCCTCTCACGTGCTGCTTCAGTCATCTCTTTTAGGAGGGGGAAGATCACAGAAAGTAACCAAGCCATTTGATCAAACACTTTTGGGGCTTTCAGAGCTGAGTGCGCGCAGTCTCCAGTGCTTCCATGAGAGCTTTAAAGGTCTTGTGTGTGACACTGAACTGTCTACGTCGACTCCCTACTCACTTCCCCCTACACATAAATTAATGTTTCTCTTTTTTTATCTCAACACCAATACAGTTGTTGATTGAAAGCATCATTACTACACATGGTACACATTGGAATAATATGGACCGAGGATACAAAATACCTCTTAATTCTGTTGTTACTGTGCAGGTTTGTTTGTCTGATTCCAAAACCATATTACAGAAATTCAGCTGAAGCCTTCACAAGTGGAAAAAAGATAAAACAATACATCAAATCACATCATAACCGTTTTATTTCCCCCTGTGATGATAGGGATGCTCCTAAATGTTTTTGTTCAGACAGACCAGCATTTAGCAGCATCTTCCAGCAAACAGGAACACAAACACCAAGTTGTCCTTTTCAGTTGAAAAGAAAAGCCTCGCCACTGTCGGTGAATTGCATACTGATTGTGCTGGGTTCACTCCAGTGAAGAACTTGGCTGCAATATTATCCATGAACTGGGTTATCTTTCCTTAACATTGCATGTGGTAGATTGTGCTCTCACGTCAGCATATGCTGCGGGGCAGTTAATACGTTTTGTGTCCCTGGACGCAATTTCTGGTTGGGTCCACTAATCCATTTACCCCACAAATGTTGGGGAGCACAGTATGGAAAACACTGCAATACTTCCTGTTCAGTTTTCCGACTTCATAAGCTTTTTAAATCAAGTTTCATGGCAGAAATAACACATATTTTCCCTGTGCAGTGGCAGCCGAAGGAGGATCTCAGTGATCTTTTGCTTTGCCATCGTCACATTCCATCATGCTTTTTCAGTGAATACTCGCTAAACATAAAACAGAAACAACAAATGGGGCAAATGGAGAAAAATTGCATTTCTTATATATTCTGATATAATTTTCAGTCACCCCATTCAATACATTAAACAGATTTTTAGTCGTCCATTAATCATCTCATAAAAGATTAGTCTTCCTCGCTATAAAATCCCTAAAGTCCTACATGTGCCAGCTGAAATTCTAAAAAAACAAAAAAAAATTTGGGACAAACTTGACTCTTAGATGCCCCATGCTCCATTTTAAACAATGGTTCATGTAGTCTATTGAATATATTGAGTTATCACGCATTCCAGACATAGTGAGCTCTCCTACAACGTAATTAGTTGGACTACAATGGTAACCTTGCTGGTTAACTTGGGTGGAATGAGGTTTTATTTTGCGTCTGTCTCACCCATTTGTTCTGTGTCAAGGCCGCTGTCAATATGCGGCAGTTCATCAGAATACATCTGTACTTTACTCTACAAGATATCCTGTTCATTTAAATACATTTTCATTAAAGACGCCACAAAAAACAAATCTTAAAAAAAAAAGTTTTTAAAGTGTTTACCAATATATGCTGGTTAGATAAGATTTATTAATCAATAACTACAACTTAAGGACTGGCATTTATAATCAAAATTATTTAATCAAATATCAATTCTGGACCAGTGTATTGGCTTTCACACAAAATACTGTAAAATGTATATTTCAACTGATTATTTATTCATCTGTCAGGGATGGGAAAGTGGCAAAAGTACAATTAACACTGTCTGCCCTATAAAAACCAATCCCGAGCTTTCAAATGATGCTCTGAGATATTTGAGATCTTTGAATAGATTAGAGATAATTCACTTTTGTTCACTGAGCTAATTGATTAATCATCCATCGTTTTTCTGCTCAGTTACTACCCTGAGAGTTGTTGTTTGTTGCTGCAGTGAGGGCAGAAATGAGAAATCGATTGCTGTTCAGCGAGGTGACATAAAAGTCTTATTAATGCTTTTGCTGTTTGTTTCATTCAGGCAGTGAAGGTCACACTCTGCCGCAGAAAAATTGCAGCTGTAGTCATTTGTTTTTCCCTTCTATTTATTCTGTATTACGTTACATTATCTGTAAATCCTTGAAAGTTGATTGATACGATCCCTTTTTATCATTCATCCCAAAAAATGTTTCATTACCTGAATTCCTACATATTCGGCTGTGGGAAGACGACAGGCTTCCTGTCAGTTTAAGTGTTTTGACTTGCTTTACCAGCTTTGTTTTTGACTGATGGTCTTTCTTTTGAATGCATCCTGCTGTTCAGCTATGAGTGATGGTGGGAAATGACACAAGCCAACAGACAGAAAGCAAAGTTTGCAGCCAGCTAATTTTTCTACCTGGGACAATGTTGTCAGTGCTGACAAATCGTTCTGTAACCCCATCTAACTTTGTGTGTTTTTATGTATGCGCCAGGCCTTTTCCATCCGAGGACACCGCCCTGAATGAGGATGATGTGTACCGGAGCCTGGAGGAGTTGGCAGAGTAAGTGTGCAATCTACCAACAAGCACCCACACAGGATTTTTTCCACCCCTTTTCTTTTTTTTTAAAAAGGAAGCTCTCACTAATCTTAACCATATACAACTGTCCAATCTCAGATGAGTAAACCTAAACCCTGATATCAGTTTTTCCCAAAGTTGCCTTGAATCACCTTAGCTTATTGCCAGAACATCATGAAGGCAACAGCTTTTTTTTTTCCGAAAACATGGAATGGAAAAATGTTTTTACGTTCTCTAAAAGCAAACAAGCTCAATGTATTTATTTATTTATTTTCACAATTAAAAATGGTGACATTTCTGCTTTCTGAAAAGGGACACTTTTGGGTTCCACTGTATTGATGAGCACATTGAAAATATTTATTCAAACCTCTACTGAATTTGTAAGTCGGCTCATTTTTGAAGATGTTAACAATCAATAATGTTTATGGCTGGTTATTGATTATGGAAATTACCAGAATATGGGTTTAAAAAAAGAGTTAAAATTTAAATATTTATGTGGGTTTTATTAAGTAAAAAAAAAAGAAAGACTTTGATCCATATAACTCAGACAAAAATTTGGCTCCCAAATATTGGCCGCTGCTGATGTGGCATACACCTGTGCACAATCAACCAATTACCAATCCTCCTGATTTTACTAATTATGTATATAAAGCACACCTGTTACTGTCCAATCTCTTGTCTACAAGAATAGGTGAGACCAAAGGGCTCCGGAAAGTCACAGGATTATAAGGCTACACAAGGCTGGAAGTGGTTACAAAGCCATCAGCAAAAGGATAGGTAGCAAGGTGACGATTGTCACCACAATTATTCAAAAGTAGAAGACACTCAAAGTGGCCATCACTTGCCCAACAGTTCGGAGCTCTGTCTTGGAGTGAGGAAGATCCTGACGAAGGTAATGGAGCATGAGACTCCACGTGAGGGCTTGTCATGGAGCAGAAGCTGCCAGTTTCCAAGCAGCAGCCCAAATATTTGAAGTATGCGGGGAGTTTCTCTAAAGACCAAAAGAAACATCCTGTCGCTGTGCTAGCTAACAGCATTTTCTAACATTTTCTAATATTGTGTGTTTTAATTGCGTTTTTGATTGATATGCAAACAACCATGAAAATTACTGTTAACTTTGTAAGTGAGCAAACACCCAAATTCAGTAGGTCTAATCTAATAATTATATCTCCCTGTGTATTTGTGACATGCAGTCCTCATAGTGTCTTCCAACCGCTTTATTACATAAGCATTAGGTCCTCTGTCACTCTGCCTGTTGCCATGGTGACACCAGCCCTGCTCAGGACTATGGCCGGGCTTTGGCAACTGTTTTCTGTTGGATGGGCCTCGCTGTGTGGGAAAGAGTCGTATGCTCACAGGGTGGCAGCGGCGGCGACAGCAGCTGCTTGACTCAGATTAATGGACAATAATTAGTTAACTGCTCTGAGATGGATGTGCTCCGTCACAGGACAATTGGAACTGGTGAGAAAGTGAGGAGTAGAGAGAAAAGCAAAAGCCGGTCATAGACGTATCTACAAATATATGCCTTCTGAATGCATGGTTATGTTCTTCAGTGAAGCCACAGGCAAGAGGATGGGAGTTGTTGCCAAGCAGGCTAATACTGGATTACAGTCCATATACGCGGCTCAAGCTGGTAGCTTGCATCACGAACATTTAAATTAGAAGTGTATGGGCTCTGATATTGCTATTCAGTCAAATATGATTTCACAGAAAGAATCCTCCAGTAATAGAAATGCTTAAATTAAAAAAAAAAGATGCATTGATACAATTTTCATATCCCCTTCAAAACTATTCTCAGTTTGCAAAGATCTCCCACATACCTCCACCTGCTTCAGCTCTTTTGGATGGAAACCAGATCATTTCTAAATCATCTGAGAGAGCTGAGCCTCCCCCAGAGTCTGTCCTTTGTGGGGCATGTCTGAAACGCCTCCACTGGGAGGCTGCTGGTACGCAACATATGCCCAAATAACCACAACAGGCTGTTTTCAGTGGGGAGTAAAAGCAACTCTACTCCAAACCTCGTCCTAATGGACAAACTCCTGTCTTCATCTCTGGGTAGAAAGGGATTTTTTTCCCATTTGATTTCTAACTAATTAACAGATATTTTAAGCAGGTAATCTTTCTCAAATGTGCAAAAAAAGAGGGGGATGTAAAGCTCCCTTGTATCCATGGCAACAAGTGCCATTGAGTACCACAGCTACATAAGTATGAACATGTAAAATGTGCATGTGGGGTTATTATTCTCGTCCCTCCTCCCCCCCGCTATCGTTATGGCAACCTCTGACATCCAAAAATCCCCTGTCTCCCATGACTGAAGTTAACCCCTGTCACTATGACAGCAGCCTCTCTGAGCCAGCACGTTGAGTTCAATTGTTTCTCTGAAATTGTCTGCGGTGTCGCGGCGCCGTGCTTCAAGAGTAACCGATAGGTGAGGAGGGCAGTGTCCAGTGAAATTAATTGTGCTGTCCTGACCTTTTACAAGGAGCATTTGTTTCACCGGCGGACAAATGCATTACTGATTCATCAGCAGGTCTTAATACACTTGAACACACTTGGAACATAGGTCACGCTTGCAATAGCTCTGCTCTCAAAGACTTATTAATTATCCTGAAATATTGATGCATGAGTGACTTACGATGGGCGCATGACTGAACTGCAGGAGAGAGGGTGAGGACAATGATAACCTTAACGCAGTGGTAATAGTCATGTTTTATGGATGTAAGATCATTCCTTTCCCCAGTGGTTGGAAGTAGTGCAATGAAGGGGCGTGCAGTGTCATAAAAATAGCAGAATGGAAGAAATAACACCACAAATATTGAACATAGGGGGGAAAGTATGAGTGTGGAAAGGCAACACAATTTTCTAGCCTAAAAATAAAAATGTATTGAAATGTGATCATTGAGTTCAATGATATGATGACAGAAACATAAACAGACACTGAAGTCTATAAAAATGGATTTTGACTTGAGGCTTTAAAGGCAGACATCATGGGAAGACTAGTCCAGCAAGCATATATTTTATTTTACTGTGGTTTATGTCAGAGCCAGCGTGAAACAGTTATCTCTGTGGATGCTGAACGTACAGTCACTATAAATTGTGGGCACTTGGTCAGATTTTTCATGGCATCAAGACATCTGCCTTTGCAACTTGTAGATGTACTAACTTTTAACCACAGGATTCTTTTCCTTTGGCAAACATCTCTTTCAGCACCATCAGCAAGATATTTCAGTTTTTATTTATTTATCCATATTTAAATTTAAAAAAAAATCTAGTAAACGGGCTTTGTTTGCAACGTTCAACTGGTTCCCATGAGCTGGTTTTATATCCGTGAGTCTGCATCCTCAGCTTCTCAGCAGACCAGACTCAGTCCAACTGCTCGTTTCCTTATAAACGTCTGATCACATTTTTAATAGTTATTTTCCTGCACTGTGAACAACTCAAGACTTATATATATTTTGTGACATACCTGGCGGGCAATGGGCCCAGTGCGGCTTTTTCTGGGTGTTTTGCTTGACTGCGTATCGTTTTAAAGGTTAAGTACAAGTCACTGCAGTCGGTGGAGGATTTTCTCATTTGAAATGTTATGTCAGAAATACTCATGTCAGGAAAGGTGGAGTGAACCCTTAAACTGTCATTAAGTTCACTCCTGGAAATGCTTCCTGGAAATGTGAGCCACGGCTATTCTGTCCCAGTTAAGTGTGAATCTGTATAACGCACATTGGTTTGCATTATTTTAGTCTATATCTGTTTCACTGTCTAATTGAGGTCTTACAGGTTAATATGCTAAATCCGGTCCGTATGTCCTCCCTCCGGCCCTCAGATGTCAAGTTTTCACCTCGTTTAACTCCAAGTCCTCTCAGTCTGGAATGACTTCATCTTGGAGTTGACAAACCATGAAATGGGGTGGATCGTGCACAGCTGCCAGGGGACGTCTTCCTTTGCGAAAGGCGCACGTAGATTTCCATTTGGAAGCATGCGCTGTCACAAGCTCTTTGCGTCAGTCTTTTGCCGTTTATTTTGCCGCAGTAATCCCCTGGGCGAGTTAAGAGAAAAGCCAACAGCTTGTAAAATGAGGGAAGTCTCTTTAGATGATTTTTACCGAAAAGTGTTCAAATTCTTTACTTTTCGATCAGCTGTAACACGCTGAATCACTTGGTCCCATTTTTCTTTTAGACAAAAGCGTCTGTATCACGATTCAGTACATGTCTGTAAAACCTTAGACTTTGTGTACATTTGATTTGTCTTTGTTGCACCTTGTAGAAATAAAATGCAACAAAACTACCTCACAAATTGTGTGAAAAATCACACAATTTGTAATTCAATGAACACTCAAGTTGTTTAATTGACTTAATTTCTTAACCTTTGAGTTAATATACTTATTTAGCTCCTGTTTTAACTTTTAATTTTCTGAATTCATTTTTCAAATTAATTATCCTTTTTAAAAAGTCCTTTCCCACATTGTGTGTTGTGGCAAGTGGATGTGCAGGCTTTGAAAGTGTAATTTGCTGTGTGAGAATCCTTAGTTCTATTACTGTTTTGCTTTTTTTTAAAGCAAATGAAAAGCCAGGGTTTTTTTTCCTCAGTTTGACATGACAAAACGTTACACAATAAATACGTTTTCCACAAACTCAGCCAAGTGAAAAAGTTGCCGGGCCAAATGCTTCATGTACTGTCAAAGAGTCTGTGGTATTATTTCCACAGAATCGGAATGACTTAACCCTCATGCAGTTAGTCATTTTCTCTCACTCTCCTCTCCGATGTGGCTTTCTGTCATCATTGCCAGGAGCACAGAGTTAACTGATTGCGTGCAAGAAAGTTGGACAGCCTCTGGCATCTGATAGTGTCATCAGGCAAAAAAATTAGACCTAATTCACAAGTACAGAGGACCTCAACTCTCATTCCCATTGAGGCTTTCTGATTCTGAGAGAATGACAAGCACGCAGCAACACACATTAACACAAACACATACAAATGCATTTTGATACTTTGACAATATCCACCAAAGTCCAAGAGACAAAGAGAATATGAAAGATGATGTCCTTGTGATCCATCACTGGCTTGAAATGGATCACTCTTTTTTTTGTTCTTTGTCCTTCAGCTACTCACACATACTAACATACTGTTTCTGTCTCTTCAAAAGACGTGGCCTTGACTGATTCATCAAGTATCAGAACAGTTCCAACCGTCAGGACTTTTTGCATTAATAAAAGTCTTTGTTCGCATGATCAAGTTAGCGGTTTTGAGGTCTCAAATGTATTATTGAACATGTCACTGAAACCAAGTGAGCATTTTCCATCTATCTGTGGGCAAACGGATGGTAAAACATACAGCTTGGGCAGAGACCTATGATTTACAGTTATGTGTAAAAGTCCAGAACAGTATAGAAGTTTTGTTTTTAAAGACAGTTAGAAGTGCAGTGAGGAATATTCCTGTCTTGACTACCATTAAAACTATGTAAATACAACCTCAGATAAACAATGCTATCATACACATTGTCATTATAATGAGGTAGGCTTACTGCTTTCAGAGGAATTAAGAGTGTGAGTCACAGCCAGGCTGATGTAAGGGACTTGGCTAATTGATCATCAGAAAGTGTCAGCACCTCTGTGAAAGCAGACATTTTGTAAGCTTGCTGGTCTGGAGCATTTAGGTGTTTGTCATAAGGATAGATGGCAGCAATGATTTTTGAAAAGCTGCTGTTGCTGCCCAGTAATTGGAGAATTATAATCATAAAGAAATTTCCAAACTCTTTTGAATCTGCGATTCCAAAGAGTGATAAAGATAAAGAAAGACTATTTTACAGCACCACATTATTGAACACCAAAGGCAGCATATCAGCACTAACTGTCGTGCTAACTGTCAGGCACGGTAGCAGAGGGTTAATGATCTGGGCCTGTTCTTGCACTTACTGAACATTTTGCAGTCTCTAAATCTACCATGTACTTCTCTATGTATCGTTTGAGTTGAATGGGAAACCATCTGTTTATTGACTGATTCCATCACACAGAACTTTTAGCTTAGACCTACTCATTGGTAATGATGCGGTGTAATATACATTGTGTTTTTGATTACCTCAGGTTTATTTGATCTTAAAACCCTCAATTAATCAGGCTTTTTTTTGTAGTTAATGTCCTATATAAATCCTTGAAATTCAAAGAGAAAACGCTTCCTTTTATTCTTGACTGTTTGCCCTGCTTTACGAATGAGAACATACTCAGTCATCTTCACTGTATAATCTCTGGAGAGGCAGCTCACATGTTTTCATAGGCCATATAAATCTGGAGACCTCCCTCATATAGCGCTGTCTCTGAGGAATTAGGCCAACACGAAGTTCAGCTGCTTAGCGACATATGCAACACTGAGGAGCTTGCTGCAGCCCTGCAGTTTAGAGAGGAGATACTTGTGGGACTGCATCTGCGAACAGCCAGTCTCCCCCACAGATGTCTCAGTATTCAACACGAGCCATTTTTCAGTAATAAAGAAAGAAGCGCAGGACTGAGAGTGAACCTGGCCACCTCAATTAAAACTTAAAACGAGCTTTGTATGAACGTTGAAGCACAGAATATTTGATTATGTGCCCTCTTAGTTTTTTCTTCCATTATTCAAACAGCCACTAAAAAGAGTATTTCAGCCCTGATAGAAGATGTGAAAGGCATGTAACCAAGTCAGAGCTGCTGCAGAGAATCCTCTAACCTACTTCTGCTTTACAGTTTGTGATTAAAAGTTCTGAAAATAATATTGATTAAAAAAATTCAGCTGCACATAATTGTCTGGTTCAGACACGTTCAAGTAAACTTTTTCCAGCATCAGTCAGGTTGGTGTGGTAAAAGGGCAGTCAGGTTACAGCAGACATCTTATGGAAAGGAGCAGGTTTCTGCTTTAGGAATACTCAAAGATCTGGGTTCATGGCCCTGAGGGTATGTTTGCAGGATACATTATTCTTTCATGAAGAGAAATGTTCACTTCTGCGAGCCAGTTAAAGTACAAAACTGCATGGCTTGTTTGTAGCCATTAAACTTCCACTCAAGGACATTTTAATGGGCCGGGTGTTTGCTGAGCACGGACCTCGGCCGTCAACTTATGCATGTGTGGAAATAGCACAGATGAGGATATAAACGGGGGTGTTGAAGGTCAGCTTGTCACACCACTTTTGGCAGTTATTGTTTCACAATTTTTGCTTTGGAGGCAAAAAAGAATATCACACATTGTGATTTCGTCATGTCGACATGTCCAGGTTATCGGTGATCCACTGACATATTTATTGTGAAAGCAACATGTGACACGAGGCCCATACATCCATGCCAGAAAGACCCTCCCTAGAAGGCTGATCCCAAACATTGTCAATCAAAGTTCTTCATCTCTCATTACTAATCAGAAGGACATTTTTTGTCTTTATGAATTGTGCGTATGTTACATTTTCAAATGACAAATATAAACAAACAACTGGGACCCTGTTACATTTTTTTTTTGCCCATACAGAGCAGCCATATCTTACACTTTTACACATTGATCAAAAAGTCTTTCCTGCTGGGGGTTTTCTTCTTTGTCTAAATCATTTTTTTCCAAACAATAATTGCTCTGACAGTGCAGGGTGACATACGGCGTGCGCTCCCAGGGCACAGGTAGCCAAACACGTCCCTCTCCGCGGTAACTGTCTGTGCTCTGCTTGCTGCACGCCTAATTAAAGGTCACTTAGCTCGCAGGGAGCAAAAGCAATATAAACAGATTAAAGGAAAATGCCACTAAATAGCATAACACATCTCAGGGTTGTCAACACTGTATGCTGCATCCCCATGCTTGGAACATCAAGCCACCAGAGAACAAAAAAAAAAGAAGCCAAATCACTCAAAAACAAGCTCTCATTGGTTTGACAGTCAAAGGCCCATCTGCTGTTCAAGAAGTTTATAGATGACTTTTTCCCCAGAGCTTTCTATAATTTCTGTTAAAACTATCTTCTCATTTTTCCTGTGTGTGTTTTTCTGTAGCGAGCACGACTTGGGGGAAGATGACATCTACGACTGTGTGCCGTGTGAAGACGACGGCGACGACATCTATGAGGACATCATTAAGGTGGAAGTACGACAACCCATGGTGAGGACAGTTTGTGCCCTTTTATCAACTGCTGATGATGCGATTGCTCCATATTCCAAACGTGAAGCCCGGATGTATGACTCGGGTGCTGAACCGTTCACACACTGCGCTGAATGCGCTTGTTTTTGCATGATTTCATTTTTCCATAAAACCTGGTGTTGCATTGTGAGAATGCAATGAACCGATGGCGATCTCCATTCACTTTCAATGTACCTTCCTGTACATTATGTCTGTGATCCACATTCTCATACTGTTGCTACATGAGAGACGACCTCTAAGCACACTTCCAGCTGTGTTATTGCATACTCTGTGTTAAACTTGACTTCTCACTTGCTTTGCTCTCCTCATGCTGCAGATCAGATACATGCAGGTGAGTGCTGCTGTGCTTGTGACTCACACCACCCTGTCAGCTACCCCTCCCCGCCTTCACCACTTCATTTTAAACAAATTCATAGCATCCCAAGAGAATGACCCGTCGATTAGCTTAGTGACCCCTCGCATGGTGGCAGAGGAGAAGACCCCATCTGGTTCAAAGTGTGACTCAGTATTTGTGACATCAGTGTGATGACTTCAGTGTTGTCTGTTTGTGAGCTCCAAAGCCTGAGACAAATCAGCTTTTCTCGCACTGGCTTTGTGCCCCACTTGTCGACTCCTTCTTCTCTCTTAATTACATGTTGGGATGAAGCCATGACTGGACCTCAATTTTTTTTGCATTGTTAGTTCCAGTTTTTGTGTTATCAACAGCCAAATCTACTCCAGATGGCTAACGTGCTTGCTCCATATTTAAGCTGCTCCAAACAGTGCTACACCATAGCAGATGTGTCGTGTTATTCCAATTCCTTTTTTTGTATTCCCCAAGAAGGCAGTGCATACATTATATATTCAGACAGCCCTGAGGTTTTCACAGTTTGTTTTAGACATAGAATGGATTTACTTTGATTTGATATTTCTCGATTAAGTGGTTAAACTAGAGAGTAAGAAGCTGAAATATCCAGAAGTTTTCAGACCCTTCCGAGTTAATTCTGTTGCATTTAAATTTTTATGAGTGGTCCACCTGACTCTATTTGTTACTACTTGCAGCCACTAATGAGCCTCTTCATCAGGTGGACACTGCAAAACTTAAATAAAGGCTGAAAAACCTTAGCTAGTCCGTAAGGTGAGCAACTATTCAGAGATTATGACAAAAACCGATTCCTTTCATGTTAGTTAGAGGGAACCTGTGGATTAGCTGCTGAAGTTGCCCTGGTGGGAATGTTTGCCCTTCTCTCAGCATCCTGTGTGAAAGCAGCTTAAGGAGAAACACCCTCTCCAAATGATGAATCAAAGGATTAACTAATTGGCCACAGTCCCCTTTGGCGTTCATGGGACAAACAAGGCACTGAGCATCAGTCGGTTACGACCATCCCTACAGTCAGACCCCATAATCGCAGCATCATTCTGTGGGGTTGTTATTCTCTAAAGCTGGCCAGGAGACTTTTTAGGATAACAGGCAATATGAACCTATAAAAGTTTGGACTCTTTGCATTCAGTGCAGGATCACAGACTGGAGTAAAAATGTACAATCTAACACAAGTATGATCCTGAACCCAACATTTAGCCAATGGCTGAATGTCTATACGTGATTTAAATTGGTCTAGCTTTAGCATTTCTTCTAAGAAGGGTAGAGGACATTTCGAAAGAAAAAATTATAAAATTTTGAGGCGGCAAAGGGTCCTTTACTTAACACGAATGGTCTGAAAATGTAAGAAAATCTGGTATTTCGCTTTTTATTTTCAGTCTGTTAAGTAAAAACCTGATCTTCCTTATTTACTAAAGAAAACCTAAATATGGACAAGTGAAAAAATTAACTCAAGAATCTCAAACTAGAAATGGCTAAATATCTGTAAAGTAACTGGCCACATGGTCTCAGAAAACATCATCAGCGCATTCCAACATGACCACCTAGCTTGCGATCAGGCTTTGGTAGAACAAATATTACAAGTAGGAGTTTCCTCTTTCCCTCTCGATATACCCGTCACATGATTTCGACTAACAGACCTGACACTTTTTTTTTTTACATGTATTGTGCACTTGCCTTGTGGGAACAGCTCCCCCATAATTGGAAACACACCAAAGCTTACTTGTGTATATTAATAATCCATACATTTCCTAACAGTATAGAAATCAATAAGAGACACTGGGCTGCTTAAAATAATTCATAACAATAAGTGAGTTACTGCTGACCACTGTAACTTGCTCGAGTTGTGTAATCTGTCACAGTCAACAAGTCTGCATGACACAATTATATGAAGGTGGCCTGGTAAAGGATCTGAAATGTAAAGTGACTGGAAGTGATTGGATTGGAAGACCGTTCTGCATCATCTCATTTTCATAATGTAACCTGATGGCTTTGATGGATTACACAAACAAACCGATGGTGCCAATAGATTTTCATTCAGTTTGAAACATGCCAAATACTTGTCTTGAATAACATTAAACTGCTATGACTTTAGATAGTGAAGTAAAATCTCAGGGCACTGTCCTGTTATGGCCACCAACTTTAGTGTGTTTTCCCCTTAATACTGACTCTTGGCTTCTATTTTTCTATAGATACCATTTCATATGAATATGTTTTTTCTTCTCACTCTAGAAAATGGGTATGACAGAGGAGGACAAGAGAAACTGCTGCCTAGTTGAGATCCAGGAGACTGAAGCGAAGTACTACAAGACTTTAGAGGACATCGAGAAGGTACATTTCTGAATGTTTTTTCAAAATTATTTTAAATCTATCCCCTGAAGTAAAATCAAATAAAAGATTAAATTTAGGCCTGAAAATAAAAAAAGACATGCATACCTATAGATTATATAGTTCATCATATATGGTTAGATATGTGAAGCTAGTTAGTTCAACACCTAACTTCAGGTAATTTCCAATTATTGACAGAAGTTTCTCAACTGAAGTTATTTGAATAGTTGATTGGTTTCCACTTCTGCCAACACAAGCTGGCAAATACAAGCAACTTCCAAGTAAAACAGCAAAGTCTGCACACTAAAGGGTCATATTGTCTCATACGTGCATGTGCCGACATGCAAACCAACTCTCTAGTCGACGGGTAAAAGAAAAAAAGCAGAATAGAGACGAGGGCTGCTAACGCATCAATTTCAATGTTGGCACCACAAATCATCTGCTTCACTAATTTCATTAAACCAAATGTGCATCCTGTGTTTCCCACATCAGACCGACACGAGAGTAAATGAGAATAAATATCCCTCTTATGATCAGAAGACTCGTAAAGCTTAATTGAGTTGGGGTTAATAGAGCCTGCCATTTTTTTCCCTTAGCTCTTAGTTGATCCATTTGTTATCATGATGATGATGAAATGTGACATCCATAAAGTCACATTGGAGAAATAACGGTCATGTTTATTTATTTATTTTACAATACATCTTACACAACAGCTGTTTATACTTGGAGTTGTGGTGTTGAGTGCTGTCGCCTCACGGCAAGAGGGTTTCCGGTTCGAGTCCCTGGAGGACTGGGACCTTTTTGTGTGGAGTTTTCAGGTTCTGTCTGGGTATTCCGGCTTCTTCCCATCGTCCACAAACATGCATGTTAGGATTGACTGCACACTCCCAATTGCCTTGTAGGAGTGAATGGGCGTGTGTTTGTTTGTTTGTATCTGTGTGGCCCTGTGATGGACAGGCCCATGGTGCACCTCGCCTCTCGCCCGTTGTCCAGCGCCCCCCAGACCCCGTTGGGAATAAGGGGTAGAAAATGGATGGATGGGACAGCAAGTGTTAGCCAGTGACTTGTCTTCATCTTTGACAGTGTAGTCTTGTAGTCTCTAATAATATGTAGAATTTTTTTTTTGTTTGGTTAAGTAGTCACTGATATATATTTTTCTTCCCCTCAAGAATTACATGATCCCACTGAAGCAAGTCTTAAGTCCACAAGAAATGGAGGCTATTTTTGTCAACCTTGAGGTGAGTAGTCGGTCAGGCATGGAAGATTGAGTCTATTGAGCATGGCTGCATGTACCTCACAAACTTGATAACATGGCTAGCTATGATTGAATATCATATTGCACACACATTACACACTTGTTAAAGCACGTGTTATTAATAGTGGTTTTGGTTATAGCTCACTAATAACACAAAATAGATGATTATACTTTCTTTTCACATCTCTGAGAGGAACATATCTCACAGGCAGTAATTAATTAAACATATTAATGTAGTTAATTTTACCCACTCAACTACAAATGAAGAACTTCTGAATGGTATCAAAGACTGATGTTTTTGAAGAAAAAAATAACAAACCTAATAAAGGCACTGAGCTATGCCAAATGACAAGCAGTGGACTGAAAATCATTGACAACAGCATTGCAATTTGTACATGTTGCAATAAACTGCTTCAAATATTCTCATTTTCCTTGTTAATATTTAAAGAATTGAGGCATAGCTTGATAACGCTGGCACAGAACTCCTTAAAAAGGAGGTCAATGAATCTTTCTGATGCATGAGGTGACATGTTTCTGTAATGGCTGTGTGCTCACTGTCTGTTGAGTCAGTCTCTTGTGGATTTGATGTAAAACCATCAACCTCCTAATGCAGTTTATGTAAAAAGAAGCAAGAATTTTATGAGATGAACTAATTGATTTCTAATTTTAAGTGGCAAACGATAATAGTCCGTAAGCTGGGCCTTAGGTCAACCACATACCATGTGTACAGAAGCTGGACAGTAAAAGCCACAACATTTCTTGCTTAATATTTAGACACATTCATTTTATTGTGATATTTACTCAGGATGTTATCAGAGTCCACTTTGCCCTACTGCGAGCCATCGACCTGAGCATGGTCAGTGGAGGAAGTGGCCTTGGGAAGATCTTCATTGACTTTAAGGAAAGGTAAGCACCTTAAAATCTGTATTTGTTGGCAAAGAGCCTTACAATCTTGTTATGATTGAAAGGCAGGGGCATTTTTCTACACCACAGACTGCTGGACTTGAGTATCCACATATTGATGGGATTAGCTCGCAAATAATAACTTGATTTTAGTTTAGTTTTTTTTTATGAGAGAGCTGAACCTGACCAAGCACAAAAATGTGTTGCATTATGTTTTCTTGTTTTGTTTGAGTCTAATAATCTCCTACGCTTTAAATATATATTGCATTTTTCATTAAAATAACATCCATCTGCACATGTGTTTTCTGAAGTAACAGGACTTATTTTCTTATAGGAATAAACTGACCAGAGTATTTTTGGTAGCATCAGTTGATTCTCACCCAGTAGGGCCTATTTTGTATTTGGTTTCTCACCGTTTTTGTTTGAAGAACAGGCAACAGAAAATCATTGTTAAAATCAAGAGCAATAAAACTGAAGAATATCCTGAGCACCCACTCATTTCATCAGTTCACAGTTAAAAGATTTTTTGCATTCATTTTCGACAACTCCTGTCTCTTGGTCAGCTCAATCAGTTTCAAATGCAGGTCCAAACTGCGTCTTAAAATAATATTGCATTAAAACAACTGACAGGAAAAGTCCAAGCAGGATTCTGACAACTCAGCTCAGGGCACCTTTTTATTACAATATTTGACACCCTAATATATGCCACTACCCTCCACTATTTTTCTATTTTTTACTCTGTTAATTTAAACTACTTAAACTGTGTAAATAAAGAGCAAACACAAAGAACACACAGTAATCTACTAACACTACAGCTAGAGAGGAAATGCATTTGCCTCAAGGGAAAACATGTCAATTTTTATTGGACATTCAAAATGTTTCACTTGTTTAATATAAACAAATACATTTTGATGTGCCATGTGAAAGGGAGACGGGAAACCATGGTGAAAGGGGAAAAAAACTGCAAATTTTTCCGCTAACCCTGATTTCTCTCCGGGGCTTTCCATCTCGCCCAGCTGCAGAGCAACCTGCAGATAATTTGCATCCCTGATGGGAGCAGTGATTTGCCTCCCTGCTGCGCTAAGAGCGGCTTCTTCATAGGTAATGGCAATGATGGTGATGATAGATGCTTCCTTCTATCATGATTCCAAACGCTGGCCTCCTTGAATAATACACCCAATCTTGCAAGAGTGATTTACACTCTATACTACAAGTATGTGTGTGGTTCCGCCTGCCCTGGCATAGTGAAAGGCATGTAATGTTTCATTTCCCAGTGATACTGATAGCATCCCCCCCCCCCCCCCCCGACACCTCCATCCTGAAACAGTTTCTTCAGGCTATGTGAGTTTGCATAGGTAATTAGCTCATTGCAGGCTTCTTCCGGATGCCTAGAGGGTAATGCCACATATAGCTGATGCAACACAGGAGATTCCTTTCCTACTAAAACACATAGATTGTTACGTGCTACCCCCTGTTTCGTACGCACGCACATGCTCCTTCCTTGTTAGGCTTATCTGACTCTCAACTCTCATTGAGCCGTAACTGAAAAACCATCTCCCATGCACACTGCCTCAGGTGAGGACCAGATAGCCAAAGGTCAGTGCAGAGGGCCAGGAGGTTGGCTGGAACCTGTGGTTCTCACATGCACTGTCATTGGAAAGGGCGGAGAATAGATCAGGACTTGGGGCACATGTGAAAACAGCTTAACATTTACACCTCCATTCATAAACAAATTTCCCGATGACATGCCACTCACTGTTGCTGTTTACCTTTTGGTGACATTCTCCCAAATGTGAGGCAGGGTTATTTAAAGCAAATGATTCATTAGATTTGCAGATTCTCCGCATCACAGGCTTTCATTGCCGGCTTGTGATTGACACGTATAGCTTCCTCATTATGAGCCACCACAGCGTCTTGTCTCTCTGTGGCGATAAACAGCTGTAACCATGGGATTTGGACTTCCAAAGCAAAGCTCTCCTCAGGCATCTGCAGTTTGCCTAAGGACCATCTCAGCATAATTAATTTGGTTATCTGTGCTTGTAAGTCCCTGTGACCTTTACAACAATGTGCTTGTATCGTTTTTCTTTTTTCTCATGATGAAAAGCCCCCTCTTTTTTTTTTTTTTTTTTTGGACATTGAACTGAAAGCCATGCTGAAAATGTCACCATTTTATCTTCTCGGCTCTTTAACAGCCAGACCCGGGCTGAAAGGAAAACTCCACTTAGAGGCAGCTCCATAAACTACATGGTCATTCAAGTGTAGTACTTTTGATACACACATTTGCAACATTTCCAGACTCATTTCCGGAGTAATCTGGCTCCCTGATACCCAGGCGGTGCATAATCATTGTCGCAATGTGTACCTTTTTACAGAGGGCCTTTGCACTTTGTTTCCCTCCATTTGCTGTGTGCGGGATATGTTGAGTGGAGGTGAGAGGCTCCCAATGCCCTCTGTCAGAAAATATTAGCTGGCTCCATAGCCTGTCGCTTCTGGTTTTCTCCAGTCACCTGATTCAGCTTGCCAGGCTCCAAGAGGGTGGGGGTGGACACCAAAGACTCAGTTACTCAGAATTGTATTTTCTAGTGAATAACATGCATGGCAGCATCCTTATTATGGGAGAGGCCAGTACATCAGAGTATTATCACCAGCTATAAGAGAGATGGACATTTTTACTGTCCAAACCGAAGGGAGGGGTGGTTCTGCTGTTTAGATATGGCTGCTTTGCTTCCCTTCTTTTTCATAGTCCTGCAGATTAACTTTGAAAGTTGGGAAGCTCTGCGATATCTAATGGAATCTTGTGAACATTTGCCAACTGGCCACGAAAGGTTTGTTGTTTCCCTGAACGTACATTTAATCTTCTCTCATCAGCAGCTCATTTTCCATATATCTGGTCCCCTGATTTTTGGCTCATTATAACAAAGAAAAAGAAAGTTTATTTTCTCTAGCACATAGAAAAACACTAAAAAGCAATTCAATTCTTAAAGCCGGGGGGGGGGGGGGGGGGCAAAAAAAAAAAAAAAAAATTTTTTTTGGGAAAAAAAAAAAAAAAAAAAAAAAAAGGGAGGTGTTGGGGGGGGGGGGGGGGGGGGGGGGGGCACCGTGCCAAATGTTGAACATTTGATTTGGGAAATAAATACGCAATAGGAATCCGGAGGTGATGAGCCATTAGCTCCCATCGTGATGTGCCCATAGTGAAAAGTGAGACAGGCGTGTGCTTATGACTGTTTTGTCATAATCATTGCTAACTGGGTGGGAAACATGAAGGCATGCGTGTTTAACACCACCTGTTTTGAATAAGGACAGAGCTTCTGATCAAAGAACTTTATTAAATGTGTTTTCTCCTTTTTAAAGTGTTCACTGTTCCATGTGCTCATTTTCCTGTTATACTTGGAGTTTTACTGCAGGCAGGTGTCTGTTAGGATGCCCAGTGAGGGTGTAGCTAAATTGCCTCATCTACGGTAAATTTTCGTGTGAATGAATTTGTGTACTTTCTTATATTTGGGCATCGTCCTCACCAACACCTGATGATAGTCTTTTTAACTCCACGAAACTAATGAACTAATTTGAATTAAAAAAATAAATATCCTGCAAATAACTAACCCATAATTAGGAGAATGGTTTACTTTTGATCCAGATGACTGCACAAGCTGCATCATTTTCATTCATCTGGTCCTCAGTACTGCAACATTTTTCTGTCCCTTTTGGGTGTGATATTGTACTATGTAAATACAATTGTCACATATCCATGCCTCTAAAATACTGTGCAGCACTTTCTGCTTTTCAGCTTGTCCATCTTATCAGCACCTTCAACTCTCACACTAAAAATCAGCTTCTTAGAGGGAGCCCTTCATGCCACATTGTGTCCTGATAACTCATTATACATTATGATTTGTGCCTTTGGTTTGAGCCGCTACGTCTTCTCTACACTGCACGCTCCGTCTGCTGTCTTATAATCGATCACAGCGCCCATTAATCTCCATCACTTTGTCGTCTTGAAGGAGAGAGAGCTGTCTCCCAGGGTGTGGATCAAGTCTTAATCAGGGTCTTGTTAGCCCAGGGCTTAAGAAGAGTGGAAGCCCTGCTGTGGGGGCCGGAGGGGCACGCAAACATCTGACTGGGTTCCAGAGCAGCTCCAGGGATCATCAAAGCAGACATAAGGATGGTCATCTGATGAACAGAGAGGCAGGAAGTGGAACATTTTGGCTCAGAGTTCCACCTCTGGCAACTCAATCGCACATGCTCAGCCTCAATATTTTAGGTTCCTTTTCCAGACTAGACCAATTCTTTTAAGTAAGCGCCTCTGCTTCCGTGATGGAGACTCTTAGGTTTGTGCTTGGGTTTTTTCGAGCAGTTCAAATGTCAGGCTATTTTATTTGTAGGTTTAATAATGGATGTCAGTTTGTTGGATGGCATTTAAACAGTCTTTTGAGTGTCTTTTAGGGTTTTGGTGTTAAATATCGTAAACCACTTTTCAATTCAAAATTTTGTACATAACATGGACACTTGAGCTGCTTGGTTGTGTGGTCCACTGGTTCACCACTCTAACTTTAGAGGGCTTGATTAGACTTCAGGGGGCCAGCCTTCCCCACCAACTCGAGAATCAGATTAAGAGATGTGCCAACTCTATCAAGGGGGGGAGGGTAACAGTATACCAGCCGTGCCAATGCCCTACTTTGACTCGATGAGTGAGCGAGAGGCATGCGCGCCACGTGCAGTGGCATCCTTCTGGCAAGATGACTTTGAACTCCCTCCCAGCTGAACCCAAGGATCTGTGTCAGTGTCCCAATGCAATATCTAATGAACATAGCTCTTATATCATCCCCGCTTGAAATTAAGAGACTGATAAGACGAGCTCTGCAAAGGAACTGATTCGAAGCACTGTCTTTCATTAGTGCTCTGTGATTACAGCTTATTGGCAAGAAGATTCCACCTCTACAAATATTACCTTGGGGCTTGTGCTGTTGTTACTCCTAATCACTATACATATATTCACACAGTCATTTATCTGCCCCCTGTGGCACGCAATGACTCTTTCTTTGACCCCTGAAATTGTGTTATTAATCTTAAAATTGATGTTGCCTTAAGGCTCCAAACCACAAAGCATTTCACAGCTAATTGTGGATTTTTTCAGTTTCCTATCATCATTGGATAGATTGAATATCTTTCCAATTTTAGACCATAAGAGGGTCTTTATTAGTTCTTATTAAGCCTCATTTTAGAAAAGCAGGTAGCACGCTGATCTTGGAGATCTTTTTGAAAGGCCACTTTCAAAAATGACAAGCAAAAATTTTTCAGTGACAGCTTCATCTGTGGAGCTCTCCATTTCTAAGGATTTATTTGTTTATCATTTAATAACACTCAAATGAAAAGCCCTCAAAGAAGGATGTGTTTCTAATTAAGTTTGTCCAGTATGCTTGAAGTGCCTTTGTATAATGTGTGTTAAGACTATTGAATGTAAACAGAACTCGCAGGATCAAGCATCAGCCCAGCTTATTTACTTTAATTAGTAATTTACCTTCTTGAGTGTCTGTAAGATAATGAGTTGGGACATTGTGTTAAATTAATGATTGGGTTCTCCTTCTCTCCAGGTTGTTGATATATGGTCAGTACTGCAGTCACATGGAAAATGCTCAAAAGACACTGGATGAGCTAATAGCAACCCGGGAGGATGTCAAGATTAAAGTAGAGGTAAAGAACCATTATGACTGTTAATCATGTTGTTTTGTGACTGAATAAAAACAAGCAGCCCTGGCAGGCTTTCACTCATCTGCTAAAATGCAGCGGTGAAATCAGGCCAGGGCCCAGCTCTGGTAGGTAAGCATCATCATCGTTGGGACTTATCCTTGCACATCTTTAGCTGCTATTTATAATCTTTGACTTATCTCAGTCTTAAAGCCAAACAAAGACACAGTTTTCTTGGCTCCTCCTTCACAAACTTGCCACTTGCTGTGTTCATGTGGTGCGTTTGCAGGGCTCATAGTGTCACGGCCGTGGATGCAGGAGGACTCAGGCGCAGAGTGGGTTCAAAAATACAAAATTTATTAACAAAGGGCGCTCTCGAATGAGAGGGCAAAACACAAACACAAAGCGCTCCGTAACGGAGGACAAAGTATCAACAGAAAAAGCACTCGAACCGAGGCTGGGAAAAAGTTACAAAACAAAGCTGAAAAGTAACAACGTAAATCTCTCACAAAGGAGGCTGGACAGGAAACAAAAGTAGCAACAGAAATACTCACTAGGAATGTTACTTCTAGGAGGAAAAATGACGCACTCGTGGCAGAGGCAAAAACTAAGGGGCTCAGAAGGCAAGGAACAAGGGCTATGACTGTGACGAGAACAAGGACAAGACTGGCTCTGTGGCTGGGAACGAAACACACTGGCACGGGACAAGGGGAGACGAGGACTATTTGAACACGAGAGGGAAGGGATGCCCAGGTGCAGACAATAGGTAATCAGGGAGACGCTCAGACTGGTGACACAACAGGAAGTGCAAGTGACCTGAAACGAGATGAGGGTTATTCTTCAAAATAAAACAGGAAATGACGAGACTAGCAAAAGATGATACGAAAACCCCTCCACCGGGGCACCTTCGTGACACATAGTGGGAATAAATAAAACAGTTATTTGTATATTTACCCTCACATCTGCTTGATTTCTCGTGCATACTTGATGGCATCCTCCATATTTCTTATATCTTTTTTAACAGCTGCAGTTACAAACATCCTCCCTCTGTACTGCTGTTTTTTATGCTCCGTTGTATTTATATTTGTCCTTTAGAGGAAGCAGAATTCTGATGTAACAGTAGGATTTAGACACATCAGCAGTTAGCGTGTGCAAAGAGATGGCCTTGGGTTCTATTGACAGCATAAAGAGGTGATCACAGCCTGGGTAGTTGACGCTCAGATTCTCTCTCTATAGCAGAGCTTTGTAACTCAGTAAATCAGCTTCTCACGGTTTCTCTTTGTTGCAAAGCCTTGTTTGTAAAGAGGGATAAGCTGTCCTTGTGACTGCACATTTGTAGCAGCTAACTAAAGAAAGTCTCATAGAATGATGGTCACAAAAACGAGCTTTCTTACAGTCATAATGCCGAGTTTATAGAGATGTATTTGTTACTCAGAGGAATTTCTCTGTCAGCATGCAGAATAATTGTGTCAGAAATTCTGGCACAGCCGAGGCTTTTTATGCCCCGAAAGAATAAACTGCCCTCATTGTTGTTAACGGAGCAACTTGTAAATATGTGGAAGCAACAGCACAATTGCAGCCGTGAATTATCAGACGACAAACAAATGCTTGTTAGTGGAAAATTGAATCTGTATATAATGTGAAGCATCATAACTGCCACCCTGCATGTTTCCCACAGGAATGTACGCTGAAAGTGCAAGAGGGGAAGTTCAAGCTGCAGGACCTTTTGGTAGTTCCCATGCAGAGGGTGCTGAAGTATCACCTGCTACTTAAGGTAGGAAGCCTCCCATATGTGAAGAATTTACAAGACGGTCCTTCAAATCTTTGACTGACCTGTAGCTCTTTGATTTTTCTGTGTTAAAGAGGTACAAGTTTATCTCCTTTTAAGCAGTAAAAAGAAAAAAAAAGTGTACTGGTTCTGAGAACAGACAGTCAGACTGGGTTTACACAGGTAGGAGTGAAACCAAACTGTCCCAGAATAAATGCTGAAAGAGCAACATTTCTGAATTCATTACTGTAACACACGTTGCCACCTGAAATTCAACCCAATTCCACTCGCCTGTTTGTGTCTACCTACTTGTGCTTTGGCTCAGCACGCACATATTATTTCCAGCATGTTTCCCCTTCCCTCTAATTCTCATGCAGTGGGAGAATGGGTTGTCTCACATGCTCATAGATTGAAAATGTGTTTTACTGTGACCATGGAGGCTTCTGGAAAATGAGCTCTAAAAAGCTTGAAGTTAAATATTGATTCTGCTCATTTGTGTAAAAACAGCTGACTAATATCCAGGACTTTTGACACACTTAGAGATTTCTGCTTTCATTTATTTATTAACCATGTTATTGTGTTCTTATAGAATTTTAAAGGAGCATATGGCAGCCAATATGTTACTCTGTACAGCTAAAAAATAAAAAGATAAGCAGACAAGTTTCCATACAGATTGTAATAGACTGGGGTATTTTTTCAGGATGGAGCTGCTTTGGTAGAATTTAATTTGGGATTTAGCTACTGTTAGCATTTATCAACACAATATTAACTCTGTGCTAATGCAATTCTGTTCATTAGAGCTGGAGTGTCAGCAGGCCTGCAATGTGCAAGCTGCTATTAATCAGACTTACACTTAGTCATTGTATCAGCACCTGGAGATAGACAGGAATTGTTCCTGCTGCGTTTTTTGTTGTTGTTTTGTTTCCCCGCACAAAATGATCTCAGCAGTAGGCAGCCTCGAAACAGCTGACTTACAATGAAACACTAAAAGGACGAGTCTGTAAAAGTTCTGTAGCTATGCATTTTCAATTAGCTCTTTCCTTGGTTTATAGTTACAAAATAACAGGAATTGTAATAATAAATATAAAGAAAATTCTCAGAGGTCTCCTTATATATATTATATTAGAATATATTGAATATGGTACTGATGATATTTGCTATAACTATTGTCTTTAATAGGGAGAGAAGTGTGAACTGTAGTGATGATATCTGTCATATTAGAAAAATGATGAAAAAACTGTTGTGTGGTAAACATGTAATATGAGTTGGTCCTACTATAAGATTATTTAGAGTTTTGTTTGTTTTGCCTCAGCATGGAGCTGAAGGAGCAGCCTGAAATTTATACTAAGGCTCTATTCCTAGTGGTTTACTCAGCAAGCCAGACACTGTAATGTTCCCCATGATTAATTGACCTGAGGTCTGAATCGTTGATAAGTATATGTGTGAATGCTGTAATGGCTAATGGACTGAGGTGGAGGCACGTGTTTGCGTCAGGTGGTTGCTGGTCCGCATAGTGCCGCTCCGTTTGAACTGCCGGAAGGAGTCACAGCAAGTGTCCCAGGTCAAATCAATCGTGCACTAATCAGATTAAACACACCCCATTTCACCGCCTCCTACAACTTTGCTGAAGAACCTTGGTGGGCGCTGTGGCCTCGGGGCATGTCAGAGTGACGAGTCCTCTTTTTGTATGCGGGTATATGTGTGTCTTTATGCGTGTCCAATCACAACCAGGGGCACTTCTTCACTCGATGTTGCATGGCTATCATCACAGCGCTGTTCACTCTTCATGGTGTGAATAGCACTCTTCATCTTTTATGTACTGCTCTCTAAATAAAGTGAATTTAGCACAGTCATCCCAGATGAAATTCCCCTTAAGCAGAGTTTGAATATTTGATGACAGAGCTTTATTTTTGCAAAGCCATGTAATCAAGCAGTATCTTTCATCTCTGCTTGAGTGCTTAGTTGAAAGCAGGTACATACAGTCTATTTTTCGCATGTTCCACTTGCAAAAGTAAGGAACTTTAGCCTCAAACACGGTTGCTTAATCAGTTTTAGCAAAATGAAGGTGAGCTGTGCATGGAAAGTTTTTCCATTTGTAATTTCATGAGGGTGTTTTCCTTATGAGACAAGGAACCATGAAGTTATAGCTGTTCTGCATATACACTAACAATAAATGTATCAAACGGTTTTAATTCTAAATACCTTTTTTGGTTTACCCTCTGCAATTTTTGCCTGCATAGGCAGCAGATGAACTGAAATAGATATTAAGCTATCTCAGCTTAGAAGGGCTGTTACAGTGTATATAACTGAAAAGGTTGATTTACGCCATCGCTAGTATTCTCACTTTCCAAACTCAGAGCAGGTATTACCAGAAGTGGATATAATTTGAGGCTGCAAATGGATAGTCTTGGTTAAAAAAAAAACATACACCAAGCTTCCTTCCCCAGTCAATATCAACTGTTCATCAAGGGCAGGTTTGATATGATAACAAGCATTTCTGTCTTTCACCATTATTGACTCTGCCTTTAAACGTTTTTTTTAAAGAGTCACGGGCAATGATAAAAAAGACATTTTTAAAAACAGCTCCTTGCAAAGGGCTGAACTGGTTTCGACAGGTAGCTGAAGAGCTGGCAAAATGTTTTTGTTCTCATAGCAAAAGAAAAACCGTGTGAAAGACCAACTGTGCTTATTTTTTCCCTGAAAAACAGTACTGCTGCTCTGAAGCAGTTTTTATTAATCACACCAAAAAGCCTGTAGGGGATAAACGAACCAATTTAAAGCGATTAACCATGTTTGTTATTGATCTACTCTGAGGACAGCAGGATTTGCAGGGGAGAGGAAATCTGTAGTTACCTTGTTACTATAAAGAACAGCCAGACGTGGCAAGTTACCCCCCACTTGGGCTTCAAGGTTTTTTCTTAATTTATGCTGCTGCTAATGGTGCTGAACAGCATTTCACTCCCTACCACATTAGTGCCACATGTGGAGAGAACAACTTTACATCTCTGCCGACACATCACAGCTTCAAATTTTTTTTTACAAAAGTAGTGATAGCACTCTCCTCCTCAGGAACTTCTGAGTCACTCCACTGACCGACCAGAGAGGCAACAACTCAAAGAGGCTCTGGAGGCTATGCAGGTTGGTCTAACATGTGTTCTGTGTCTTTGAAAGTCTCTGAACTAAAGCTGTGTTTGTGACATTGCAACTAAAAAGGCTCAAACAAGCTTTGCCTCATGCTTTCAGGACCTGGCTATGTACATCAACGAAGTCAAGAGGGACAACGAGACTCTGAAAAAAATCAGTGAATTCCAAAGTTCAATTGAAAATCTTGTAAGCATCATTATCACCATCTCTTTCCCTTTTCCGTATTTTCTTAAAAAAGGAATGTTGGCTCAGACCATTTGATTCAGTCCATCTCTTAAGGCCTGAAAAATTGACATGCTTAATCCTTGTTTCAGGAAATCATAGGACAAGTCTTTGATAAGCATAGCCCTGGGTTTTTATTATCTAATATCCAAGATTATGGTCTTTCAAGCTTCTTTCTGTGGTTTGAAAGAGGAAAGGCTAACATTCTCCCAAGTATTGATAAAAGTAAACACTAAAGGGCAGTGATTCATTGGTCATAGCAAAGCTACCTAATCAAATGCAATCTAATCACGGCCACACAACTGAGATTAAACGGGTCCTGTTTAATGTTTGGCACCCTGTGCACCTTTGTGACTTAAGCAGCAGGTGAAATTGGAAGAGTATGGCAGGCCAAAGATAGACGGTGAGCTGAAGGTGTCCTCCATCGTCAACAGAACAAAACAGGACCGGTGAGTCTGAATTAGATGTAAAAATCTTTAATAATCCACAACTGATAAGGAAGTTTTATCAGCCGAATAACACTAATGCGTTTGTTTATCTTCAGGTATATCTTCCTGTTTGACAAGGTGGTTATTGTCTGCAAGAGGAAAGGTTATAGCTACGAGCTGAAAGAGATTATCGAACTACAGTCTTATAAAATGTCTGATGACCCCATGAACAACAGAGACATGAAAAAGGTAAGAAAGTACTTTGCTTTGATCTGAAGATGGAAACAAACTCTTTGTAACGCAGCAGGATCACTCGTAATGGAGAATGATTTTTAAAGAAGCCTGTATAATCATTAAAAAATGTTCCCCTTGACCTGAAGGAGCTTGTTGATGATCATTTCAGATACAGACCCTACGCGTAATGCATTGAAGTACCAAGTGTGTGTTGCGCTTGTCTATGCCTAACAAACCATGTAAACGCAGTGAAGGTCATTTGGGATTCATGAAATCATACTCCAGTACATTGCGCCATCAGTCTAACATGGCTTCTTTGGTTTGAATCTGCATGTTTCTGTACATGTTTGCATGTGTAACTGGGTCTTTCTCTGGTGTCTTTCTTTTTGCATGCTTACCAGTCAAGTGGAAAAATGGTAAGCTCAAGTGACCCTTTTATTTCACTAATTTTCTCACAAAGGCCAACTTTTTGAAGGGGTTATCTTTGGGTGTCATGCACTGATTGCACATCTACCTTCCGGCTCTGTGGCTGGCTGCCCGGCTTTCGCTCATATGCGTCGCCGTAGCATGTAGGAGATCTTCTAGTCATGACTTAAATGTTGTCACATTTCCATTTTCAAATGTGGCTTCCTGAAAATGTTGTTATTACGAAGCTTCTGTGCCCATATCTATCTGTCACTGCCATCCACACATCTCTCTGCTATCTGTTCTACGCTCACTTTTTCTCCTTAGTGGTCGTATGGCTTCTATCTGATCCACCTGCAAGGGAAGCAGGGCTTCCAGTTTTTTTGTAAAACCGAGGAAACAAAAAGGAAATGGATGGAGCAGTTTGAAATGGCAATGTAAGTATGGCCACATGACGTACTTTTAGGACACTGTAGTGAGATTGGAATCGCCTTTGATTTTCTTTAAATTGGGTTGATTTTTCAGTTTTTATTTCAGCTAGGTACATAAAAAGTCTTCTTTAATCCCTTGTCCTTTTTGGTTTGCCAACTTCAGTCACATAGAAATGAAAATCCCTCATTTGTCGACTCTTCCAGGTCCAACATCAAGCCAGAGAGGGCCACCGCCAATCAGCATAACTTCCAAATGCACACATTTGATAAGAACACCAACTGTCGAGCCTGCAAGATGCTTCTGAGGTAAAATAAAATCCAGTGCCGCACTTAATGTTCCAGACTAAAAACAGGCCCTCTCAGACTTTACAATTCCTCTCGTGTCGAGTCCTCAGTCGGAAATTTCTCCGCAATTTTCATTAACTGTGTGGGCAGGCAACGTTATATAGTACAGAGGCAAATATCTTATTTTTGTTTAACAAAGCAATCAGATGTCTTAAAGGTCACAAAACAGTCTTACCTTCCTCACAAGAACTATGATCTGAACTCTATAAAGAGAAAAAGTCTTTGAGTCTGGGAGTCATTTCTATTTTATTTTCTTCAGAGACTTAAAGGAGAATCATAGATCAAACATAATATTATATCTGACATTCTTGCTATGTCCTCTCTAACCAAATTTCCAACCCAGATTTGTTTAAAATAAAGGCAAAAGTCACTTGAGTAATAGTAAACTCTAGATTGGCTGAGATACATTTGCGGATTTCTTTTGGCCTTTGGACAGATTCCTGTATTCTTCTTTTTGATCCAACAAATTTTATTCTGCTCATGGCTGGCTTTCTCTTTAGCGGAGCACAAACAGCTAGTTTTTATTTCATCCGGAATGCACAAATTCTACTTTTAATTACCCTATGTTATGATGTCTCTGCAGCTTAAACCTAACCTAACTTTAACTAGTTAAAGCAATTACAAATGTTTTTAATGATGTCTTTGGCTGAATAACAGGGTCTTCATCAGCAAACAGTCCACAGAAGATAACATTTCATACTTAGTTGCAATTATTAATGTCCTGTTGGAACAACTAAGCATAAGATTTTAAATCATGTTATTTCTTTTACTGTTTTTTTTTCTTATTTAGGGACTAATTTGTAACCTCTGACGAATAATGAGTCAAAACACAGCATTTCCTCACCCTCTTTTTTAAAGAAACACTGCCTAAAATACTTACTGATTGCTGTTGTCTATGAGGGCTGTTACGCAGAATTATCATCATGCTGTACATAATTTTAAGAGCATATTATTCAGTACATATGCACTGCAACTAGAGTCATACTAAAAATGTGATTGATCTGTTAAATAGATATTAGGTCTCAACACCTAAGAGAGAAGCTGCCATATACCATTGGTCCTCCATTAGTGCTGTTCAGGTCTTTGGTGTGACTGTGGCTGATGGACATTTTTAAATGTAACCCTTTGTCAGTGTGTGTCCCTGAGCACGCTTCCTCTCTTGTGAGAATACTGTCCAACTACACCGGGGACAGCCCACCCATGCCACAGAACACCACTTTCACCTCTAGTATTGTAAGCCAGCTAAACACCACTCAGTGTATTGACCCAAAAAAATTCATGGCTTTGCTGACCTAAATTCACAGAGCTGGTGGAGGCAAGGACCAGAGCTCTAGATGCTAATTAGTGCTGCAGCCCCAGTGGATCCAGTTGTGATTTATGGCACCAACTACTGTATATGACAGGGAGCAGTGCATGCACTGAAACGGCGCCTGTAACAAATACACCTCCCGAGAACATGGTTTTAAATGAGGCGAGTTGACTTTGTGATTTTAAAGCATTACACAGTAGGAAATGATGACCAGTCTGCCGCCACATTTGCAGAATAAAGGACCACGCCACAGGCCCCCATCACGTGTTGCTCTTCCAGGAGGCTAATGTGTGTCTGAGACACTTCCTGTTTGCATTACTGATGTGCACACTGTTTGCCTGTGTGTGTGTTCTCTAGGGGCATTTTCTATCAGGGCTACTACTGCTCGCGCTGTGGAACAGGAGCTCACAAAGAGTGTCTGGAAGTCATCACCATCTGTAAAATCAGTAGGTGTTTGCCCTTTTAAACTAAAATGTTACTCAGAAGATGTTGCACGGCTCGGAGCCATGTAACATTCAGACGTGAAAAGCGTGGCAATACATCACCAATGAGCACGACATTAACACAGACTGCTTTGATTCACACTAACTTAACCTGCTGTTAGGGAGTGCTACTCTACAATACCCAGCAGGGAATTATGGGGGATGGGAAGGTGGGACTAATTCATTGTGTCACTGGGTTTGGTAATAAAGAGGAAGACATCAGCTGGGAGTCAGGAGAAATCCTGCAACTGTCACTTCACACCCTGCAGTGTTTTTGCATTATTGTAAAAATATGAGTTTCTGTTTTTTTTCTCGCCTTTTTTCTCAATACTGGCGCACATTAAGTTGCTGCTTATGACCCCATCATGACAGGTTCAGCACAGGAAGAAACTTTCTATTTATATTGTAAAGTTAATTTAAAGGCATGGGAGATGATCCATTAGCATTAAGTTATTCACCGAAATTTTCTCTTAACTGTGTATGTTCTTCCTACTAGATGCTATATAAGAAATCATCTAAGTACCCATCGCAGGTTGTTCAGTACCGTGCCCAAACTTTAAATATTTAATGCTCAAGAGCCTTTCAACACCTCCCTTGGTTCTTTAGATCAAAATCCTAACATAGTGTGGTTAGCCAAGCTAAATATGATTACTCTAGAGGACAGAGCTGAGAGAACAAATAGAGACAGAAGAAGGAAATAATAGGACAGCAGCTGGAAAGCAACCATGTAGTTTACCTTACTCACCCTCAGCTACACAAGTCATGCATGTGAAACTGCATTCTTGTTTTGCATAAAACACTCAGAAATGTTGACCAAACAAAGCTCTTCCTATAGACTTTTACCATCAAATCTTAAACTGATCAACGATATTAGACTGTTTTTTTTTTATCTCATGTAACTATCAATGTGTTCTGTTTGTTGTTTCAGATCCCCTTGACTTGGTGAGTAGAGCCTTGGTCCATTAAAACATGCTCACTGAGTAAAAGTAGTGTTTAAGTAACAAACATACATGTATGCATAGCTATTCAGGCTCCTGCAAGACATTTGATGGAATGTCTTTCTATGTTACAGGAGCCTGGGATGTCACCAGGTAAGTACTTCCAGTCACTCAACATTTGGAGGTTGTCCCAGATGTTCTGCCAGCTGTCATGTTTGTATGACTGGGACTGCTTTTTACCAGCATGGCTGTCTGTTGCCATCTAGTGGATGGCTCAAATTTAACATTACAAGCCACACAACGTGGGCGACTGTTCTATTGTGATGGATGTCATGGTTTTTTTGTTGTATTTTGTCAGGTTTTTGTCCCAATTCAGCCATTTCTTTTCATTTTAAGTGGGCAGTAAATATGCATACAGTAAATGGTCCTGGAACAAGTCTGAACTCAGTGTTGTAGTTCAATTTTGCATACATATATTAAATATTTATCCGACCCTTTTCCCCAAAGACAGACCTCCTCCTGAACCCATAAGTGCTCCCACTTACCTCTGCTTTGCCTCCAGGTCCTAAAATGGTGGCAGTGAGGAACTACCATGGCACACCAGCACCTCAAGGGAAAACTCCTCTCTGTTTCCAAACGGGAGATTTTATTGAGCTCCTAAAGGGGGATCCAGACACAGCATGGTGGGAGGTACCTCAGATTGTCATTTATTAAATCTGATCATCCACCTCTTTAGTACACAAACAATGACTCTTGTTTTGGACAGTTGGCCTACCACTCAAGCAGGTTTATTGGATTTGAAATGACAGATGAGTCAGAGGCTCAGCTGTAAACTTTAAAGCTACTGCTCGCTATTCATGTCCCAACAACGCAAATCCCAACGAAAAAATAATTTTCCACCTTATTTTTTGTGTAGATTAAACTAACAAGATTTCCCTCTGAGCTTTAGAGTTGTTAGGAGATGGATTGTAAGGCATAAGACGCGGCTAGCTGTGTCCCCCACTTAATCTGTGTTTGCAAAACTAACTGTAAAACTAACTAACTACCTTATATCTCTACAAACATGAAGGCGACAAGTCAGAATTATCCAGCATGACAACCACAAACTACTGAACAACAGACTGTCAGAACAAACAGATTATTGTTATTACTTACGTTCTAACAGTGAGAACAATTTGGTGGAGGGGGTTGGCTGGTTACTAATGGCATTTAATTGTCTTCCAACTGAACTTTCTCTGAGCTGCACCTGCAGGCCTGGAGAGCCATTTAAATTAAGTTATTCATATGGATGATGGGAGCTGTGACACAAGTGGCTGTGGGGTCATTTGATGCCCCCACTGAATCATTGAGTTTTATATGCTAATATTGGAGCAGCCTTTTCACAGTATGACTCAGGGCAACTCTGATGCTGTGAATTTTTCTTTGCTATTACACTTAGCTATCCCTCGAGAGCACGGCAGTTTAATCTCCCTGTGCGATGTCACGGGGCGCGCCGCTCAATATCGATTACTACAGGCAGCACAGTGAAGGCCCTTCATCACATCATCAGTGTGATGTACGGAATATGTTTTCCATGCTGAGTGAACATGGCATCGTGTCTTATTTCTATTGGCAGACTTAATTTTTTTCTTAAGAAAGATACTGCAGTTATGGTGTAAACTGGTGCCATGCTGCTTGTTGTTATGTTTCCACTGGATGGCACCAAAGTTTCACATTTGAAGTAAAGACGAGAAAGAACTAGTAGTGTTTCATAATGATTGCTTCCAATGATGGCAGCGGTTTCTTTGCTTTTACCTTTTTTTTTTAAATTCCCAACGTAGAAGTACATCTATCCTCTGCCTCCAGGCAGTAGGTTTGGAAGTCTGGTGTCTGCTAATAAACTTTGCCCTGCCTTGATCTTGCAGGGGAAGCTGATACAAACACAGAAGAGTGGCTTCTTCCCCAGTTCATGTGTGAAACCTTGCCTGGACCCAAAGGTAAACAGCAGGAACTAAGTCATTACAGCTTGTAACACAAGCCCACAGACTCCTGCCTTTTCCTCTGAAGTTATCTTTTTACTGCCTATGTGGCATAGAGAGCATGTCTAGATGAATCACTTTTAAAGCTTTGGTTTAGCACTGTGCTTTAAGGGATGGGGTGTGTTTTATGTACGACAGCCCTTCCAGTCATTATCCAGTCGGCAGTCCTCAAGGGAAGCAGACTACTACGGATATCCTTGGTAAGACAATTAACTCCTAAATGTTGTAGATTTAATGGCTGCGTATATGCTGTACTGCCATTAGCCCATGGTTGCTATCCTATAATTAGTTTAGATCTGTTAGTAGTAAAGATGTGTTCCATTAACTTGGCGCAACAGCAGCCTGACCCCAAGTTAAAAAAAAAATTATATCTTGGCAGCCTTTCCCCTGGTGCTAAATAGAAGAGCCTAAAACTTGGAGGTTGCACTTTTAATTCCTTGCCTCTTTGTAGGTTCGCGGGGAACATGGAGCGCCAGCAGGCAGACAACCTTTTAAAGTCCCACAGCAGTGGGACCTACCTTATCAGAGAGAGGACAGCCGAGGCGGAGCGCTTCGCCATCAGCATCAAGTGAGTATTTTACAACTAGAATGATAGGAAACGTCAAAGGAGGGCTTTTCCCTATCTCATAAGAAACAGAACTCGTCAGCGTTTTTGGGAGCAACTTTTAGCTCTAGCTAATTGTCATTCAGTAATTGCTTTCTTTTTTCCTCTATTTTTATGCCTGTCCTCTGAGAGAGTTCCTGCCACGGATAAATAATGTCGAAGCTCCTACTGGAGCTGCTGTAGAGCGATGTGTCTGGAAGAGAATCCATTTTCCCATTTGCATGCATGGCTGGCACACAGGTGCAACAAGCCCAAATGGACCAGCTTTTACACGATTATAGAAACAAACCCTACAGTCAGCCATAATGTTTGAAAGTTAATTTATTTTAGTCCATGGCCTAAACAAAGCAAATGGGAACAGCTGAACACCACATAAAAAAAAATAAAAAAACGTGGGTTGGGGTTTCTCTTTGCAGATTCAATGATGAAGTGAAACACATCAAAGTCATTGAGAAAGACAGCTGGATTCACATTACCGAGGCCAAGAAGTTTGAGAGCCTTCTGGTAAGGATTATGCAGGACTACGCGGGACTTGAGAAACAAAACGACTGCTGGCACTTTCCAAGCTGAACGGCTCCCATTTTTGTTTGTCCTCTCATTCAACAGGAGCTGGTGGAGTACTATCAGTCTCACTCCCTCAAAGAAAGCTTCAAGTTGTTAGATACAACGTTGCGCTACCCCTTCAAGGCGAGAGAGCGCTCGCTAACAAGGGCCAGCACCCGCTCACCAGGTAATCCTCTTAGATAGTGATTTAGTCATCCTGCTAACAAACGCCAAAAAGGAAAACAGTAAAGAAGTAAATGCCGAAAACATGCCATCACTTGTGAGGACTGTTCTGTCTCCCAGCTCCTCTTTGAAATTATGCAACCTGCAGCCTTTGAGCTGCATCTGCATTGTCTTTTAGTTAGTTTGTTAGCTTAGCATAGTAATCTTACTGTTAAGTTAAGGCTAATAGTAGTCGGACTGCAGCCTTGCAGCCTTGTGCGTTTTTCTGTTGCCCTGAATAAGAAAAAAATTACATGTATTTCTGGCTCCTACGTTTCCGGCCGTTGCTCCTAATAAAGTGGTTGATTTCCATCACACTCTTTGCTTTAGGCAATGTGGGCACCAAATTGTTTCTTTTGGATGAAGAAAAGGTAAAGATCCCAGGCACCTTCAAGGAACTGTAGGTGTATTAAACTGTACTGGATTAAAAAGAAATCTGTGAAACGAAACAGTTCGGGAATCCTGAAAGGCTTGACCGATCCTTTGCATATTCCAACACCTTAGTTTCCCACGGACGACAATTAAAGCTGGAGGGAACAAGCTTCCATGGCCCACTGCCATTATAAACTGAACCCAAATAGGTGGCAGTGAATTTCCACTGCTGCAGCTTTAGCCCTGCACCGACTGCACTCTGTTTTAATATATTCCACCTGCCTCTGTGAATGATTATAGATATGCTAATTTGAATCAGAGGAGATGTTATTATATGCGGGTCCAGCTTACAAATTCAGCCCTTTGCCATCTTGGCTCTCTAATAGAAGTATGTGAGGGTAAAATAACAGACTACCTCCCACTCTCTTTGTCTTCCCTGGTCTGCTGTTCCTGCCAAGGCCAGCGATTGTCTTTACTCATAAAAAGAGAAACTCGGAGAGGACAGAGGACAGTGAGGTTAAATGATGCAGAGTGACAAAGGTGGAAGTCGGCTAACTGAAAGGTTTATGCTTCCTCTGAATTGGCTGGCCTGTCTGTGTGTTAAACTGTATGAATACTGGCTTCAGTCCCACACTGCTCTGTCTTTGTTCGCTTTGCATACTGGCTGCTACAGCCAGGCGTGTTTCCTGCCCATCTCAGCTGGTCACTGGGTGGATTTTAATCTTGACTATGGAAAGACAGCGCTGCGTGGTATTTTCCTGGCTGCAGCTGTGTCACACCTGCAGTCATATATAGCAACAGCTGTGGGATTAAGACGGAAATCTGTAGTCATCAGGATCTGTGACCATGCCACACTGTGGAGGCGGCTTTGTTTAGGGGCTGGTAACAGCCATGGCCAGTGACATCTGCCTCTCGCCTCCCGTTCCACAGCGAACATTTCTGATCCATTAGTATGAATGAAGACATGGGCTGAGGCACCCGTCCGCAAACAGTGTGGGAGCCAGCACCAGGTTGTGTAAACATAAAGCTGCCTAAAATATATAACTAATTTTTGTGTTTGTCAGTGATACTGTTATCCGTCGGCAGTCTTGCTAAACTGTTTGAACGACACAGTAAACATAGTTATTACTTAAAGATGAAGAATTAAAATGTACAACCCATTTTCTTTAAAAAATGCAAGATGCTGCGTGAATTGAAAATGAATGTAATGAAATTTCCAAACATAAACCAATTTCTATTCATGACAACACTAGAAACACATCGGATGTTGAAAGAGACACATCTCTGTTTTATGAGATGTTCTGCTTCCATCCCAGAATGTGTGAGTTAACACCACATGCAGCTGGGTGGGGCAGCAGGAGGCTGGAAAGCATGTCGCAACTAACCAAGTGAAAAGGCAATTAGTAAGAGCACCTCAAAGATGCAGAGATTCTTTGAAGATCCTCAGCACAGAGTGGTGAGATTTTTTGGGATATTATATCATAATGTCGTCATTAGTGAATAATCCTTGGCACAATTAGCAAGATGATACTAAACCACATACTGAAACTACTACTGTATTTTTTATATTTAAGGCAAGAGTGGGACATTTCTCTCTGGTCTTCTCAGTTCCCAGAGACCGTGTTGCATCTATCGGCACGCATTCCTGGCATGAGCTAATAGTTTTATAAAAGTATTAAACAATCCATCTTTCACTTTGCAATATATGTCTATGTTCACTAAAGAATAACGAAGACTAAGCATTTTAATGTACATGTTACATGTTGACCGAGTGTTTTGATCCGTCATCATTGAAAGCATTTATAACTCTTTGCATGCTTTTTCCAGTGTGGCGGGTCCCAAACTGATTTGCTTTGCTAACCACACATAAATGGGGGTCATACTGATAGAAAAATCTTAGTCTTGAGTCACACCGTGACAACAACAACCTAGTGAAGACAGAAAATCAGTGCATTCCTCTTTTGAACTCTTGGTTCTCTTCTCCAGCTCTGCATGTTTGTTCTTCAACCCTTTTCTACCTTTTTGTCTTCCTCTGTCTCTGCCTCCTCCTCTCAGCAGCCTCTTGCGCCTCCTACAACTTCTCCTTCCTCAGTCCGCAGGGCCTCAACTTCTCCTCCTCTCAGAGCTCAGCCCCCTTCTGGTCAGGTACTCGGAGCTTCTTTCTTCTTTCCTCATTTCTTGTTGTCGTCTCACACCTCCCCTCTGCCCCCAGCTGATTCATGCTCTTACACTTGTTGCTTCTTCCCTGAGGCCTCATTAACACATTTCAGGTCTGTGCAGGATGTCACTTCCTTATTAAACCAAGAGAAGGAAGCCCATTTCCTTCTCCTATGAATCAACCGTTTACTGTGCTTTCCAGTCATGCTCGTTGGCCACTTTGTGATGGCAGCGTACCTTGTTGAGCACCATCCTGACCATCTTCCCCCCTCAACCTTTGTCATTAGTCATAATTAACAAATGTGCCAAGCAAAAGGTGTTTGTGATCAGCTCTGTTCATCGCGTACCGCACTGAGAACTAAAGGATGCGTCTTGTCACTGCTTTGATTTTCAGTGTTCACCCCCCGGGTGGTCAGCACCGCTGTGGCCAGGTATAACTTTGCAGCTCGGGACATGCGGGAGCTGTCCCTGCGGGAAGGAGATATTGTCAAAATTTACAGCAAGATTGGCGGAGACCAGGGCTGGTGGAAAGGAGAGGCCAATGGAAGAGTAAGTGTCGCAATGTAGCTGCGAACTAAAGAGCAGAAGGCAGAAGTTCTCTTCACTTCAGTAGGTTAGAAATATGCACCGGCCTATCGGCAGCACTCCTGTAGACGTTCTCACTACCCTAAGAGATTCAATTTTACTATTAAAGCACAGAAGACAAAAAGTTAAAGCAGGCAGTTGGAAGGAAAGAAGAAAACCTGTGTGCTGGGAGGTTTGCCAGGTCCATAGGCTGGCTGTAAAACTAGATGTGATATCAGCGTTTTATTTGCAGAATATTCTCCATTAGGCTGTCGATTTGACAATGTTAATAGAAGCTGTGGAGTCACACACCGTGTCCAAACAGCTCCTGCTATACTGAGCCAAACTTTTCTGCAGTCTGGGGTTGAAGTGGTAATTTGGATTCTGTCACAGTATGTTTCCACTTTTAGTTAGACTCCTTTAAACACGTAGGTAGAAAATAAGCTTACCAGTTGAGAGATTAAACCTTGTCAAAGCCTTCACCGTCATTTTTTCAGATCCAAGTCAGTGCTGCTTCTATATGGAGCCCAATGTTTTTCTATTTTGATCAGCTAGAAGACCTGGTGTCTCTCCAGCGTCATCACACACCAAACTCTGAGTTTTTCTCTGACCATAACCTGGTTCTTCTCTTTTCACTTTTCATTTTCATTCCTACAGAGTGGAAAACCTCATCTGGGTGACGGTCTCCTCCAAACAACAAAAACTGAGTTAAAAACAATCAAATAAAAGAGATAGTTGTGGTCTGGATCTTACTAAGAAATGATTATGTTTATACAGGTGGTTCATGATTTTTCTAACCCTAACCCAAATAGAATGAAGAAAAGCTCATTTAGGGAGAGCAGGTTTAATAATCTTCTGTCATAAAAGCAGTGGATAGCTTTCAGGTCATAGGCACAGTTTTTTTTTTTGTCAAATTCAAACTGCTCGTGCTAATATTCCAGTAGTTTTAGCATCACACAAGCATCTGACAGCAAACAGTGTCGCTACTTCTTACCTGATGAAAGCGATTGTGTCATTTAACTTGCGGTGGGTGTTTCTCCACCGGTCAGCTGAAACCATCAACTAAAATGCTGGTTTACAGACAAACTGTCAGTCTGGGTTGAAATGACAAACAATGACAAAAGACAGTACAATTTAGCAAATCCTCTCTGGAAATTTAGAGAAACTTCTCAATGACAGACAATTCCAAAGTCTTTCAGTGGGCACAAAGAAATCCTGAGCATATTGCACCAGTTTTAATTCTGTAAAATCAACAGGTCCGCGTCTGGTATTGTGTTCTTTGTTAAGTCGAAAGAGGTTTTGTGCACCTGCAGAGCTTGTCTTTACTCCTCTGTCCACCAGCTATACTCAATTTTAACACTTGGATCAAATTCAAGGAAACTTAGGACTCGTAATCCTGCCAGGTGTAAGTGGAGGTCACAGCGTTACCATAAACACAGCCTATTATTACCTCTGGAAGTTCAGTGTTTGCTTCACTATTAGGGGAAGTTGTTGCCTGGCAACAGCTGAGGTAGTATTTGAAGTAGCCTTAATTGTCTTTGTGGAACCCAGACAAGGCAGCCCGTGGATACAGTGCACGTGTTCCGGCATGTTCCTGTGGACAGCAGCATGCTGGGTGGCCTCATTTTGATATGTTCATACCACAAATGACACAGAACCCTGAAGTTAGCTTCCAATTCACAGCATCCATTGGTGAATTAAGGGTTGGGCATAAAGGGCCAATTCACAAAACTTTTCACATGCAGATTTGGATTTTGGATGGTCCAAAAGCCCAATAAATTAAAAGAAGACAAGCTCAGATGGCTTTTGTTTTTTCATAGACCAAATACAGTTTTATGAAATCATAAGATATGTTTTAAAAACTCTTTTGAATAGTTACATCCAGATTGAGAAGTATACTTACTGTACTTTTTCATACTGGACCAATGACCAAAAGCCCAAAGCTTTGTGATTAGCATGTGACAAACAACTGTGAAATGGCTGTTTAGCCCATCTGTCTGATTCACAACTTTAGTATTGTTGGAGGCACAGCATTTAAAAATGTACATGAGCTCAATTATCCTCCCTTGTTGTTTGTGGCTGATGTCAGAGCGAGCGTCTCTGTAACGGCTTCTCTGTCCTGTTGCAGATTGGATGGTTTCCCTCAACCTACGTGGATGAAGAAGGAGTGCAGTAAGCTTTGGATGTTTGTGGCCAAGTTCCCTTTTTTAAATCAGGCACCATCGTCTGTCTACTGTCCTCAGAGAAAATGACTCACTCTCCAGGAAAAGAAGATTTTTTTTCAGCTGGATTTTTACTTATCTGCAAGACATTTTTCTCCATTTCTGTCTTTAATAATGCATCGTCTTTTTTTTTTTTTTTAAAGGATGGCCTGTTTTAATTTCTGTACAGGAAAAAGAAAAATAACTTTCTTGCTGTCTGTGTGCAGAGACTGTCAGACTGAAGACACAGAATAAGCGGGCTGTTGATAGCTTTACTTAAAAAAAGACTCCCCTTTGTTGCAGGTCTGTGTGAGGTGAATTAATTGTACAGTATAGATAATTTATTGAATAGAGATTATTATCATTGCTAATGGTTATTGTGGGGAAGTTGGTTTAAGTGAAGAATCAGATCAGAAAAACTAAAATTCAAAAAAAAAAAGAAGAAAAAAAAAAGCTGTGTTTCCATGTGAGAGATTTTGCCTTAGTTGTCATGGTGATGCCTTGTAGGCTGACACCAGTGGAGGGAATTGACTTTGTGGACTGGTTTTACTTACTCCATGTATGCATGTGCCCATGTGTGGCCTACAAAAACACATGCCCACACACAGACACACACACACACACGCCAATGTACAGTACGGTGCCTTCGAATGGTTGTTGCTTACTGAACCTCAGCATCAGCCAGTAAAAGAACATCCCCGTCAGAGAGCTCGTCCACATGCAAAAGACTCCACAGAAGGAGGGGAGAGGCACTCACAAGACATGATGGGGACAGCTCTCCCTCTGAGCGCTCAAAGAGCGAGCCCTCCCTACAGGAGACAGGGTGGACTCACAGAGGCAGCTGGAGGGTTTTTTTAGCCACAGCAGTCACACACACATCTCACATCTGTCCTGCTGTCACAAGCCCGTGGGTGCAATCAGCTGAACGCGAAAGGGAAACATCAAGGCATTCATCTCCAAAGGCCATGTCAGACTTTTTAAATCTGTGTTTGTTGTTTTTTTCCCCATCGTTTCCTGCACAGAATCGTGACTCCTTTTTAAGTTTGAGAGCTGAACCAGCAGCTTTCGCTTTAATCATTTGAAGCCAAATCCAGTGTCTGCATGAGGTTTGTTTGGTGGTTATGATTTCTGAACCTTGCCTTATTTTTATTTTTTCATCAACAGATGATCAGGTGATATGATCCCCCCCACACACCCATTTTAAACATGTTTTTTTATGTGCAAAATTAATTTTATTGTTGGGTGAGGTTTCGTTTTTAATCTGAAGGAAACTTTGTGTGCAAGACATGAATCCACAGAAGGAGCTCTTAATCACATTTGTGATTTTTCTGGAGTTGCAGTGCTTAGTGTTTCCGTTTATTCCCACGCGTTTCCTTGTGCCATAAATACTTCTCAGATGTACAGCCATTTACTGTGCAGGGTGCTGGCATGTTGCTCTCTCGAGAGCATAAAGGAACCATCTGACTCTCATCTTTGGGTTTTACTGAAACTCTGACTTCTGTTTACCAAGTTTTCATGACATAAAACGAATCATAAAATTGGAGGTTGAAGTCTGTTAACCAATTCTTCCACATGGCCTTAGAACTAACCTTAAAGGAGACATATTATGCCCTTTTTTCTGAACTCAGCATTCATAGAGATCCTAATGATCAAAACAGCATAGAGATAATACAACACCTTCATACAGCCCTAAATAGCCCCATGTAGATGGTTTCTAGGCATGGAGCCACTTCACGGGCCGTGCCTTATTTGAGTTTAGCATATAGCCTGAAAGCTCACACTAGCACACGAAGTGAACCAGGCTCTGACCACCACACATTAAACCCAAAGATATTTCAGTTTCTCTAAGGAACTCTTGTGAATCATATTAAACTGGACCAGGTTTTCAGGAAAACCCACATCCACTGACAGAGCCGCTAAAATGACGTGACTGCTCTGGTTTCACGCTCATATTTCTCTGTATTTTCTTCTTTTCTTTTTTTTTTTTGAGAGGTTAGTGTTGAAATGCTTTCTTCTGGTGGTAGGCTACTGATGCTGCGTTCAAATTTAAACGTCTGAATCGCCATCCTCTAAAAGAGGAGAAAAAGAACAAGACTTTAGATGTCATAGATAGGCTTTATGTTGATACACACAGTGCTGGAGGAGCACTGTTAGCTCGTGTTTTACTTTTAAGTGAACTGCTTAACTACTGATGAGAATTACCGGAAAAAAATAAAAGAACAAAAGAGTTTTGACTTTCTACCTCTGAGGTACAGCTAATGCAACATGTTTCACACGCAGATATTTTTTTATGTTTTTGATCTGGTAGTTCAAAATGTGCTCTCAGCCACATAAACATTTTATGATCCTTTGTCGTAATATGTCCCCTTTAAGATTTTAAACACATCTGTCTCAGCAACAAATATCGCTTACACAACTCTACCATCGTCTCTACCATCGTCAGCCATCTGAACATGTTATTGACTCTCCACCACACTCTCCATTGAGAAGAGAAGTGAAAACACTGAGCACCTCAGCTCTGGCTGGTTCACAGTGAATTACAGAGCAGAAGATGCTGATACGTTTAGGTTCTAAACCGTCTAGGACGTGTGTTACTGAGGAGGCCGCTCATCCTAACACACAGACTCCTACCACTGGGCGAGTGGAGGGTCATCTGGACTCGCTGGAGGGTGGAGGTGGCCGTGTAGCCGCTTTTGTTTTTGTTTTTTTTATGTAGTGGACAAAAACCCATTGCATGTGACTATTGATATGTCAACTCCTGTCGGTTCATCTTTGAAAAAAATACGTACCTATTTGTGTACAATCTTTTTTTGAATGGGTGATGATTTCCAAATGAGGTCTATTATAAAATAAATATTTCTTTTGATTCATTTTTGTTTGTTTTTTCTGTGTTTTTGTCCACACTGTGGTTGAGCGTCCATTGAAACATTCCAGCGGAAGGTCAAATCCTCCCTGTACTGATGCAGAATATCACACCTCATCTCCGTACTTGCTGTCATGTTCCGCTGATGCGTATTTGTCCTCCGGTGTGTGTCCGTCGCTGCCGTCCTCATTAAAGGAGATCACCTCGCTCCCGTCCACCTGCCGGAAAGCCACCTGTGGGTGCTGACCAGAGCTCCGGCCTGTGCGCCGACTGGCCGGGCGACTCTCAGGGGGCTGCGCGTCCTCCCTGTTTCACATCAAAGAAGAAGAGAGGGATTAAATGTTTCTACCATCCAGGAAACGATTCACATTCAAAGGAAGTGAACTTCATATATTAAGTAGTTATATATTGATTGTGCTTTAGAAAAATGATATTCTATGTTGAAGCACCAAATTATCCCGATTCAGAGGGCTTTGGATTTTTTTTGTTTTTTAAAGATAAGAAACTGTTTAAGATTCTCCTCCCCATGTAACTGTTGACCTGGTTGTGTTGGTAGCTTATCCCTCCTCTCCACACACTAGGCGTACACTTTTTACTATGGAAAATAATGCTGCCCTGTAGGTATGAGGGGAATCTTTGTGTTTGCCTATTTGGAGATTCTTCCCAAGGGAGCCTCTTTCACTGAGACTCTGCTTTCACTTCCTCTCCTCCCAAAGCATAACATTCACTCTGGTGGTTTATTTCAACCGACGAACCACTTGGAAAAAAAAAATGTACACGAGGCCTTCGCTTGTCAACAGTGCTGCACACTCTCAAACACAGATGTTAGTTTGGATTTGGCATCTATCTGAAATTGCAAAGCCGGTTAAGATCTGGTTTCGATCAAAGAAAACACTTGCATGACCAATTGAATTTTGTAGTTTGTGCTACTGGGAAGGTTTTTTTGTTTTGTTTTGTTTTTTTTAACTCCAGTACTCCTTTTCTTTCCTTGAAATTACTGAAAGCTAATGTGGAAAAACAAAATGTTTGGAATACAATCTAATGACAATTTGCTTTCTCATTTACAGGCTGTTTGGAAAAATGACTTGCCTCATTGTTGCTCACAAATGCTGAAAATATAACATGCACAATATTAGCCACAGGCAGCCTCATAATGCATTTTATACACTGAGCTTTTTCTTAATTTTCATTTTCACTGGTAGTGAAATATAATACAGACGGATTTAAAACAAAAAGAAACCCAGAATTAAACAAGTAATTTGTACTTTGTTTTAACCATTGCCTTAATCTATTTGATGTAATGTCACACAATATATTACATGAAATCTCTCTTTAGGACCCTTTTTTTTGCAGTTTCCATGGTTTCCTACAGCTTTGATTGTTCAAAGCTTTAGTGCTCATCAGCAGCTCATTGTTCTGGTTGTGCAGCCCCTGTAGCTGTGTTCTTATCGGAGGTGCTTTAAAAAGCAGCTTCCTCCATTGTAGAACTCCTATAGAATCCAGAGTTTGGCTGTGCAGGTGACAGTGGAAACCTCGTCTGAAGTAGTTCACAATGTGTGTGTCGGGTAGACTGAGACGTGCTGCATTGATGGTACTAATGTTCCAAAACCAGTTGTAAGGATATATCAGATGTAACTGAAAACAGAATGTCGGCTTATTTGCAAATCTCCAAAACGATGTGTACCTTTGCTGTCGAAAACGGCAAACGTGTTAAACGATGAAGAGGAAAAGAATATATATTTTTTTAAATGTTAAAAACATCACAAAATATGATAGCATATTAGCTCACTGTGGTTTTGAACATGCAAAGCGGAGGCAGGAAACAGCCGGAGGAGCATCTAATTAGCAAGTCATTAGATTAATTGACGAAGGGATAGCGACATGATCGGATATGAAAAGACCACCTCTGAGAGTCGGAGGGTCTCAGAGATAAAGATCGTCAGAATGTAAAGCCAACAGTGAAATTATTTAAGCAAGTTCGACCGGTTTCAGAGTAATATTCATCAGTGTTCTAAGTCCCATCATTACAGTGGATCAAATCAAAGTATCCAGACAATCTGGAGACAAGTCTTTGCACAATGGACACTGTAAGAAATCAGAGATGATCCTGTCAAAGAAAAACCCCTTCATGTGCTCAGGAATGCTTCCAGAAATCCCCGCACCCTGCCGTCCACAAATGTGGCGCTCTGCCAAACACAGAGGGTCTATGTGATCATCATCCAGGGTTGCAGCTTTCTTGCCTGAGCCAAAAGTCTGTCCAAATACACCGAGGTTAAGTGGTAAACTCTTCTGTGGTCAGATTCATTGAATTTTTATGAGGAATCGGGCAATTTGCGCATAAAAAAGACATCAAACGCTGAGCACTATCTACAGACTTTAAAGGAACAGAAGTTTGCATCCTGACATCGTTTTCAGAGAGGGCCGTGCATATTTCAGCAAGACAATGTCAAACCACATTCTGTGCTAATCCAACAGCGTGGCTTTGGGTTTTGTTTTGTTGTTTTTTTTTGTTGCTGAAGCTTTGTAGTAGAGGGCTGAGGATTCTGGACTGGCCCGTCTTCATTTGTGCTATAATTCAGCCATCCATCTTCCATCATTCAGCGTCTCGGGGATCTGGAGCCTATTCCATCTGAGATTGGCGGGAGAGAGGGAGCACATCCCGGACAAACTGCCAGTCCACCACAGTTTGGTGGTTCATAAAATGCTAAATAAAATGCAAAAGACAACAGAGAGCCGAACTGTTGATAAACTATCATCCTGCATCAGACAAAAATAGAGCAATGTTTCTCCTCCATTCCCAGATTTGGCTCTGTTTTCCGCCATCAAATTCCAGATGATTCAACTCTTCATAAAAGATAAAGTCTCACTTTTAACCTATGTGTCATATATTTAACTGTAAATGACACATGCAAATATCAAAACCAATCTCTTCTTCCCGTCAAACATGTTAGATATCGATAGAGTTGGATTAATTTGTTGTAGTTTACCTGTTGGGTTCACATTTTAATTCAACCGTAGCAGTTTCCGAATTCCCAAAATCCAGCTCTCTGATTCGGGTTTGACCAGATAAATGGAATTCAAAGAACACACTGTTTCACTCCTGCTGCAGATTTGGAGTCCAAGGTTAAACTGCTCCGGAACTCTGTTCAAATAATCTGAACCTTTTTTTCTGCTAGTAATATATTTTTGTGGGTGTTTTTTTTCTTTGTCTACCTGGAGCCATTGTCTGATAACGAGTCGGCCCTGTTGTCACAGCTGGAATCCTTAAATTCTGCCTCTCCTCCCTCAGACTGTGTATATCGTGTTGATATGAGGGGTCGGGGGGGTCCGCGTCAGCGTAGCGGTTTGGCGTGTTCCTTCGTCTCCGGTGCCCAACGCTGCCCTCCCACACTGAGGCCGCTCGCCTTTCAGTGTCTGCTCTGAAAGCGTGTGGGCTGTTTTCCACAGCTGAATCAGGACTGTGTGTATTTTTGGGAAACGATGTTTATTTAAAAAGGAGAAGTCCTTCCTGAGATGTCAGAGCTGTGGGGGGTTCTGTCACAGATCTTCGCCCCTGCATCCAACATCCTGACTGCCCAAAATAAGAAAAAGTGGGGATATTTTGAAAACTGTAAATAAAAATACAGATATTTGCCTTAACCCCCCCCCCCTCTCTCTCTTAAAGACAAAATAAACCTACTACAGTTTCCAATTACTTTGCCTTATCTCCATTTGATTAGTTCGCTTTTCTTTTTTCGTTGTTTTTTAACAGATAGATAAGGTTTTATCACTTTGGAATGGTGCTCCCCTTCTTAAACCCCTCATGAAATACTTAACTGAGGACTCCAGTCTTACTAAAGCTCTTTTTAAACTGCGGACCAGGGGAAAGTCACCGCTGCAGCAGGTTGAGTGCCTGTGCCGCTTTCTCAGTGGTGCGTCTGCAACGACTGAAGCTGCTTCTGAGTTCCCGTGTTGAAAAATGCATGGATGATCCTGGATTGATGTTCCTGTCACATGAAGGTATTGGAGCATTTTGCAAGTGCTCCGCCATCGCTTTCATTTTTTTTTTACTTGCTAATTTGGGAAACTTAAAGGACACCAGGAGCATAATAACCAGCTTTTAGCATGGACTGTTTATAACGTGGATACCTCATAATGATTAAGTTAACATGGTGATTTTGAATGAGTAATTGTGGGGGGTTTTTCCATTCTTTTTTGTTCTAAAAATAAAATTCTAAAAAAAATCATGTTTGGGCGTATATGTGTGTGTTCCAATTTTTCATTTGTTTGGTCTTCGATTCTTTCTTTTTTGGCTTTCCAGACTGCATTTCTTGTGTGGCGGATTTGTTTGGGAAGGCTTTAACTCTCAGGCACAAAAAAGGGAGAATAAATTCTTTGTGGCTATCGATGTTTTGAGGAACAAACAATCAAATGCAAAATAGCTCCAGACATCCAGTTAAAATGCGGCTCGTATAAATGCATGCCTGACTTCAACCCACTGATGAAGCGAAAGTGATTGCAGTGCCGACACAAAGTGAGATAAGAATTCGGTGCTGTTAGTAATTAGTTTGGTTGTAGAGGCTGACATGCATCAGTGGAGGAGCAACAACAGGAGGGAGAGGAGGAGTAGAAATGTCTTTACAAACCTGCTGCCCAGCCCCTAATTACTTCTTAGCACCAGGAGCATCGGGGGGGATTTTGCCCTCGCTTTAGATCAAGTTCCTAAATTCAATAGAGCAGTTTGCTGCAAGTCTAAGGCTGAAACACCCAGCGGTGGTTTGTAAGGAAGGTGGCCATTTCCATGAAAGACAGAGAAATTCCACACGTTTTTCTTTTTCAGACCACCATCCATTCAACATGTAACTAAAGACATTCGTTTTTCACCTTGATATTTAAGGTTTGAAAGACTGAATCAGGCCTTTTGTTTGATGCTGGCATTGAATTACTTTAATGCTTTTGCCTTCTTCTTTTTTTTTTTTTTTTAAGAACTTGTCTAGACCAGCAGAAGTTTTGTACTCCCAGTATTCACCTCATACCTGATCTCGTTGGAGAACTCCTTCTCAGAGTGACGTCTGCTGCGTAATTTCCAGAAAAGCAACGCGGCGAAGACCAGCAGGATGAAGATGAGAAGCAGCGAACCAACGGATGTTCCAACTATCACGGCTGCTCTGTTAGGGGCTGCGGGGTGGGAAAGAGCGGATTAGTCACTCACTTACAACACAATAAAGAGCACAGACCTAGCTCCTGTAGCTACGTGATATTGTGTGTGTTAAAAGCTCACTGGTACTGACAGCTTAGAAGCCAGCCAATTAAACATGGGCCACTTCCCCCAAGTCAATTCTAGAACAAAAGGTCAGTGTTCTAAAAAGCGCAATTTAAGTGAAACTCAAATGGATTTCATCTGAGGCTTGTTTGAGCGACTCGGTTTTCATGTGTTTGACATGCGTTTCCAGCTGAACATTGCCCTCTGAAAGTGATAGGCCATGTGGCTGGAACCCGGCGATAGTGTCAGGAGTCTAATTGTTATTCTGGTCAAAGTGAAGTACTTTCCACTGAATCATAGCTGGAAGTTCCTCACAGGAGATTTGTGTCGCTCAGCCGTAGAATGCCTTCAGAATGCCTTCCTGTTTATTGTCACAATAACTGGAACTGATTGAGCCTTGGCCATTAAACCTCAACATTCTGACCTGTGGATCACTAACAGCAATTTCACTACATGTCATAAAATGGGTTTACATGGACACAGAAACAAGATATAAGAACTATTTGAACTGTTGAAACATATACAGACAGGTATGGATAGCTGGAACTAAGACTGATGACTTCATCTCTGGTGGATTATTGTCTGTTGTCTGTTCACAAGCCTAAACAAAATGTATTTTAACACAAGACCAACAATACAAATACACGTATTTGCAGTAAAACTATTCCATAATGCTGTTAACTGTGATGCAAGCTCCTGGCTGGATTCCCGAGCCTCCGGGATGGAACCCCTGATCAGGAACAACAGGCAGCACTTGAAATGAAAATGAATCATTCAGTGCTTAAAGCCAAAAATTAGAGCTCTGAGTAAAGGCGTGGACTTCATAAGATAAACGTTCCAAACTAACTCCTTTTATGGATCCAGAGAATGTGGTTTGAGACTCAGCTCAATGTGATGATCTGCTCCTTAATAGCATGCTGAATAGCTGGCTGGACTCTCTGCCTATCTCACAGTCACCACATGAGACAGCTGCTATACATCTGCTCCCAGTTTTACTAAGCGCCCTATTGGATATACATATATATATATAGACTGATTTTGTTTTAGGTAATTCTGCCTACACAAAAACAACCTGATGAGCACCCTTTCTCTCTGATATTCCTCTGTTCCCGATTCAATTGGAATTCTGAAAGCAAACTGAACAGTGTTGTGATTTACTTTTGTATAACTTAGTGATTCAACAGAAGAAAGGCAGTCGCAGGGAGCAAAAAATAAACAAAACCCCTACATGAATATGGTTGTTTCGAGCCACTGAATGCAATGCTTTTGCTGTCATATTGAAGAATGACGCACTCATGTCACAGGCAACGGCAGCTGAAATCCGGTGTTTGCAAAGTGGAGCAACCAGGAGATTGTGGCACAGCTACAAAGAGATGAGGCTAAAGAGGATGAAATCTAAAAGCTGTCTTGTTATTGATCTCATGTGTGCGTCATGCGTGGTGTGTGAACAAGAACATCCTGTGAGAGAGTGTATTATCTTACGCTTGTTGGCTTTCAGGTTGATCTCGCAGCGCTCAGCTCCAACGGCATTGTTCACCTCACAAAGGTACATCCCGGCAAAGCTGGGAGAATGGTTGCTGATCTTCAGCTCTCCCGTCCCACTGTCTGACAGAATGTGCACATCAGTTCATTAATGAGGGCAAAACTGGTTGTCAGTTTGTAAATGCGAGCACAAAAAATGTTCCAGCTATTTTCATATCCAGCAAAGGTGTGAATGAGGCAAAAAGAAAAATCTGTAATCGCTTGTTTATGATTTAAAAGGTGACGCCAGCAAAACATCTCTCCGTTTAGTCACACAAATTCAGCCTCAAGCTTTTTCAGAAGAATCTGTGTCCAGACCAGGTAGAAGATGGTCTTTTCTTCTTCTTCTTTTCTATTTTTTTTACTATTTCCAGGAACACTTCAAATTGTAACAAGGGTCCATCTGTCTGCCAAAGACAAGCTTAACCCTTTAAAATCCGGCTCAACTATTTGGTAGAGCACATTTTTCTTGTATACTTGGTCATACGTATGCTAGCTCTAAAATTAAGTTTAAGCTATGTGACGCTTACATTAAACATGAGTTAGGACATTTTTCTTCAATTTTTCCATCCTTATTTCTAAGTGTAGATGTTAAAGTGTTAAGCCCCGAAGACTCTGTGTTCCTGTATAGAGGTGACAAAATATTGTGGGTTTCGATGAGCGAAACCCACAAGAGAATTCTTAGATTCTCTTTTTATACCTAATCCCGACACCCTCAACCACCCCAGTTAATCTGAAAGCTATTACTTGTATATTGTATCATCTTCACTTGCCTTTCATTGCCTTGCTTCAAACTTTCTGTAGCTGTTTGTGGGGAGATTTTCATTTATTCTTATTTTACAAATTATATAACTCGAGTCTGGGAAATAAATGAGCGACACACAGAGAAATGTTTTCATGGCATTTTAGAAAATTTCTGTACTCTGTATGGATTTGCGTTTTGCAGATTGCTGCCTATTATATATGCATGCAATTTGGTTCTTGTGGTATTTCATGCTGGTAAAAAACCCTGATAAATGCAGACTGCTGTAAACAGCACTGAGATAGCCCTGAATATTTCTCATGTCATTACAAAAGGAAAAACAAATTTCAGCTTGCTAAACAAATACAAAATACATTTTTCAATCAATTGTATAAAGTCATTGTTTCTTAATATTTTTTCCTGGATTTATTACAGGGTTGCCAATAAATCAAGACAAAGAAAGTGAATAAGTACCTGTGCAGTCTGCTGTTTGCACACTGTTTTAAGTAACACTGAGCCTTCCTACTCTCTCCTCAAAACCAACACACACATGCAACACACGTACACACAGGCACACACACACGCACACACTCTTTGATATGTAGTAGCTTTGTGACGTCAACAGAGGTCAGACTTACTCTGCATGGTGGCATCCGGCAGACGTTGTGCACTTTGGCTCCTCCACCTGTATCTTAATGGAGGGGAGCCTTTAGCTGAGAGGCAGTGCAGAGAAACGGCTTCGCCAACAAGCTCCTGACCTTTGACCCAGCACTTAGGTACAGATGGCTTCACTACAATCATAAAATATATGTAAGGTTTCTTTTTTTACCTTGCCATGCAATTAAAACAAGGTTCAGAGAGAAAAAAAGATGCGTATCTTTTAGAATGATGAACCTTGAGGGACTGTTTTCAAGTTACAGTGAAAAAGCCTTGTCATATCCTAAGCTTAAATAGAGATGATCGTTGAATGAATGACAGATGGAAAATTAGTTATAGCTCTAGACGTTAAAATAATTACTTTCTTGCTCCAAAAAATAAATAGATTATAAACTACATCTATCATAACAAATGACTAAATATTTGAACACAAAATTTCATCACATTTAAAGTTTGACTGAATAGAAACACAAGGCTGAAACATCTAGATGCAAGGGCAGTCCTAATTCAAAAAAAGATTAAAGAGGAAAAGCGAACAGAGCTTACTGACTGTGAAATAACAGAAGTAATGCAAAGAGCTCAAGGCATTGTCTGAACAACTTTTTCCATTTGCACGACGAACTAAGAACACAAGTTTGAAAAGGATGTGTTTCTTCTCAGCCTAGCCTGTGAGAAATACAGTGGCCTAAGGCTGATGCACAAGGTTGATAATGAATATTTATTCAGCGATGCCCTTGTTGCAAGTGGGAGGCGATTTCATCAGGTAAATCTCTACTTTGAAATTATTGCTGTCAGAGGCCTACGGCATAGGACATGACACTACTGTCTTTAAATGATGCTGAAAAAACCAGTCAAGATAAGTGAGGGTGAGTTATCTAACTGTCTCTGTCAAAGACTGTTTGCTCATATTTTGGGAAATCTAAAACATTACTAGCCATCTCACCTTTTTCCTTTCTCATTCTTAAATTCCCAAACCACCGGTTTGATGGGATTCAGTAGCACATGCAGAAGAAGACCTAATCTGCAAACCCTCCACCCTACATTGCGCTGGGCCCAAAGGATCTAGTGTTAATATCACAGATTCAGCCGCCCTTAAATATTTTTTTGTCTATGCTGTTGTGGCTAAATTTGCTGAACCCAAGCTGTGTATTGTAAGGTGTGCAAACATCCAGATTTAACAGGTTCCACAGACAGGCCTGAAGTATGCTGGAGCATCTCTGTTAAATATGTGCTCCAAGTCCCCAAAATCCCACCGGGAGCCCTCACTGAGAGGCTGACGACGGCTAAATTAAGACCCTGTGGGACTTCAACTTCCAGACAAACAAGTAGCTGGTTGGAGCAGGAAACTAAAGTTGAGACAGTCTTGTAAATCCCAGATGGCAGTGACCTCAGGAAGGAGAATGAGAAGGCTCACAAGTTTCAGAAACTGTAACAGCAACTCGAACAGATGATGAAATCAAAGATGACATAAGTGGAACAAATCATTTGTGAGTATGTTACCAAACAGGTTCAAACAACCAAAATGCCAGAATTGTTTTTGTGTAAGAGTCCTAATACTTGTGGACTAAATGAGAAGGCACGCAAACGCAACAAGTGACAATGCCAAGTGAGCTTTTCTTTCAACCCTCCCAAACACCTGAACTCGGTAGCTGTTAAAAGTGACTGACACAAATAGTGCGGCAGGGGGACAGGTGTCAACCCCAGGTCAGAGCCCCATGCCCGCTCTCACCCATTACCACCAGCGACATCTTCCGTGTGTCCACCCCAGGTGACTTCTTCACCTTACACTGGTAGGTAGCACTATGAACAGGTGACAGCCGTGAGATCCAGAGAGAGGCGTCACCGTTGGAGGGGTCGCCAGCAGCAAAGCTGAGCCCTTCTGCAAAAGCGTGGCCACTGTGGCGAAACTGGGAGCCTCCGCTGTACGACAAGAACTGAAGGCAAATAAACACAAAGCAGAGACACAAATGACCCCGAATAGCTCAAAAAATTGTTTGAAAAACTGTGCAATTGTTCAATTAAGAGGACTAAATGCAAAATTTATAGCCATGACTGTGAATTAGTTCTGGGCTAAGGGGCTTCATTGAACCTTTTTCAAATCTCTGAAAGCTCATTGTTTTTTGTTTAACAGCACATTTACGCGGTAGTTCAGACCGTGCACTCCCACTGGCCCGTTTCCAGCCGCAGCAGGGAGCTACTGCGGCTGGAAAAAAAGAGAAAGAAAATAAGTGATAGACTCAGTGTGCGCCTTCTGCCAAGCACCACCAGACAGACCAGCACAGTTTGAAACTAGCTGCTGAACAATGCTGCTGATATGTCAAAATTAGCTGAGAACAACTGCAGGTCAGACACAGATTCCAAAAGTGATTCCAAACAGGAACCTGCCTTATATGGACCAAAGTGTCTTCTGAATGTTTCATAAATGATTAAAACAGCACATTTGGCACTTTCTTTTTAATCTTCATCAAATCTTTGGACTAATTTTGTGTAAAACAGTTAAGAAAGTGTTCTTTTTATTGTCAATAATATTCAGTCTACACCTGTTCCACTTTGGTAGCTTTCCTAGAGTAGAACATGATCAGTATTAGTATGGACTCCTGTTACTGGAGGGCAGAAATTAATAGAAAAAAATCCTTTCCCACCTTGAACATTAAATAAATGGGGATGTAATAAGAAAAACAGGAGAATTTCATCATTCTCTCTAATCTCCTCTCCAGAACTCAAGCAGCACCATAATCACACAACAAGGTTAGTTTTAAAAGCACATGAAGAATGTTGGGAGATTTCAAGTTTTTAAGAATTGCTCTAAGTAGCAATTAATGTTTATTAAGCTGGCCTGGATACCGTTTCCCTGAAATATATGATGCAGATGGAAGAGCTCCTTTTCATGGACGCATGCTTTCCAAATGTGTTGCCTGTCATTTCAAAGACTGTTTTTCCAGAGAGAGCTTGGTACAACTTCAAGGGAGTAATGGACAGAATTTTAATTTCGCTTAAGCTTATGTAACCTGCGTGTCTATAATCAGTGCACATTAAGCGAGTTGAAAGCACAGTATGCACACACAACGTATGTATGCGAGTGCTTTCATATCAGCGGTCTTTTTGTAGACACAATATCTAATCAGGAATGTTTTTTATTGCTCAAGGACAAGATAATGGGGAATTTTTATGACTGATATGTAAATCCTGTTTATGCCCCACTATATATATTGCACAGTCATTGGAATAAGTGAGACAAATGTTTGTTTCTTACTTTTCTTTTCTAAAGTTTTAATTAAAAAGGTGGTAATTACTGTTTTTAAAATCAGTTAAATACAACCTCGGATGAGCACAAACACATCATACACCATGTCACAATTCATTACAGAGAAAAGTCAGAGGCAGTGTGAAAAACAAACAACGCCCCATGATTCAACAGCTCAAAACCATCCTTAGCAGCACCAATGTGACATTCATTTTCTGTTGATGGTTGGCTCACTCCTCGTTACACTGACGCGTCGGTTTGCTAAGGTTTGAATGTCAAGCCCAGCTCTCTTAAGGTCCCCACCAAGAACTTAAAATGGGCATCTTCCCCTTTTAATTCCCATGGAAGCAGTGATTGTGGACTTAGTTAAATAAATACTGTACACTGTTCATCTGAGGTTGCCCTTTTCCCACTTTCAAGACATGGTAAGGATGAAATTATTTCTCATCGTGTCCTGATGAGGTTAAATCTCTTTACATAATCTTCTTTATCCTATAGGGGCAACTTACCATGTAATCCTTCTGCGTGGTGTCTTGACTGACCACAGTCCACTCGATGTCAAGCTCTCCCGTGTCAAAAGGACTTGGTGAGTAGGTGCAGCCCAGGGTCACACTCTCTCCCTCAGCCCTCTGGATTCTGTACGGGCCCGTGGATGTCACCCTCATCCCTTGTGTAGGTTCAATTTCTGAAAAATCCATTAAAATCAATTGCAAATACAGTGTCTTGCCTTTAAATGCCGGGACTTCTTTCCCACTCCCTAAAACTACGACACTTTTACTGTTTCAACGTGGACAGTTTTGTTGTAAATTAAATCCTCAATAGTTTCTAAAGAAATTGCGTTTTTAAAGGACCACAAATGAGAGCTACTTTTGTGCGGGTCGCATTACAAAGAGACAGCAATCTAAAGACAACCAAAAAACAAACAAACAAAACATTTAGACTCAGGAAACAAGCATGTATGTCGCTATTAGCATAACCAACCCTCAGGCATTATTTTGCTTCTGCAGCAAGACACAATGCATTAATCTCAATTAACTTCTATGATTTGGAAAAATAGTGAATCAATAAAGTAGACAAAATAGCATTGTTCTACATTAACTAGGACAGTGAAGGCAGATGAACTCTTAATAGAGCATAAAAAACCCTCCACGTTTTATAATAAAACCAAAGGCACACATTATAAGGTAGGATTAAAATTCAACATCCCTCCAGCAGAATGGGATACAAAACATTAATTCTGCTTCTCCGGAGTTAGAGCGTTTTGTTTTGTTTTATTATAACTATCCATAGAATGCTTTTGTTCCACTTCTAACCGCTACACGTCTGTCCTAATGTGCATGAAATGAAACAGCATTTTAAATAACTATTGGTTCACAGCACGGACTGTTCAGTGAGCCAAAGTTTGAGGCGCGCTGCTCAGTGCAAACAACAACAACAACAAAAAGCAGGCTTCACTCCCCAAAACATAAGGGTGTAAACAGTAATCTTGGAAATTATATCTCAGAACTTCATTGGAGGAGCTGAGGCTGCCATTAGAATCCTGTGTCAGGTTGCTTTCAGCTCCACACCATAAAAAACAGGAGCACAGAATTACAGATAATTTTCTCTAACTTTGTTTTTGGCACTGCGATCAAGTCACGACTATTTTTCCTTTATCTTTCTACGTTTCCTTTTCAAGAGCCACCTTTTCTTGGGATGTTTTAAAGTGGTGTCCGAGTCACCTCTTTAAAACAATTCTAGCTTTTTCATTACTTTAAGACCTTGAAGCAGTACATATTTTGTGTATTTATTTAATAATTTTCCTTTTGATGTGTTGTTGTTTTTTGTTAGGCCACTTGACACTGACCCATGAACCGCTCAAGCAGAAAAATAGCTCAAGGAGTGACAGTGTTGTGTGTACACAGTCACAGACAACAGAATCCATCTTGAGACTCTTTGTTAAACCCAGCCCTTTGCAGAGCCACATAATTTGTTCCCATTTCTTTCACTTTACTCTATGTGAAAAACCAACAAAAACAGTCTGAAGGACATAAAAATAGTATTTTTGCATCAAACATTCTGATTCCCAAATTGTTCTTAGCCGAGTGGACCAATAAAAAAAAGTGACAGACAGAAAATAAAAAATCTTCCTAATCAGTGACAGAATGGTATATTTTTGCCTCTACAGACTGTATGTCCATTTCTGTTTGGAAGTTTTCCTGATTGTTCCTTTACATGCTAGAATTCTAAAGAAATTAGGGACAGCTCAGGAGTTTTGCTGCCTGGTTGCATTGATAAACCCGATGCGGTACCTGAGCTCAGGAGTGCTGCAGTGCATGATAAGAAGACAAAGAGGCGAGTTGGGCATCGAAGCTTCAAAGATCGTCTCAGATTAGCGCAGTGTGTGAACATGTTGCCCCTACATGGAAATACAGCAGTTGCACGTTAAAAAACAAACTAATCATGGGATATCAAGCTATTGGCAGATCAGCTTAATACTGCAGATATTACCTGAATGCAGCAACGCCAACATGGAATACAAAGGAACAAACACACGGGCACTGCCACCTGATGCTACTGCTTCAAGGTTAGCTCCTCCTTTACTTCTTTAACAAAATGAGACATTTTAATTGGATGGGAACAGCACCAGTTTGACCTGTTTCTCAGAAACTTGGTACAGCTACTCAGTTCTTAAAACTGCCTTCACACCTTTTAGCCTTCCCATAATAATTAAAATTTGTCAACATAACTGAATGAGGAAATACTCTGAAGCCAATAAAAATGTCCCAGAGGAAATGAGCATCTGCTCCAGCTGAATGAAAACCCCATGTGGCATCTTTGTAAATAAGCGAATGGCGAGGAGACAAGGGTGGCAAAATTTGATATAAACTGTTTTTGTTATGCAAAATATATTGGCACGGTTAACTTGTTTATTCTTGTTTGTCTCTGTTGGACTCACATGACTATGATTGTTATTTCTATCCAGATAAAGATATAAAAGAATTTACGTGAGAAGCAGAAAAACATTCCCTCTCACATAATGCCCTACACAGTTTAACACCCTTAATTTGTGCGACAGGACTAAACAATAAGAACGGTATGAAGAGAACCAAGGTTTCAAGTGACAAAAAACTGGTTATTCAGCCAAAAACACGGGGCAACAAGCCTTGGATTGGCCACATAGCCAGGATGTTCGAGAAAAGACAGAAAGAAGGAGAAAGCTGCAAGGTCTGTCAATGTGCCGCATCCACTACAGGCAAAGAGTCTTTATAAATCAGATACACTAGCATTTCTTTCAGAAGACACACACAGAAAATGGATAAGAAAGAAACAGATAAAGAGTTTTATCTGCACTCCAGTTCTGACATCAAATATCAGACCTTTATGTGAATGAGTCAGCCCATGTTTTTCACAATACTGTATTCTGGAAATTTTCCTTAAAATACTTTGAATGTTGCTACCAGCTAATTAATATACAATGTAGGAGAGATCAGAAAATCGCCAAAACCCTTCACTGACCACAGACTCCCATCGTTTTCAATATGTTTTTCTGAATAACTGCTCTGGAAGGGGTATTTTTAAATGTTTTTTCCCCGAAACCGTTAACAATCTACCAGCAAAGTATTGCTTCTTAGAACGAAGTTGGTTAGTCTCAGCCTTTCAGATTTTCTCCAAACTCATTATTTAACAGATTTTTATCAATCTGCATATGCTCTTGTGCCACGGAAGTCCCATGTTCCTCTGCTAATGGCTACAATCTGATTTATTAATAACCTGGACGGCGGATGGTGTTACTTACACTGCAAACCATCGTGAAATATGAATGTCAGGAATGTGAACATTTTTTAGCTTTCATTTTTAGACATTTCAAGACTGAAGTTAAAATATCAATTAAAAACATCATTAAATAAATAAATAAGCAGTCTACAGTTTCGGAAGTTTCCTTGGCAACTGTTCAAATCTCAACTGTCGTTCGTTAGCAACCTATTCTCTGCCAAGTAGGCCACGGGCTCAGCTGTTTGAGGGCAAAGTGCACAGTTACGAGAGCTCACCAAGCTTTCACAACGTGATAACCTGCCTGACGCCGATAAGACACAGTATGCGAACAGCAGGTGGATTTGTCGGCCTGAATCCAAAGTTTGCCATCACACGGTGTGTCCGCCGCCTCCTGTAGGTAGAGAGCACTGCTCTCACCGGGGCACGGAGTCAATACGATGAACAACCGGCGGTGAAGCCAGACATAATGTTTGGGCATGACGCTGCTGTTGGGTCCTTAGCTTCAGTAACACAGAATAGATAACGGTCGAGTTAAACAATTATGGAAAGAAAATAAAACTGCGTAGCTTTGGCTTTTCGGTTTGCTCTGGTGTAACCTTTTCCCCCAATAGCTTCTTTCAACCAATCAGTATTCGACCTGCGCATTACGTCACCAGCTGTTGAAACTTACATTGCAGACCCACTTGCAAACAAACTCACCACGGTCGTTAATGAACGTATTCGCGGGTTCCCAAAATGACTGCGGACATTTGGGACGTAATTATTGTTGGCGCTGGGATTTCTGGGCTGAGCGCAGCTCATTTGCTCAGGAAAAGGGATGCCAAGCTGAGAATACTGATTCTGGAAGCAAAGGGTATGTGAACTATAAAGAATGAAGGATACATTTAAAACCGGAAGATACACTTAATTTGCCTAATGTCAAGTTTGACTGTGCCGTAGATCGAGTGGGGGGTCGCACAGTGTCAGCTGAAATCCCAGCAGCCAATGGGGTTGATCGCTGGGACTTTGGAGGACAGTGGGTCGGAAGGTACATTCATTTAATTGTCCTTAACCCTTTTACACCCTATGATTTCATTCGATTGAGAGAACACGTGTAATTATACATTTGTTGATCTGTTTGGTCACATTTTAAATGAGAAATGCATTTTTCATCTTTTTTTTTCTGCTGGACCAGGTTTTATAAGGTGAAAATATTATGTTACTGGACAATAGTTACTGAAAGAGCGATTGACTATTTTTGAGGCAAACAAGGGCCTAGTTAGCAAAATAAGTCACGAGTAGATATAAATAAATCAACAGTGAATACACTAGAGTTTCTTGACAGCCTTGTGCCAAAAACAAGCACATCAATACAAACACCATCTTTCAGACTCAGTGAGGATGAAGAATGTCAATATCAAACAGATAAACAGCTTAGGTTCTCAACTGCCTATCTATTTGAGAACACTTCATCTCTATTGCTGGATATAAATCATTATTGGTGAGACTTTGAATGCGATGTTAATGGTGCTGGTGCACATTTGGCAAAATACTCCTTGAAATGTTTTGACAGTAAACCTTTCACCGCTTTGCAAAGTCGCCATTCCTTTTCACAACAGTTTTAAGGATGCCCTCGTGCTGAATATGCCAGGTGAAGAACAATTTCAGTTGCTCTATTTTTGCCAGTGAGCCAGTTTTCCAGGGAACACAAACTTCTGGGTTGTCTGTAATGCTTTCCCCCCCCTTGTTATAATAATAATACACACATACCCTAATTAGAGTGTGTTAAGGACCACTCCAGTACTTTTCCAAGTGTGTGATGATCTATCCCGATGCCCCGGGTTCTTATTAGTTTGAAAATACACTTGTGACTATACCTCTACACATGTTTGGTTTGATTCCTGGCTGTGAGTGTGACTTTGAGTGGTCTAAAAGTTGATGATCGGTTGGCACATGGAAATATCCTCAACCGAATACCTGTTCCAAAGGATTGGTACTTACATTCCATGGTATCTAGAATTACAATGCTTTTTTTTTTTTTTTTATTAAATGATTTTAGTCTGAAATGAAGGCTGCATTCTTAACACAGAGAAATATTTCATGGAGACTTCTAACCCTTTTTAAAAAAATTCTCAAGTGTTTAAACATTAATCTCAATGATGTTTGAAGTCATCATTTTATGCTTTGGAATGCAGTGAAAATTCTGTATAAAGATGAATTTACATCACACTAAATCTTATAACCGTACCATACTCTGAATTTTGTTTGGTATTTTTTTTAAGAAGCTTAGCATGCATACCTGGGGGCACTTCTGTGAGGTGTTTTGCATTGTTCCCACTATGTGTGCATGAGTTCTCTCAGGACACTTCAGATTCCTCCAATATACATGTTAGGTTAATTGATCATTCTAAATTGCTCACAACAGTGACTGTAGGGGGGGGGTCCCTAGGATTCAATGTGAGTGTGTGGATGGTGTCAACCCTAATAGGAATAAGTATTATGGAAAATGAATGGACGTTTGGCTGTTAGGAAGCAAAATGTGAACTAAAAAGCGCTGACTGGACACTTTTTCTCACAGCACTGTGAAGATTGTAAAACCTAAGAAACAGCATATTTGTTCTTACAGCACCCAAACACATGTTTTGGAGCTTATCAAAGAGTTGGGCTTAGAGATCTACCCGCAATACAACACCGGGAAGAAGGTGCTGCATTTGGGTGAGGCAACTTCCAAAGTTCGCGTCTACAGGAGCAGCATCCCTGCTCTGTCCCCAATCGTGCTCCTGGACTTCACCCAGCTCCTATGGAAGGTGAGACAACAGACACATATCTGTGTTATGTACTTAAGGCTTACACTGGCTTTATTTGTTAGTACTGGCAATGCCTGATAAGAATTATCTAAATAGCCTTGGCTTGCAGTGGGAAAAAATTTTTTCAATGTACACTAAGAATAAGTTTATATTAAGTCAGTTTTCCAAGACTTCCTAAACTGATGTGGTGTTCATGTTTTTAAGTATGCCTGTGAATCAGTAAAGTACTATTATCACACAGCAAGGTACAGTGGTCAATCTTGAGAAAATTGGCCCAAAATAATCCCTGTTCGTCTGTTTTTTTTGTGAAACATTGGATTCACTGTGGTTTGTCATCATGCGTGCTCATGATCGATTGTCTTCTTTACTCAGTTTGATAGACTTTGTGGAACAGTGTGCATCGAGGATCCTTCAAAGACCCCACGTGCCAAAGAATTTGACAGTATGACCTTGCACTCGTACTTAGAGCAACATGCTTGCACTGCAGGTCAGTTTTTCAATTTGCCACATTTGCCACTCTTCTCCCACTCCACTATCTTTGCCAAGTGAAAACCACAGTGTTGGTCAGCGGAACACCTTATACCTAGTCCTTAAAAAATACGACCAAAAAATAACTTAAAAAATCAAAATATTTTGAGAAATTCTACATTATAATACAGTTTATGGTGTTGGTGTGAAAAGTATGAACTCACTGTAAAATATAAAATACAAATATGTTTGACATCACTAATGTTAATGCGATGTCATATTAAGTGGCCATAATGTTCACAGTTTCCACACATATATCTATCTACCAAACAGCATTTTGACTAAATAGGAAGTGTTGTTGAGGAGCTAGACCTGATCAGTTGTTTTGCCAGCTCTAAAATGACTCACTGCCTTTCAAAACTTCTATTTTCCATTTGACAGAATGATTACATATGATGATCATCCACTCAGGTGTTTTTTCCAGTTTGTGAGGAATAGCTTTGCAGAATGCTGCCATCGCAGTGAGATGTGTATGATTACGGTATGTCTTAACTCTGTGGTATGTATCCATCTTTTGCAAGGCAGAAATAAAAGAGCAAATTGGAGTGTGCAGCAGAGCTGTCTTTGGCATTGAGCCATCCCAGATGTCCTTCCTGTTCTTCCTCATGTATGCAGCAGCAGCTGGGGGGCTACTTGCACTTCTGGAGAGCACTCCAGGTGGAGCTCAGGAGTTCAAGATAAAGGTACACGTCACTTGTCATTCTCATGACTGAATATCGTGAAGTCAAGTGTTACTTCATAATGGAAATCACGCTGGATATTCTCCTCTGGTCAGTAACCATTGGCAGCCAGCACAACACTGTATTGACATTGCATTTCTTGGTCCCCATTGGTTTGGATTATCTCGGCACCTGAGGCTCCGGTCCTTTATTGGATTTTCCTCCTTTTCTATGTCCCTTTCCAGCATGTCTTAAGTCAGATCTGCTCAGATTCAGTTGCATCAGAGTCTTTTCTCCACCCACAGTGGCGAATTGTAAATGTATAAGTAAAAAAAACAAAAGAAACACAAGAAAAGCTAAGAGAAATGGAATGGATTGACGAGGCTGTTCTCGCATGCATGCTTTTGGTTAAAATCTGCATAAAATCTTTATATTTCCTTTTTACAGCAGGTTTCTTATGATTTCATGTCAGATATTGCCGTAGCAATTTATTGTAAGCGTTGCAAAACCTCAGTATTGCAAGAGAATTTTGAGAAATGTGAATAAGATGTAGCCTTTATTCTGGGCCATTTCGCCTCGGCTTAAAGAATTCAATGCTGACAAAGAAGCTTCCACAGCTTACCTCTTTAGTGTTTTCATCCATTTGTCTTCGTCCTTTGGCAACTTTGAAAAATACATGTATTCAGTTAGCACCTATTTGATTCCGTGTATTCTTCCATAATATGTAAACTAAAGAACTGAGAAGCCATTCAGAAAAAAACCCATAAATAATCATTACTATAATAATGAGAAAGCGACTCAGATTGAAAACAACTTTCAACTGATTTCTCTACACAACACAGATGTAAGAATGAAGGCTACAGTTGGGGTCACCAATGTGTTTTAAGACCAGTTTGAGGTGTCATATCTGTCTCTCCACAGGGAGGCACCCAACAGCTTTCAGAGTGCCTGGCAGAAGGTGTTGGGTGGAAGAATGTCCGTCTTGGCTCAGCTGTGATGGCCATATGGCAGGTAGAGTACAGTAACGTCTCACTCAGGGACTGATGGGGTGCAACGCTGATATAACAGCTTCCTCATTGGGGAAGCAGGCCGTCTCCTGTGAACGAACAGTCTGTTCCGCCTGAATGTCTCCCTTATCCACAGCTGAGGGTGTAGCATCCCTCATCAATACTCCGTTCTCTTCTACTCACTGTGTACTGATTGATTGAAGTACTGGGAAACGCCGGCAGATGTACTGTCATTCTTATTAATGTATTTTTTTTTGTCAGTTTACATACTGGCACAGAAGAAAAAAAGCACAAAAACTCTGAATCACAGTGAAAAAACATGTAGTTTTGACAACATTTCATCTTCAAGCCTGCACTGTTTTACAGATTAGGTTAATTACCATACATTGCAATCCAAAATGTCTGTATATGTTTATGGTTTATCAAATAAAACGGTGAACTTTTTCATTTTCACTGAAGCCACAGATGAACCTCCAGAACTGGTGCACATCTGTGATTCACAAAAGTACTTTCTGATCATTTAAACTCATAAGATAAAAGACACACGTAAACTGTTAATTTCTTTCTTTGGGTGCCATAAAAATGGCTATTGATCCCAAGATACAGTAAGAACCTACTTATACTTTGAAGAACACAATCACCAATAAATTCAATATTACGGGAAATGCATTTACTGACATTTTAATTCAGCGATGTACTTTTGATTAACTCATAAAGATGTTTGAGTTGTTTATCGAATTATTAGTTTAATTATAAAAAAAATGTCCGTATTAATTTAATATATTAGGTCCAGTTATTACATGTGAGCATTTCAAAAGGTCACTATGGTTTTTTTATTTATTAAAACAACAATTAGTGAATTGTATGTACAGAGAGATTTAACTTTATACTCAGGTGATTTATATTGTGTTAAGTCACATCAAAACTCATGTTAACTAACGTGGCATAGCAAATAAGTTAAAACTATTTAAACCTGTTCAAATTATTATACAAATAAATATATTTCAGTTGACTTTTATAGCCTTTATATACATACCCATAAGTACTCTTAAGGGATCAAAAAAAGGGAAGATGAAAGCTCCTTTCTGGCCGACTGAATAAAAATAAGAATAAGATAACAGAGAAAAAAACTAAAATGATTTTGTGTCATTAGTCCCATTTATCACATGCTGAATTAAAGGAAACTGTAGTGTTTAGTGTGGTGTGAGTTGAGGGAGACATGGGACAAATCCTTGACAGTTTGCCAGTCTATCAAGTGCTTACTTGTATTGATAGACAAACACATTCACAGTGGCATTCACAGCTAAGGGCCATTGAGACTTCCACTTCACCTTAGCTGAAAGTCAGCCAAAAACCCACACAGTTGTCCCACTTGGTGAGTTTACTTTCATACTTATTGAAAGGACACAGAGTTGTGAAACACTAAAAAAACACTCCTTAGGAATGTTGGTGAATATAAGGTACATGTGCAAGTCTTGGATATTTCGAGAAAGATTTCCCTTGGTCAACTTGGAAACCTTTAGAATTGTATCTTGACTGTAAAACAGCAGAGAAACAAAAGAACATTAAAGATGTCACAACAGCTACCGGATCTCAAAATGCTTTACCACCACATGAGATACTTTGTTTTCAAATCTAGTTCATAAGTCTTTGTTGCAAATTGAATTTGCAAAAAGAATTTGGAAAGAATTTGGGTAAACCACCATTATCCCAGCCTAGGCACATAGAGCTGCCTGGTGAAATCTAAGCATTGTCAAAATCAGTGTTTTTGTCTCCAGAGAGCTGCATAGCTCAAGGGCAAGAAATCTGAGTCCACTTCTTCCAATGTGGCCTCTTACAATGACATTCTACCAAGCCAGGAGTGGTAAAATAAGTCATGGCAAACCATGGAAAATGTTTTGGAGTAATATAAAAATTATAATAAAGAAAACCAGTTAATCCAACATGTGTGTTTTTGGACTGAGGGAGGAAGCCGGACAGCCTATAGGGAACCTAACGGGTCAGAAAAGCCATAGTTTGGCCATAGTAATTTAACACATTTAATACACATTGACCACCTTTAAGTTTTTGTCACAAGTAATGAAAAACTGACAAAAGCCAAGCAGCAAAACAGAGAATAAATTGGTCACAAACGTGGCGATGTATAATTTTACCGTCTGAGTGGAACTCGTTTGGAGAGTTAATGAAGAAACGGGAAACGAAGACAGCTTAGAAACGGCGTTTCAGCATGTGCATGCTGGAGTCTTTTAGATTCAAATGACTTGAGAGTCACCTTGTAATTTATTATTCAGTCAGGAGTTACACAAAGGCTAGTGAGAGCCGGTATGTGGAGAACCCACATGATGACAGGTTCAGACTGTCTGTTTTGAGGGGGCTTAGGTTGAACATGGCCTTTGGGCATATTTTTTCCCCATTCAGTCTTGCATGTAATGTCAGCTGCTGCTTTGTGTGACTGACACGTAACAGGTGCTTTCCTCCCAGGCATGGGATAATTTCCATGAGCAACAAGGAGAGAAAAAATCAAATAATACTCTTTTAATGTGGCTCACAGTCCTGTGCCTATGCAGATTCTTCCAGTGGAAAACTCACCACTTCAGATGCCATTGTTTTCACTACAGCTCTTCTTTTATCAGAGGAACTATCAGCCATTGCGACACAGTAAAGCAAACAATCATGCCTACCATACAGCATGTCTCAGCCACAGAGAGAATTTATGATTATGGTAGTTTAATCTGACAAAGTGGCTGTTTTGACACTGAAATCCAGTGCAGTCTGAACTAGGCTCCATTTTCTGTGTTCCCCATCTGACACTAAAAAAGTGACCTGGAAAAATCCATGGCCTGTCCCCCTTTAAGTTAGGTATTGGGTTAGGAGAGCAAACAGAAAAGTGCTATGAAAGTATGAGGGCAAAGTTTTTTGAGCCAGTTATATAACAAAGAATCTAATGCCACTGAAATGCTTTAATGCCTTTTAAAGCTCTCTTTACAGCGTGTCTCTTATCAGAAGTGACATTCAGAACAACACATTTATAAGTTATACCTCATTGGAGAATTTATTTGTTGTTCTCTCCTGCATACTAGATGAACAGAGAGAGCTCTCCCATTTATTGTTTTATCTCATGAACGCATTCTCTGTGGGCTGAGGGCTTAGTTTATGCATCAGTACTTAAATTGAATGCCTTCATAACCCCGGAATAGATCATTTTGATTGAAAAAAAAATTGAGTACTCCGACAAATGTAATTTAAAATATCCACCTGTCAAATTGTTTGCAATATTTCAAATTGCTATTAGAAGCTGCACCATCCCACCTAGCGGCATGGAATTTACGGACAAAACCCGAGCATCTTGCTAACCAGAAATCAAGTTGTTTTGTGTTTAAATGTTTGCGCAGGACTCCGAGTGGGCCAGGGTGACGACAAGCAGCGACACTTTCTTGTGCAGAGCCGTGATCGTCACTTGTCCCCCTCATTTAGCAGGTCAGTGTGCGTCTCCCACCTCCGTCGAGTCGCTAAATGAAATTCTCACTGGTGCAGAAGGCAAATATCCTGCTCTCTCATCAGGTCTGTCAAACGTGGCAAACTGTGCATCCATGCAGATAAATTGATGAATTTCCTAAATCTTTTTTTTTTTGCCACCAGAGAGTGAGAATCACTTTAGGTCTAAGTACATTCTGGCAGAGTACGTGTCCAGGGCTCGGGCACTGCTCAGACTTTTATTTCAAAATCAGCTGAAGAGTTGAGGCCAAACCCTAAATCGGGGGTTAAAGCAACATTTGCTATGGTGGGTTGTGGGAAGCTGAAAGTGATAAACACGTCATTACCAACTTCTCTGCAATAAAACTACCAGAGAGCGAAAAATACTACCCCCCTTTTTTCTGCTTCACATAACATTTGAAGGCTTGCCATATTGGAAAATGAACTTCCAATTTGAGAACATGATTTGAAATGACGATTGAGCAGCAGAATCCATATCAGATTTTTTCCCTCCAGTTTTGATTGACACTTGAGCTTCCAATCGACTCGGAATCAAAATAGTGTTAACTGTGACTTAGAAATAACTTTTTACTTAAAGCTGGTGCTCTCAATCCTAGCATTTCTTATTTTTGGACATGCACACACACAGTGGCAGTAGACTGCTCATTACTTTTAGATATAAAGCAGTGTTTGTAGCGTCAGGGGACCTTGATTTTTACTAAAGTGGTAGTTCACAGTTGCTACCTGTGGTGAAATGTCCTCACTTTGGTGTTGATTGGCTGGTTTCGAATTGAAATAATTAAGTTTTGCTTTGTTTTTCTAACACTGGATTTCAGTTACATTCATGCAGAGGAAGAATGAAATATGAGTCAGGAGTGTTTCTTAGAAAGGGGTTTTTATATGGGCCTGTCAGGTTTTGTGCTTGTATATGTCATTTTAGCATGACATTAGGCAAAGATGCCTGTTTGATGTAAACCTTCTTCTTAGATTTGTTCTCTGGTATCAGGCTGTGATCTGTTAGTGTGCTTTTTACATTTAGAGTGAAAATTTTGGCAAGGAATTTAAGATGTTTCCCTTTTAAAAGAAAGCGAAAATCAAACACTCACCTCAGAAGTGCGTGTTTGATGAAAAAAACTACTTGAAATGAGGCTGTCTCATTTCGTTAAATGCCTGTAACCTTAGCTTTTCCTCCCCCCGACTCCTCTTCACCTCCTTTGCCAGCATCTCAGGTGGGAAGACCTTGGATGCAAAGAGAACAGAGGATGCACAAACTGGTAAATGAGATAAGGGTTTGCTGAAACCAGAGTTGAAAGTAGAGTCGGAGCTGAGGTTGGAGCTGTTTCTGTGCCTTTTTGTACAAAGCTGTCAACAGATCTGTCACTCAAAGCCTTAAACGCAGAGCTATGGACTACAGCCAGGATCCTTAATGAGACAGGTCTGAGAGCAATGCTGAATTATGCAGCGTGGATTGCTTTAGCTTGTATGGCTGCTTGGCATTAAATCAGTGCGGGCAGGTCGACAAGAACTCTGAAAAAGCCAAAGTTTGGCCAGCGGTTAAGTTTTCTCCCCAAAAAAGTTGGCGATGCATTAAAGAGTAGATTGCTGCTTAAAGTTGTTCGAGTGACTCGTTCAATTTTTTATATTCTTTGACAGGAAGTGAAAAAACAAGACTGATGAGCATGGCATCAATGTCATCATGGTCCCAAGCCACTGTTGACCAGCAAAGTCAAATGCATACGAAGTCTCCATACCCTTGCTTGAATTACTTAATAGACAGCTGGATGAATAAACAAACAAATTAAAGAGGATTGTATACTTTATGGGCCCTTGGGTCACCTGGCACCAGAGCAGATTTCAATACATCATGTCTGTCCTGTTTTTGGCTCTCATATATATCTCCCTATTCATTCATCCATCCACCCATCATTTATAATGACCTCTGCCTCTTACTTTATCCTCTTTTTCGTGTGACTTCCCCTGCTTACCTGAATGATTTATTAATTGTTTGGTTTTTGGATGAAGAAAAATGCAGTGTTTACCATGTTTACTCATTCTGAGGCTTCATAAACTACAATTATGTTAGCATTCCACAGCGTGCACAGGGTCTCCGATGCAATTAGACATGCTGATGTAGGAGAAAGTGTTTTCCTGTCATTCTTTGTCACATAGGACGTCCAGCGCCGTGTCACAATTGTTTGTGTGTGTGTCTCTGCTGCCGGGAGTGGGAAACACTGAAGTACCTAACAACTCCCGCAAGATTCAATGTGCCTTACAAAAGAGGGTTTTTAATTTGATTGCAGCTGAAAGTGACAATCAGCCGAGTGACCTCAATCCAGTTTTTTTTCATGGAAGACGAGCCGCTCAGAATGAAAGCAAACTTGGGCTGCAGTGGCAAAGTGATTATATCTGCCAGTCATGCTTTAGTCCAGAGCCTTGTTTACACTTGTGAGTAAATGGTAAGCAGTGCATTAGCATCGATTTGCCCACTGACACGGTGTGAGTCAGAATTCTGGTGAAGTGTACACTGTGCTCTCAGGGATACTAATGGAGCCTAATTTAAGGATTAAACATGAACTGGGAGCTCAAGGGATTGTGAGGATAATTAACACAGTGTGATTCTTATAACAACCATTCAGGACAAAGTGAAAAATAATTCAGTTCCTCCAGTGCGCATTTTTGCTTCTCTCATGATGAGTAATATAGCAAGTGCTGAAGGACAGAAAAATACTCTCAATGGGGTTCACCAATGCTCCGTTGACCATCAAAAAGAAAGACCACAGAGATCTCGTTTCCAAAGCCTGACCAGTCCTTTTAAGCTCTGCTGTCAAATCAATCAAAATATTGTTTGTTGATTTTACATTTGCAGCCAAATAAATTTGAGTAAGATTAAAGAATTTATTTTAGATTTGGGAATATGAAACAGAATGTATGTTGCCACATATTTGGGGGTTATTTTGATGTGCATCTAAATGTCACACAGAAAGAAGATATTACATTATCATACAGATGATCAGAGATTACACAAAAGCTATGTGATGGGTAAATTATGTTCTCTTTAAAAATCATACAGATGTGTGTAGGGTAGACCTGGATATCATGAAGAAGATACTGAAGCTCGGAAATCCTTCTACAAAGTTTTCAAAAATTATACATACATGATAGTCCTTACAAAGAGAATAAAATACAATATATGTGACATATACATGACATACGCATGACATACACTGATGAATAAGTGATCAAAGTACTTACTGAGCCGTTGAATATCATAGCTTAACAGTTTTCTCAAACATGTCATATTTACATGGACATTAAACAAATAGTTTTTGATAGTTAAATATTATTTTTTTGTCAATTTTATCCTGTTTAAAGGTTATAGGAATTATTTATGACTTGGTGGAAACTTAACCCAACAAGCCTGTGCCTTGATTGAAACCCACCTGGACAGACATCTAGTGGGCAACACTTATCGTATAAGACTTTTCAAAGGCATATGCCACTGAGAAGGCTTTAAAAAAAACAAAAGAAGTCAAAGTAGAAAAAAAGCAGCGTTTAGAAATCGGAAGTGCAGAAAAATTATACCTGACACAAATTATGAAGAAATCCTCCTCTGTCAAAGTAGCATTTTTCCAGATAGATGTTTTCTTTTCTACTGTTACAAGACGTTTCAAGCACAAGTGCAACTCAAAGGCTTTATGACAATTACAATAACACAACAGACAAAAGAATACAAATGTCTTGAGAAGGGACTTTTGTCAAAAGTCTGACAAATGCTGTGATGTTAAAACATAAAAGGGTAAAAAATACTAAATGTTTTAAACAGGGGCTATGGCACTTTTATTGGATTTAGGTGAAAATTAAGACTTTAAAACATGGCGTAATTGACATGATTGTTGCGTATGTAATCAGAAGGCTTCAAAATCTATAACAGATTTTATAGGATAGTTTTAATATTTCAATCGATTAATTAGTTAAGAGCCAGTGTTCTCAACGTAGATTGAAGTACTGTTTCTAATTGATCTTTTTATTAATTGGTTATAAAATAAAAAAGGAGGGAAAGACAGTAAGAATGGGAGTGAAGGGGAAATGGGAATGTAGCCAGCTGGTCCATCTCTGGAGGACAAGAAAAGACACAACTGCTATAGGCCTTACAATCAGGAGCCTCTGAACATCCACGAGCGAGTGAACTTAACTTAACTCTGATCACTGAAAAATCATCAGGCAAAAAACACAACTGTGGAAGGAGCATGCAAGTGAGCGAGCGAATGTTTAGGCATGTTTTCCACCCTAACCATAACCTAAAGAAACCTGAATTGTGCTTGCTAATGGGGGAAGCAAGCCACAACCTTCTCACCAAAGAGGGTAGGAGCAGGAAGGAAGGGTTCCCCAAATCCGAGAAACCAGCAGCATCCATCACGGGAGAAGAATAGAGAAACCAGGTAGTCTCTTGTAGGAAAACCATGCTCATGCCTAGCAGGCAGAAGAGGAAGACCCCAGCTAGAGCCCCTATGGCGCTACCTGGGAAGGCAGCCAGGGAACCCTTAGCAATAAGACGCTCTTCTGCCTGTGAAGATGTTTTGCATGCCTCAGGCCGTTTTTATTTACGTTTATCATTTTTTATAGATGTACCAGTGGGCTACAAATTCCTCGACTTCCACTCAATCTGTGTTGCTCACAGTTTTTTCTGAGAATTTGACAGCCTTTGACTTCCCAATGAGCGTAAAAGTTCTTTCACACAAACTGCGTGTCGCGTGGTTTGAGCAGAAGCTGGCAACATCTGCAAATATATCCCCCGAATTATACACGTCACATTACTTGTCTCTGGTTGTTTGCTGTCAAAGCACTTTACAAAGCTTTCGCAGCTAGCTTGCCTTCATCATTCATAATAGATAGAATATGTGCGCATGATGGAAACTTCACAGTGGGTGTTGTTAAAGTTAGAATGTGAGACAAAAGCTAACAGCTCTATTTCTGTCATGGTTTTTAATGTTCTTTCACTGATACTATGATTAATTTATAGAGATGAATTATCCCAGGATCCTCCTCCTCTTGCACTGACCTTATTAAGACGAGACACAAATTCCCCAATGCGAAATGACCAGCTCACATGGGAGAGTGCTTTTTCATGTGCATTCTGAGCTCATCCTTTTTGTTCATTCCACCAACAACATTTAATCAGCTATTTAATTCATGGGAGACTAAAGCCCATATGGTTAAATTGATTTCTAAACCTTTTATAAGCCAAAAAAGGTCTTCTTCCTCAAGTCTGTTTTTGTTGAAAGCAGCAACAGACACTATTGGCTAATGTTGGAAGGACAGTGTGTACAGGGAGTCAGAAGGTGTCTGCTAAAGCTACACAGCTCTCAATTTCAATAAGTGTCAAGGGGCTGCATAGGTAATTCAATAAATGGTCAGTAATGTAAGGTACCCATAGAAACAGACCCTTGTCCTTAACATTTTAATAAAGTAGTTGATGAAAACTCTTGTTTCTGATGGTTTAAGACAGCCTTTTCTTTTCTTGAAACATTCATCTATTTTTCCATATTACCTGCTTCTTTAAAATTGGCCAGGGAACAGATGCACGCTCTGAGTTATAACCCAAAAGATTCCCCATCATATCTTTGTTTTGATTAAGTAGTTGATTCAGAAGGACCCGTGAGCATGGAGGCCTTACATGTAGAACTACAGCAGTCTTACTCACTTTTTGCCATTAGAAAGATTACTCCCATTTCGCAACATGCACAGACAGCAATAAAATAGGCATAGCTGTAGCTTTTCTAGTACGTTTTAAAGTTGTTTTAAAGTCTTTTTAAAATGACAGTTCGAAAGCTGTGAATCTTTATCTCTTTGATGTTAAATCTTGATGCAAGTTGGTTTTCATGTTTCCCTTTCCTCCTCCTGACAGCCTCAAACGTGCTTGAACGTGCTGCTAAAGGTTTTGAGTGAGACATAAATGGAAATACTCAAGCCCCTCACTGCGGGCTTGCTCAGATTTGACTCTTATGTCAGCAACAGGGGAAATTGAGAAAGTAGGGCCAGACCCAGTGGTGCATTCACAAAAAAGAAAAAGTCAAGGAGGATCAAGTGCCGTGGTGTCTAAAAATGAAAAAATGATATGAATACAGACAGAGACATGATGAACAAACACTCCAGGGGAGGCAGTGTCTTCAGAAGTTAGAGTGCTAACAGGTTGGAACCAGCATTTGTGCAGACACATGCTCTAGAAATCACAGCTGTTCGGGAAAGATGAGTTTTCGAATGAAAGCTCTTGACAAACAGCATGCAATTTAGATGGTAACCTAATGTAATCTTCCATGTTTGGTTTCAGTGCAAATCATGGTTTTTGTCCATCAACCACCAGCATTGACAGTTCATCAGGTATAGAGAATATTCAGGTGATAAAAACTTGGTATACAGTCTAAATGTATACATTTATATAACCACGGTTAAGCAATTGACAATTATCAAATCAAAATAAATAAAGTCCAAATTGGTCAAATTTCATACAGAAAATTTCAAGAAAAGGTTCTAAGGAAACTAACAGATTGGAGCCAAAATTAACTTTGATTAAATCCCCTGAGTGTACACTTTGCACTTTGTTGAACATGACAGATGGGACAAATAACTCCCTTATAACAGGAAGACAACTTGGGCATATTCAGATTCAGGGGAGGTGACTGTATGCCTGTATGCCTAAAAAACATGGCACCAGATCAAGTATACAATACAACTTAAAGGCAGAAATAAAGTGCACAGGCGGTCTTTCAGCAGTCCAACCATCAGCAGTAAGTTTGCAAAATAATTATTGTTTTAAGTCTAATTTTACTTCCTGTACCCAGTCTGGTTGCTTGTTCCACAGGGAGGGCCCAGATAACTGAAGGCTGTGAATCCCATTCTACTTTTAGAAACTCAAGCAAACACAAATAAGCCTGAAACTCAAACTCTGATTCTTTGGACAATAGTGCATAATAAGATCTTTAAGAAACGATGGAACTTAAATTTTTGTATGTGCGTGGGAGAATTTTCCATTCTATTCTGAAAGAGAGCATCTTGCCATCATAGCTCCCGACAGCAACATTTTAGCTGGAGGCTTTTCCCGACTTTTTAGTCGTAGCCCAGTAACGGAGATTCCCAGTAGTCCAATCTACTGTCACATATTCATGTGCTAGTTTTTGTGCATCACTTTGAGACAGGATGTTCGAAAAAATTTGGCATAACAACAAAGGTGAACAAAGGCAGTTCTAGAAAAATGTGCTGTATGCAAGTCAAATATCAGATCCTGTTTAAGCATGACTCCAAAGTCCCTGACTGCAACACTGCTAGATTATACTGGAATACATTTTAGCTGCCTGTAAAATAATGAAGTAAGAAGCTGTCCTTAACATCAATTGATAATACTTGTAGGATGAACAACATGACATCAAATGACAGGTTCTTCTGTCATGGATGCTGTGTTGCTATTTGAATATCAAAGTGACCATGTCAAATTAGTTTGGTGCCACTTATCATGTCAATGTTTTTCACTTTTAGTGCTGGTCATGAATTTTGTTTAGCATTATGGGCATTATTTTAAGCTCGCTGACAGGCCCCTGACACTTTCAAAATTACGTTTCATATCTTTTGCTGCTTCATTTGTTAAAAGCCTGGCCGCTGGCCAGATGTTGCTTCATCTGCCAGAAGCACAGAAATAGTGTAGCCTTTCTTTATGTGTGACGTACGGCACACTACCTCAATAAGACACTGAGGAAGGCACTTAACTGCTCTCAAATCACTGAGATGGAGCTTTTACTGTAGATGGTGCTATGATTAGTACTCTGGAGCCAGGCAACAGGCCGAGTAGCTTTAGCTCAAGGGGATTTATCCACAAAACCATTAATGTCATCCTGATCAATTGTGGGATTAGTTCGAGTTTGCCATCGTTCTTCTTGCTTTTTCCTTACACAAATGCTAATTTTGAAATTCATGCTCAAGTGTTGCTTTCCCATCAGCAAAGATCCACTACCAGCCAGCCCTGCCCAGCATGAGGGAATTCCTCACTCAGAACATGCCATCGGGACATATGATAAAATTCGTTATTACCTACCACACGGTGAGTAGCATATTGTGATTCACTGGACTTAAATGTTATTGAAGTTATGAAGAAAGATTTGTTTGAATGAAATAACTGTGTAAGCTCTTTTACTGAATTATAAGCACTAACAATTTAGCTAAATCATCCACTATCTATTCTTTAAATGTCTCATTAGGAGTGTGTCTGATCCACGTCTCTTTTATTGGTTCCTTTGGTTTTCATTTAATGTAATTGAATTTTCAAAGCAAAGTAACTGTACTAGTGAATAGAAAAACACAGAGATTGAGTTTGTGCAATTTCTGTCAGTAAGCGTCTTACTTCTGCTTTGTTGTTATGGCTTTGTTAGTCAAGTCAGAAAAAAGAGTCTAAGAAAAATAGTAGTATCACAGCAGAACAATGCAATGTGCTTTGGTCACAAGCCTCCAGTAAGTACAGCAAAAAGTCCCCATTTCCAAACGAACAACATCTTACCTTCCCTCTTGGTTTTTATGTCCTCTTTATTAGAAATTAAATCACTGTTAGAGAAATGCAGTTTTGAACTAATCTAAACCCTTCATCCATCAAAGTGCGCTTAAAGTTTGGCAGACAAGCAGAAAACACCAGCCGGAGGACCCATGTGACCCATGCTAAGACTAGAACGTGACATTTAGTCAGCAATCAGTAACCATAGCAGAACGTACACTTTAATTAGAAGAGACGTACGTTGAGTTTGCTGCATCGGACACTGAAGCAGGGGAAAATGCACTCATGTTATGTGGAAGTCAGTTGCAAAAGATTGGTTCGAATATCCACCCAGCAGCTACTTAACTTTGGAATTGCTGGGTCAGTAAACAAGAGGGCAGTCAGAGAGCTGGGTGAGGAAGCTAAGAAGCACGTTTTAGCTATGGTTCAGACTGAGAGTCAAAGGTTTGGATACTTAGAATCTGAGGGCCAGTTACAGGGAGTCCAGGGAGACATCGCTGCCATTGCCCCACCACCCAGAGATATTCTGGGATCAAAGAGACAAAACTTCTTTAAAGGTCCCACAAATGCCCTGCCGTTTGCAAATCCTGAGATTCTGTTTAAATTAGATAACTCGATTTTAGACATGATAGTATTGTCTATTACCAAGACATTTTGGTACACCAAATCAATGTTTATATTTACAGAAAACGAATTTATCGACTCATCTTTGCTTAACATTCTGGATTTTTTTCAGCTTGTGTCTGAGTCCTCTCCAGCAGTGAGATGACCATGACTTTCATACGATTGTGATAGGTGTGAGTACAGGGATCTATGACATAGTACTTGCATTGGACAAAATGCTAATGGAAAAAACTATGAAGAGTTTACTATTCTAATTCGGGCTATAGATTCAACATACAGAACTAAGCCTGTGTTGTTCTGTATCACCATTGAACAACACGATTCTTGAGTCATGTAACTAACATTGCCGAATAAGAGCTTGGTTAAATTCTGAAAGTTATCAATCAGAATTGCCTCAGCCCTTTATGGAACTTTGTCATACTTCAGGCAGGGATGGACACAGATACTGAGCAGTTAATAGCCCATCATATTCATTTTTATTGAGATACTGCAGGTTGGGCAGGCAGAAGTCAGGTCCAGGTGATCCAGGTTAACAGGTAGGGCAGATCCAACTACTTTGATCGAACAGGCAGAAGGTCAAAGCCAAATAATCCAAATCAAACATGCAGAATATTTGGTCCAGGTCAAGCAGAAAAGGTAAACCAGCAGAGAAAAAAAACAGACAGGTTAGATCTAGACAAACAGATGGGAACAGATAGAATGGCTTGAATGTGTTACCTTGGATTGGTAACAGATTCCTACAATCTGGCAACCTCAGGTAGGAGTGACTGAGCTGGCCAGCTTGGACTGTCCTTTTGGACACAAGTCTCCCTTATGCTGCATGAGTCGCAAGTTTTCAGTTGATTTTCTGTAACAATCCCACATTATGTAGATATGTGATGCAATGGCTCATTGAATTTAAATCATCAATGGTTTGAGGACAAGTTTACAGGCTTTCACTGTGGCAGTGGCAGCATCTTGGGCTGGGGAGAATTGCTTGCAAATATGGGCTTGTAACGCAGCAGGCTCGGACAGCAAATAAACAACTTCGACACGCATTTATAGATCTCAACACTTTGCACACCAGAGCTTTTAACATATTCTATTTGATTTGTTTCATCTTCATTTTACATTTCACAACCACACGGTTAATTAAAAAAATGCTCGTGCACCTTAATACTATATTAAATTTGTCAACTGTAATGAAAGCAGAATCGTTAACGCTTGTACAAACATTATTCGATCTGTGCCTTTGTGGTTTGGCAAGAAGCATTTTGATTCTGATAAACACCGTGAATATTGCCTTCTGACTGCGAATATGGTTTATTTGACACTCATCTCCTTCCAGTGATTGGAGTCAGCATCATCACATGATTGACAAACATACTTTTACTAATTGCATTTATGAGGCAGTCCACTGTACTGGTCCCACATTAAGGAAATAGATTTTCTGATTTTAAGGTAGAAAGGTAGAATGTTGTTTAATAGAAATACAAGAAAATTACTCATACAGCACTCTTTAAGATTTATAATGCAGACTCGCATCTGCTACTCAGGTTGAATAGAATCAAAACAGACAAAAAGCTTGACTATCGATTCAAGCAGGTAAAGACAAAGCTCTCTGGTGGCTCGAGGGTCGGAGAACAGACAACATGACTGCATCTTGTTGTGTGTCATACCCCTCCGCTCCATGTCTCCTGTCACTGTCTACTGCCTGTCAATAAAATGCTGAAAAGTTTTTGTTTTTTTTATGTGAAAAAGAACAAGCAGTGCAGGTTCATGAGGGTGTTCCTCACAATTCCTGACACTTTTTGTATGAAATGGCATAATATCAATTTCAAGATGCTCTCTTAAAAGGTCACAAAACAGTCTTACCTTCCGTAGAAGAACTATCTGGATGTTTATTGCAAAGTCTAGATATTTGTATGTGTACATGTAATGCTAAAGACAGTGGTGCAGGACAAATTAAGAACATTTCTGAGGTTATTAATGCTGTTGATTAGTTGCTGTTTAGATACACAGACCGACAGTCAAACCTGTTTTCCGGCAGTTCCTGTATATATCTTTCTGAGGTTGACAGTAATCCATGGTGTCAGTGTCTTAGATAAAGTAAGACACTGTCCATGATCAATGCTAGCTTGTTAAAAAGTGTGTGATTCAGCAGAGCAGATTTTGCTTGCCTGCATGTGTTTCACCTTGGCCCATGTCTCCTGAGAACAAGGCCTTAATGCTTGAAAACACAGATATGGCTCACTCTCTACACAAGAGAGTGAGGAAAATAAACTTGAACCCCCTGCAGTCACAGATGATAGGTTAATTTAAATTCTGCTGATTTAAAGGGATAAAGAATCTGTAAAACATACTCTTTTGTGTGTGAGAAATACAGACACACTTCAAAAAAGTTTTGTTCTGGAAAATGAATGTTTTTATAGTGCTGTACACTGTGAGAGAAGTCCAAATTTCCAGACTTGTTGAATACCCCTTATGTTGGAGACCGCATAGGATTGGTTATTCATTTGACCCGTTTCGTTGAAATATTAATCATTAAGCAGTTGCAAAAGTCTCAGCCTGTGTAGTACTGTGGGGTAGTTGGTCTTGTCATCTTTTTACGGTCACCGTTTTCCACTAGGCATTTGCAAAGAGCATTGCAGGTTTGACTTAGAACAGCTTGAAAGGGAAGTGCTCAGAGAATACCAGCTGCTTCTTTTAAAATTGCATTAAGAACCACCAGCTATCCCCGCTGATGAGAGCAAAAGAATGAGTCCTACTACATGACGCTCCCATCGTACTGCCCGACTCCCCGGTGGAAAGATTTCTGTGTGATGTTAAGAAGCAATCTTGCGTTAAAACTCATGACCAGAAGATTTCTCTGAGACACTTTGATAACAGATGGCGGGAGACTTCTTTCTAGGAGTACTGCTGAGCTGCTCCCTGGAATTCCTTGGTTGTATCACTTATCCATGCCCAAGGATTTAGCATTTTTTAGTATGAGTAGTCAAGTCTGTGCTGTTGCATTTGATTGTCTCTGAATTGGAGGACAATCTTCAACGTGCCACCTCTTGCCTCTCAAGATCTGAGCCCTCAGAAGTACCAGCAGCTAGATGATAGCCATTGCATCTGTCTCTTTTATTACTTAAGATAACACTCTGAAGAATTTTTATTTGCAAGACCACCTGAAGAAACTAAGGTTTGTTGAGTTCAGCCCTTTTGAATCCCATGCAGGAAGGATCCTTTGTGATCAATCAAGTAAAGTAACATCAAACTCATTGCAGTCACGCAACATCATCCATGTAAAAGTGTCAACTTGTGTTAATTTTTCATGTGTTGCTATAGCTTCTTGTCAGTGGATGGAAACAGATGAAAATATCTATTTATGGGCACAGCAGCCTGGACTTTAAAAACCACACGTTAAAGAGGCCAAAGTTACAGAGGACATGGGTGATAGGTTGAGGTAACTCGACTCCAATGTCATGGTAAATCCAACACTCCGCATTTTAATGGGTGCAGAGGTTGTAAAGACATGAAACGTGTCGTTGGTTGAAAATACAAAGCAGTGTACAAAGCAAAAGCTGCTGCTGGTGGTTTATGTAAGGCATAAACATTACATGAGGTTGCCAGCAGGGTACATATAACATGTACAAGGGGGGTGGATTCTTCTTCTTTGTATAAGATTTGTATAACAATTTGTTTGTCTCATGGGAGTGGTAACTGTGACTACTTAAGTTGACAGGCAGACACCCTTACTCCTCTCTAACAGCTCAGAGGATTCCCACTCTTCCACAGATCATAAAACCTCATCAATTCACTTGTGTCAATTCACTCTTCCTTCCTTGCAATTCTGACTTTGTATCCTTAATACACAGCCAGGTAACCCCCATCACAACTATGACAGAATCTCTCCCCATAAGTGCTAAGCAGAACCCAACCTACCCATTCTCTGTGTTGAATTCTCTTCTTGTTTCAAAGTCGAAGCAGAGGAAGAATGCCTGTTTCTCTTACATGACTTATTTAAGCTGTTCAGCCAGCACAAATCTAAGCTCACACCACATCAACACAAGTGAGTCCATTTTACATGACATTTCTTTTCAGACTAAAACACACAGTTTTTGTGTCAAGTGTCATCCAAAGACCTGAAATCATTTTTGATTTGCTGTAAAATCTATGCACACTCACTCACAGCTCAATGGAATACTTGCTTATGGCAGGTAATTGGCCCTTGAGAAAAAAGGAAGCTATAGCAACATTGTTGAATGAGTGGTAAATAGGTTTGGTCAGGCTTTGAAGCAATTCAAACCTTTCTGGCAGAAGGTCGGGTAAGAGTGGCCGATGAGTAAGCATTGAATATCACACAGATGTCAGTTTCAAAGGGGTCCTTGTTACAGAGACAAAACAGGTTGTGTTGTTAGAGTGTCATCCATCAGCCTATTCTCTCTTTTCCACAGTTATCCTGTTCAGGGATGTTGGGGACTGCCCACTCACACTGTTAGCAATTAATCCAAAATATTTGTTTCTGTCTCTATCCATCTGCAGGATTTTTGGAAGGAGCGTGGCTTTTCTGGGGAAATAGTGGCAGGTCCCTCCACTGACTGTCCATTCTGCGTTACCTTTGACGCCACCAGCCATAAGGGCAATGCCGCTCTTGTAGGCTTCATTTCCGCCCAGCAGGCTTATCACTGGAGTACCAAAGAGGTAACAGAATTAAATACTGACACCATGAAGATTGTAAAACTTTTTGAGACCTGACCTTTAACACAATAAGATTTTTGCTCATTTGACAAAAAAATCATTGATAAAAGAACATAAAAAGAGATCAAATCTTGAAATTGAGACAATTCTCTAATTTATTGAAAAAATATGAGCTGAACTGATGACATCAGCACATTTAAAAAAGGTTGACACAGGTTCATGTTTACCACTGTTTAGCATGCAGCCAGGTATTCCTGTTTTTAATGCAGTTCCCTCTATAGCCCATAGATCACAGGTATTTAACTTTTTGGGCTGTCTGAAGGACAGATTATTCTACATTCTTTTCATTTTAAGATAGTGGAATATTTAAATATTTTCTATTTTAGCTTGTGGGACATTGTTGTGAAATTGATCCCCATCTTCCAAAAGACTATTTTTCTCTATACTACCCATTCATTGTTTTTCTTTCAATACCACCTATTACTTTGAATTCCCCTGTCCCAGACTTTTTTACGATGTGTCACATGATCAGGAGTTTACGAAAACAATGCAAAAAACAACAATTCATTAATTCATTAATATTTTCATTCAATTAAAACAGTTGCATTACATTTAAGGGGACATTTAGCCTTTAACAAAATCGTTTTTTACAGCGGGAAACCTCCCACGCTCGCTTTTAAAATTATATAGCTACACTTTTACATTGTCCCAGGATTTGTGTGGCATTTCAGTCATCATCTTGACTCGCTACAAATTCTCTGGAGTAGCTGTCACCCTGCAGGGCCATGCTGCACAGAGTACTAAATAATTAACCTCTACTTTCCGCTCCACTTCTACACCAAAGAAAAGCGTAGTAGAATGATATTTAAGTGGACATAAGGGTTACAGTCATGCACACTGTGTGCCGTTTGAACATGCCTTAGCTGTTAATACCCAAAATGATTTTCCATTTCTGATTTTTATGTACTTGGTTCCTTTTCTAGAGCTGTAGTGCCAAAGTTAAACCGACACAAAAATGTTGAAGCCAATTAGCTTTTTAATTCCACACTAACGTAGAGATATTTGCATTTGCTTTTAGCTCCAGCTGAAAAGGGGCAACAGCTAAAGTGACATGTTAATAAGTTCAGTGTGCGACATCTGTCAACATGCTTTAGGAGGATCTGTTTCTTTTTTTTGTCTTGGTCCCCAGGCCTTAGTTGCTTTTTATAAACTCCAGCGTGTAAGCCGTAACAGCGGAGAGGCTTCAGATATTCACATTGACTCTTTTGTGTTTTTTGTATTTATTTCTAGAGATTTTCGATGTAATCTCTCTTTCTTTCTGCTCAGATCCCTCTAGTGCAGGAATTATCGTCATTACTGGGAAGTGAATTGTATAACTTCAGAAGTTGCTTTGTCATTCATAAGAAAGCATCATGTGGTCAAAAGTAAATTTGATTGAATGTAGAGTGATAACCCGGCATTAGGAAATATTATGCGGAGTAAACTGGGCCTTATTGATGGAGAACTGAGTAAATTAAAGCAACCTAAAAAATAAAATGTTAATTTTGGGAGAATGACCATCAAACAGTCACATCTCTGTTGCTCTGTGATTTAAACACTAAAGACAATGACATTTGTTTTTGTGTCATTGGAATTTTATTTAGTGAGGGAATGTATACACACTTTGAGGGTTGTTGTGATAATCCTCACTCTTTAGGGCATTTTCTAAAAAGTTTTCAAAACTTTGTTAACAAAATATAATGAAATGCTGAGATTAATTACAGAACTTAGTTCACAATTGATCCCTTAACTCATGCTCAGTCTCCATAGACTGATGACACCTGCAGCAAGGTTTGTTTGTGGCCCTGACCCGGGATGTTTTTCGTCGGCCCTGATTCACCATCAGAATTTTAAATACAAAGTAATCAGTGTGTTTAAAACCAATCGCATATCTCATATCTCTGGGGCAATCAGAATAAAAACTTGAATGTAATGACACAACATCAGCAATCAACTTCCAACTTTGAAAGCTGGGTGTTCCAAAGCAACTTCAGAGTAGGTTCACCAGAATTCTTTGGCCTCACAATTTGCTATGAGACAAAAAAGGAATCAGTGTTCAAATCAATTATCTTCCCTCCAGTTTTATTTTTGATTAGATATGTTTTCTAAGGTTTCTCATGTTTTACTCACCCACTACGATACATTGTTTGCAAATATTGCTTCATGATTCAGCAATGAGCTTCTGAATTTTGGAGTGATGAACGAAGCATTGAAGATGCCCAGTTGAGAAAGGCTGTTTTTTCTGTTTGCAGCCTGGAGAAAGAAGAGACGCCGTGGTTTCCAGTTTGGTCAGATATCTTGGTCCAGAGGCAGCAACTTTCATCCATTATGAGGAGAAAGTAAGTACTTTGACGTCTGGAGTGTGTTTAAAAAAAAAAAAAAAGACTTCTGTGTCTTTCTTGGCAAAACAAATAAGCAGTGAATTGGTAGCTTAGCTCCTTCTGCAAAAGGTAAGCAAGTCCTCAATTGAAACAACCATGTTGGTATTTTTTTCCATATGCTTAAATAAGACACTTAATGGCATCTTATAATGTACAACGCCTGCGCATAGCAGGAGGGAAATGCCAGTCATATAAATGCCTATTTGGGAAGAAGGAGAGGAGATGGATGGAGGAGTCACGTCTAATCGACATTGAATAGTGCACCTTCTATCTCGGGAGGATTGTTTAAGACCATCATATGCCATCTGTTATCACTGTTGGCTATGACAGAAAGCAAGGATTTGAATTAAAATGCATTGTTTTTACAATGCAACTGTCACGTTGATTGACACTATTTTACTTGTTGTTTTAGCTGCGTGTGAAGAGCAGGTTGTGCTTTGGTTTATAATAACTGCTTGCTTTCCATGATTCAAGCAAAATGCTAAAATTTTATGATATAAACAGCAGATGATGAGTCATCCTAATTCTTTGCATGTAATAAAAAAGGCATGTGATTGGTGAAAAATTGGAAGACGAAGATGCCAACTCAACAGTGATGATATTTGAATTGTTTTATGCATAGATTATTAAACTTTGATAGCAGAACTCTAAATATATGGAGCAAAACTCAAGCATTTAAAATATATTTAAGCTAAATCATGTAACCAAATAAGATAAACCATGTTAAATAGATTTAGGTAAGGTTTAGCCTCAAAATCTTAACTTGATAGACACTTGATCCACCACGCTTGCTATGCTTTACAGAGAAAAGCGTTTCACTTCTAAACAGAATAGCTATTTAGCTCCATGACATGAAATTACATTAATCATTCAGAAATATGATTATGCTTCTTCAGCTGTTTCATATTCTCAGTGCTGTTGAAAGGTGATGGAAAACTGCCTCAAGGAAACTTGAGGCAACAACATTAAGCCACATTATGATTCTTCCTTACTCGCAATAAAAAGAATGGGGAACACCCTTTCAACATACAAAAACTTGTGAAGCTTAGTGATGACAGAAAGAAGGATAAATTAAGCAGTTGTGAAGGCTTTGGTTGGATTTACTGGTGACTATTTTGTCTTTAGCTTTCGTCCTAATCAATTTCAGGTAACAGGCATGTGAGAAAACCTGGAATTTCCAAACATAATTTCCATGCAAATCCTACATCATATCGTGGTCTCATCCACATGATGTGCTGAAGGGGTTTTTATTCCCATCATCCCCATTAAAAAAGATAAGTGCAGGATGATGTTTGGGAGTTGCCACGGAGCAATCAAATATTTACGAAGTACAGATTTTCCTGTAGGTTGACTGCTTTGGAAGATAATGCGCATGCCGTTGGGGTTGGGGGTAGATCTAGAACATTTTACATGGGTGGCAAGGGTTGTATGGCAGTTTATGGACATCCTGACCCTAAAATTCTTGGCTAAAAAAAAAATCCACCACAAAATCCACCACAAACTTTTACTTCACACTGCTGCAGAGTTCTTCCTCTTTCTCAATGATGGAACAGACCACTTATTTCATCTGTCAGATCTGAGCAGATTTACTTTAAACAAAGTCTAAAGTATTTTGCTGTTAAGTGCTCTAATCCTATCTGGTTCAGCATTTTCAAGGCCTTATTCTCAGCAGCTTTATGTATCGTATGAGCATAGAAATCATTGGCCAAAGCCCACTGGAATTACAGACAACAAACAAAGTCACACCATTATCTTCTACAGTGGGACCATCTATCTCACTCTCATGATCTCGTTCTTTATCCTGATTTAACCTTTTCTGTACTTGATTAATGTCCATTAACGTCCTTGCTGAATTCTAGTTTCATCTGTGGTCTCCATTTCTCTATATCACTGCTCTCTTTTTTTTTTACTCCCCTCCCCCGTCTGTTTACTCGATTTGTCTTCCGACTATTTGACATCTTATTCCTGTCAAGTGAAAAACTAAATAAATAAAATAAGATACACCACAACCTCGTCAAATTCCTTCTGATCTTTGGTCTGTTTTACAGGGTAGTCAAACTACACTTGACCATAAGTGGATATGATGGAATTGGTTCCATTGAAGTGTGCGATAGAAACACTACATACATCGACTTAATCTCACTGTAACCACCAGTTTTAGAGTCAGCAGTACTGAGGGATTTTGTGTAATATTTATTCAGGGGTTTTTCAAAGGAAATGTACCCTCCTAACATTGACTGGTTTGTGAAGAATGTGCAATTAGACATGTCATACCCCCTTGCTCTTTAATTTTTCTTAAATTCAGCTCAGTAAATGGAAATGTTCCCAACTTTCAACTTTACCTTTGAGAGATGCTGTAAAGCAATCTAAATTTCCTCCCGGTACATAGGCCACTTTGTGTGAATTGGCATTAATTAAATGCAAATAATATTAATTGTGCTGATGTGGATTACAATAAACTGGATTACAATGAATTGCACAGTATCTATTCTGACATTTTATTGAGGTTGCTTTTTTTGTCTTTCAAACATTTGAAACTTTTTTTGTAAATTGGCACATTATATAGGCAAACTCACAATAAAATGAATCTGCTCACCTTTTCCATATACGGTAACTATTATTTTCCATGGAGCAATGCATTTCACCTGCTTTGGAGGTGAAGCGGTGGACTACATGAGAAAATGTCATTTTGCATTTTTTCTGCTTTTTTTTGTCCTGTTTCATGAAACAATACTGAGTTACATCATGAGCCATTTTCTCTTGAAGGACTGGGGTAAGGAGGACTACAATGGTGGCTGCCCCGTTAATGTCATGGCACCGGGCCTCTTAACATATTACCATCCCAGCCTGAGAAAGCCCTGTGGCAGGTAATCACCCAGCTGCTGACAAACACACATCACAGTTTTTTTAAATGATATACTCAAGTCCATTTCCTCGACATTTTCTCTAAAGTGAAAGCCATCTGACAGGATTTCATCCTGCAAACTGGTATTGCGCTTTCGAATATTTCATACATATATTTCATCGCTCTAAATTCAGGAGTAAATACTTCCATGAAAAGCGTCTTTCTACTTGGGAAAACAAGTTATCAGATATGTGTGTATGCAGGGTGTACTCTATATCTATACCAAAGAAACAATATTTGTACATATTTGTAGATTGTATATTTATACATTTGTTGTATGCTACGCATTGACTGATTGGAGATATTATACGTTTAATAATACATAGTATTTCAGTTGTAAAGAATTGCAGGGTTGCTTGTGTTCGTGCGTGTGAATGTGTGTGTGTGTGTGTGTGTGTGTGTGTGTGTGTGGGGGGGGGGGGGGGGGGGGGTCTGTGTGTGTCTAATTTCTAATGGCCTGTTCAGAAATGCACAAAGACGAACAAATGTGAGCGAGAGGACGGTAACGGGATTCAGGTAATACATTTCCATAATGACATTGAATCTGTTGGGAGCAGGGGAAGCTTATTATATAACAGGACTGGAACAGCAGCAAGGGGACGGCGGCCCCTTATTCACATTCCTTTCTCATACAGCAAATGGATCTCCAAAGACATGCTATGACCTTGACACGCATCCAGCACATGGGAAGAAGACAAAAATGGAGCATGTGCTTCAAACAGAATATGTTTAATAACAGAACAAATTACAGTACCAGCTGTAGATTGTAGGGATTAGATTTGACATTTCTTTGTTTTCCATTACTACAGGCTATTGCGTACTCCGCGAAAAGGGAGACTTTTGTTCTTGCTCCTTCAGCTACAAGAACAAATCATCTTATTTTCGCAGTCCTGGCTTTGGAGTTCTCGCTGCTTGTTCTTGACACACAGGGGTATCTGAGAGCTGTTTTGTGATTCGTTAGACGTTTTGAGCGGGCGGGGTTAGTCTGTGTTTGCACTGTGTTGGGAGCTCCCAGAAGCTGATAATCAATCTGATGGCTGGCTTTCAAATATCAATCTTTTAAACTGCAACTCTATATTTGCCCTTTTCCACTTTGGTAGTATTAAGCGGTCGGGCATGCCAATCAGGTTATCTTGTTTTCCCGATTTCTTCAACGATAAGTCCACGTTGTGCCCCACATACTTGAATAAGACTCCCGATCCCACGAGAAGAGAGATGCTTTTGACTATGCGTAACCCATCATGAAAAGTGTCCTGCAAAAAAAGCCAATCCAGACGATACATAGATATTTATAGATATCTATATCTGTCTATATACATGTATGGATTTTTTTTTCGGTTTTAATACTTTTGGTGAAACTCACCCAGCCACAGTTGGTTATTTGACTGAACAACAACTTAACTCCAAAGCTCAGGGGACACACCTCCCATATTTTGCTATTTTCATTTTTGATGGTTGAGTCTGAACACCCAAACCTTCATTTATCTGGGTAATGGAAAACCATTGTAGAGAAAGAAGACTCGCAAGTTGCCAGACACAATGAAGGCCCCTGGAAACCAATCCGTCTGCTGCTGACTGAGAGAGACCCTCTTGAGACCGCTGACCAAAGACCTAACGAGTTCACAGTCGGCTGGTTTATGTCAATCAGTGGAAGGTGTCTCATCCCTTCTTCCTTTCCGGACATAACGGTGGTGTCCAGAGAAATCGCAGTCAAAAGTAAAATAACTCCAAAATCTTTTGCCGTTAAACCTTCAACAATACCTGAAAGTAAGATGAGGTCTTTGCCCTCGATCGTCCATTTTCTTCCCTCTGTTTAGTCTTCTTTAATCTTGCTTCCCAAACTTTCCACACAGTTCATGTTGCATATTTCTCTATATAGTTCATTCAGTCCAGTAAGTCACACCACATTATTGCAGTGAAGAATTAACTGTCTGGCCACAATGTTGAAAAATGTCAGTCGCAGAATAGAGCGAATGCTTTAAAAGACTCTATTTGTGCTAAAGGATATGATGTGGAGGTTTTTTTTTTTCTTCTTTCAAAAGAATAATTTAGTTTATCAGCTCGTAAATTATTTTGGACAACCTACTTAAAAATGTGATGAAACTGAATAAAGAAGGGCAGTTTGATTACAGTAGAGGTCAGAACAATGTTCCACACGCCCAGCGGGAGTCTTTAATTGCCCTTCCTCGTTTCAGTGACTGACTTTTTCATCCCCTGGCAGTGCCTTTTCCTTTAATGTTTTCAATGGAAATACATGAACTATTATCCGATTTGGGCTATTAAAGTTCTAAGGGGAGACAATTAAATCAATTGACTCACCAGTATCACACTCATCATTTATGGAGTAAAATTGTTTAATAGTTGTGCAATATTTTCATAATTTGAATTGTAGAACTAGTCAATAGACATTTAAACTATGAAATAATCTAAAAGGACACATTCCAGATCTGTAGGTGTAAAAAATAAAAAAGACAATGTGTTTTGTCTTTTTTATTTTTTTTGTAAAATCTTGAGACATTCAGTAGGTGAGATTATATATTTATCACACACACACTTTTTCTGAAGGGTGTGTGTGCTTTTTAAGCTTTTTTTTCTGAGGATCTATATGCTGATTTTTTCGTTGGACCCCGCTGTTTCGGACACAAACAGATACATGCGGCACGCATAACAACATAATATGGCGACTCATGTGCTGTTCTCAACATCTTGTAAAGAAAACAGCTTTTTCCATAGTGTAATTTCTGTATCACAAATTTCCTCCTGTGCACTCAAAGACAGCCGCTCCTTCCTGGGAGCACATATCCAGCACAAAGCTTCCCGCTGTGTTTGTGTGAATAGCAACTGCAGGAAAAACACCATCAAATTGTTTGCAGTTTCTCCAGAAAAAACATATTTTCAAGTATGAAAATGCCTTGAAAGACATTTTTGACTCTCACTAAAAAAAAGCACGAATTTAACTGTGTCTTTGAGTAAAGTTGCAAAAATAAATACGACCGAAATGACTAGGGACGACAGGGAGACCTCACATCGCAATATGATCGGAGGTATTCAGTAGAAACCTACCTAATGGTCTCTTCACAGAAAGGCCAACAAACTTTATGAACTGGCATTGTTAAAAACTATGCTTTTAAGCTAAAAATAGTTAGACATATGTTAGCTGGCCAAAGGAGAAAAACATTGTCAGCTGTCAGGCTAAACAGTGTGTTGACACCACATACGGTAATAAGACTCTATGGTGACATATGGCCTATTGAAAAAAACAACAACCACATCTTTGCTGATTATTTCATTGAGCCAATTATCTGCAGCACCAAGGATTGCCTTTTGAAAATGGTATTTTTGGAGTAAAGGGAGGAGGAATTATATTTGAACGTGTAGTTGCTGCAGCATGAGGAGTAAGTCCAGTGTTGTAACGGCGCTTTGAGGACAGCCTTTATGATTAATTGTAGCTACTTTTAACCAGCAACAAAGTCACGACATTTTACAGTGATAAGTAACCAAATTTAAATTGTGGAAGCTTTGTCTTTCTCTTGGACAAAAAAACTAAAAGAAACAAAATCTCAAGGAACTTTTTTTTGGACATTTTTGAAAGGTTATACTCAACATTTTTTCCAAATAGTTGAACGCATTTAAGGTTTGATCGGATGTTTCTTTTTTGACAACACATTTTATGTCCTAGAGGAAGGCTTCAGTATGTCTAAAGATAGTTCCAGTTAGTGTTTTAAAAGCTTTGCAGGTAATTAAAGCCTGCGGTTCATATATGGGAGCTCCTTCAGACTCAAGCAAGGTTCCGGTTGACAGCAAACATCTCCAGCTTCAATCTGAAATATACTTATCTTACCTTATATGCTATGTTTATGTTTATGTATTTATCAGACGCTTTTATCCAAAGCGACTTACAAGGTAGACACAATGTTACAGTTATCATAAGATCTCTAGAGGAACATTCCTGGTCAGACTCAGTGGTGACAGCAAAGAGAGAGAGGGAAGAGTTAGGATAGGAAAAAGTAGAACATATACATGCGTATCTCCCTGTCGGGGAATCAAACACTGGTCTTCCGTGTGACAGGCATTGACACTCATCACTATCCCCCACCCCCACCAATGTTAATATGTAAACTACTCCTGCTAAACAGAATAAGTCAAACACAGGACAGAAGCCGGTTGCATAAAACTCCTTAACAAGATGTTGAGAAGTTGTGAATTCCTAATTCCTCTCCCAAGAAATATGCATGAGCGTTTTACCAAGAGGCTTTTTGAGCTAGTCTCTTCCATGTCATGCTTATGTGTGAATTATTTTTTTTACGTTTAATTTTTCTGCTGGTTGTAACACCTACTGTGGTTACTGTTGAGTGCTTTGCTGCGAGTGAATCGCAGTTTCACATTTTTTGCCATGTGCACCCAGTTATAAGCAGCGTTGAGTAGATAACAGCTGACGCGTTATGCCTGGCTGGCTGGATTGATTTGTTATCCTAGAAGTCCACAAATTTGTTGCACAGTGTGTAATTGGACATTTAATTGCAGGGCTCGCAAACTTTCAGTAACCACGTTTCACAGTGAGGTTTTTGGTCCATAAAGTTCCCACTGTTTTTTAAAGGAAACTCTTTTTGGTTACCATCAACGGCTTAAAGAAGACAGTAATCAATTTCAAGGTTATGTTTTTATTTGACGAGCTCTCACTTTTCTCATTATAATCCTGTGGCTCATTATGTTGTTTACTGATGCTTGTTACATATGCAGCTGCCACCGAGGTGTTGACTGATTTTTCTGATCTCCTCTTTTAATGCTATATTTGTTTTACATGCTGGATGCATTTCTTCACTCCTCATATTAGTGTGTGCATCATTTGCTCTTAGTGATATGAATAAATCCATTATAAATCACCCTAAAATGAGTATATGATAAAGGAAGTTACTTTTTGTATGGGTAACATAGATTACCCTCAAGTAAAATAACGATTTATACTCTACATTATAGTCTCTTAATATGGTAAATATCAACACCAAGCTTGTTGACATCTCAGTTAAGCCTAAAATCTTTATGTTTATCTTTCCTAAATTGAGGATACTTTGAAACATTCTCTACAACTTTGGAACAAAGACCCCTCAATTACCAGTCATTCTGATGTCATGTTCATCTCATTGTTGTTAGTGCACATATAGCATATCGTATATGGCATTGTTGACAGGGTTTATCACATCTGAGCGCAACTGTATTTGTACTCGAGGGGAAAAACAGTTTGCTGCTCACTTTTTCAACTCCTCGTTCAAGAAACACAAATTACTTCTAAAGGATGCTAGCCAGTGCAAGGATGCTAAGGGGTTGTCTCCCTCAATTATTGTAATTGGTGGACATAGATGAGGTCTGGTTTCAGAGAAAGCTTTAGGCTTGAGTGATGTGAATAAAAATGTCCGCACATATGTACTCGTTATCCGGGGAGTAATGAGCTAAAGTATGCCCTGCTGTTTTTAGCAGCATGGATATGTAATGTAAGGAATAATAGGTTGCGTGAGTACATTTTGAATCATTATTCTCTGATGAAACATGTGACACATAGAGTACAATTATACATTTATAAGGTGTTATGTTCAGTATAATAATGCAGCTGCTCACAGGGTAGCCAATATGAGTATTTCTGGTATCTCAACCCTTGAGGGTCTAATCAAATAGTCACATGTGTTTTGAACTCTTGCGAACTAAGTAGCGAAAATAAGAACTGTTCAAATTCTCAAAATGTGTCGGAAGATGTTCCAATGCATTAGCATTATATCGGGCCCTTTATAGAAACAGGAGATTATTCAATTTTTTCAATTACTTGCATGAACAGGTTCTGTTTTCATTAAGTCATGCTAACGCTTTGTCAAAGTGAAGACAGGAGGCTGACTGTTAGCTTCCAGTTACAACACACATGACTTTCTTTTAATTTATCTGAGCTTTTTAATCAACAACCTTGATAACAAAATATTACATGATTTTGACATGACGCTTTTAAGATTCTGTGGATAAAATATCTGTATCTAAATATCTATGTATAAACTTTTTGTTGATTACATATTGAATGTTTGGACTTTCAAAGGTGCAGACATGCTTTACAGCATTGTGTAACTGTGGTTGAATGTCAGCATGGTTTTCTGTTAAAAAGTCCTTCAAGATTATTCCTAGCACTTTACTTATATCAAAGGAAAATCGCTACAGAAAACACTTCAGGGTGGTCATTCAAGCCAGTCAATGTCATCCACACCAAACGTTCTCAAACGTCTTTATAGACGTTGATTTGTGAATTGGTGCACAGTCTTGCTGGAAGAGGAACAAGCCTTTTTTTTATTTGTCTGCGCAAAGTTGTTAGCATGCCATTCTCCAGATGTCTCCAGATGATTTCTTTTACCGGGAACTTTTGGTGCATTCCCACCAGTGCCTACTCAGCACGGCACAGCTCTACCCCCGTATTTTTACATTTCCACTAGGGGCTGGCCCCACTAAACAGTTGCAGTAAACTGCCTGGCACCGATTTGATGAGGAGTCACATGGTTAGATAGTGACTGCATCAGGTAAACCTTACCTATTTTAAGGAGAGAGCAACGCATTTTTTAACAAATGCTTGTAGAAATAGTCTATATGCCAAGACATTGGACCGCCTGATTTTGGTTATTTGGCTGTGTGAGCAAGTACATTTGGAAATAAAGTGTAGCAAATGCAGTAAACACTAAAAACTATCTCCTTGTAAGGATGCAGTTTTCGTTCTCTTCCCCAGTATGACTGTCTTACTGTAGGTATTGTTTTTTTAGAGTTTTACCTAGGATCGCTTGAATAGAACTTTAGCACAAGCTTTCTGTTTTTCTTTTAAAAAACAACTTTTGCATTTCTGATGCTGGATGAAAGCGTTTTTTTAATCTGATTATGTGATTAATGAACATTTGTTGTTGCATTGGAGAGTCCAGTTTTATTGAGAAACTAATTTACATTCAAGTATGTAAATTAGTAAATACAATTCTTGTATGTCTCACGACCATTTTTTAAAATTCCCCCATATTCAACTCATACCTTGTTGTGCTGTTTCTGATTAAAGTGGGATATATTCCCATTATATTTTCACATACTAGTGCAAAATTGAGAAAATGCATATCCGATATACCAATGTGTTTGACCGATAACGGGGTGGTGAGCATGTGAAGACAAACTTTAATCATAGTTTTTGCCTAACACATTTTCTGGCTTTACAGGATCCACTGGGCAGGCACAGAGACAGCCACGCAGTGGTGTGGCTACATAAGTGGTGCAATACAAGCCGGTCAACGAGCAGCTTTGGAGGTTCTGGCTGAAGTCCACTACAATGCTCTGACTGCAGAGGAACAGGAAGCGCTGAAGCACAGTGAAACTGTCGAGAATCCTCCAAAGGACACCCCGTCGTTCAAGCCTCTTTTCCTGTTCACCAGAAAATCTGTGGTTTTAACAGTGCTGACCGCAAGTGCTGTTGTTCTCCTGGTTAAGAATCCAAGTACAATGGTGACAATCAAAACTTACCTGACAAATACTTTCTCAACGAACAAGCTTAGTATGTTTAAACTTTCATGAAAACCAGCAAAAGAGTTGTAGGTTCCAGTGATCAAAACTCAAAATAAGTCTAAATTCCATGAAAACAGAAAATAATGATTTGCAAATCCCATTAAAATGTAGTTTGTTTACATTAAAACATAGACAAATGAGTCAATAGCATTTTGGTACTCCATTTAAAGTGTTGATTGTTGCATGTATAAGAAAGCAGCAAAACAACAGAACTAGGGGGGGAAAAGCCGAGCACTTAATTAATCTATTATTTGCCATATTTCTTGCACAGATATCTCCAGATTGCCATAAAACCTTTGTCCAATTCTTTGTGCAGATATATTGAGGTACAAAGCCACCACTTCATGTCTTAGTGAGCCTAAGATAGATGAGCCATTTACACAAAAAAATAACTAGAATAAGTGATTTAATGGATATCACTAGGTTTACACGAGATTGAAAGGATTTTTGTCACCCATCAATTCTCTTCCAGAGAGGATTTAAAGAGCTCACTAATTTCTGCATGTTATTCTGCACCTCCACTGTTGCCATGGCTTGCTAATTGTTATCACTCACTAACACTGGATCAACTGCTTGTTGTCTCTGCTCAGACCGAAAAACTGCTAACGAACTTATATCTGTAATTATCCTCGAATTCTTCGCAACATATAGACCATGATTTTCTCAATTCAGTTGTTTGGTAATGGTTGTTGTGCATATTATAGTCTTCTATATGTAATATTGTAGTCTCCTATATGTAATACAGATAAATGGAATATATCTCTATTTCTGACACGTCCCTACGAGAGGAAGAAAAGACTCAACTGGTGTGCTATTTAGGGATTTTACAGCTCTGTTCAGAGGTTCCCTGTAATCAACGCAAGCTCAAGGCACACATGCACTTAATGTACCATCTGGGAGACTGGCTCGTTGCCTTGTCGGTTGCTATTTTTTCATCATCCAGGGCAATCTACTTCTAGTTTGAATGAGGAGCATGCGAGCAGTGTTAAATGGTGGGCATTTAGAAGAAAACCTGAAATTACTCCGAACATGTACAATAATGAAAGCAGGATATGAATGTGGGTTGTGCACCATATGGATTAAAAAAAAAACAGTAAAAGGATAGAGTGGGAAGAATAGAGGTAGAAAGATTGGTTAGAGTACAATAAACAACAATTAAACTGATTATTTCTGACTGCGGACGATTTGCTTTATTTCACTGTGCAAAATGCACACAGAGACGGCTGCCATAGCCCCGAGTCATGAAAACAGAAAAAGATATGTGATTCATAAAAAAAATCCGGAAGGAAGATTGTTTTGTTGATACGCTGATGCTAGAAAGATTAGGATGAAATGCAAAAATAAAGTTTTCAGACCATGAAGGTTTCAAAGCCCAAACTATGGTCCATGAGTTTAAAAGCAAAGAGTTTAGCATTTTCCGCTGTATAATAGCACTCTGCGCAGTGAACTTTCTGTTTTGTAAATAAAATATGTTCTGTAAAGCCTCTAAAAACTGCTGTTATATTTACCAAAACATTTTCTTATACCTGCACTTGTGTTAGTGTTTGCCTTATGATAGGATATGTATCGGACTTAGGACCACATATCCAAGTGGCCTGGGTCGCAATCCGATCTGTGTTGTTCCCACTGTAATGAAAGTATCAGATAAAGATTGCCAAATTTGCGTTGCTTCAGGCTGCAGTGTGAGCGTGGCCTTACCCTCACTCTCCTCTGCCTTTTACCTTAGATCCATACTAATGTCATCTGTACTGGCATGGCACCTTCTAAGACCAGCAGACTGATAGCCACAGTGATTTAAAAACGATCTAGGCAGTTTTCTAATAGTTAGGATTTGGTTATTTCCATTTGGTTTGGACTCTTGGAGTGACATCTGTGTTAACTGTTTTGCAAAAGGCTGAGACAAATCTGTCAATCCAATAAGAATGGGCAGCAGATTTGCAAAAGCTGTCTTCTACTCTGCCGCGAAAGCAATGATGAAAACCGATTGGATCCCTGTTTCTTTCATCAGGTCATCAAGAAAAACTTTACGTTCACTTTGGCATGAAATGTGGCGGCCTTAAAAAATGTGGTAAAGATAGTAATATTACTAGCTCGAGCATTCATGGTTGTCTGTCTCATTTGTCTCTGGGTGAAAGGAATTGTGCTCAACATGATGTCTGGGATATCTTGTGAGCTGTATCTAACTGAAAACTTTGAATTCTCGTCACTTGCTGCCAGGAGCAAACCCCCTATTGTGTCAGGAATCACTTTCAGGACAGGGCTTTAGGACGGTGAACAACATGTACCTTTTAGAGCATGGTTTGCTTTCACTGTGAATGGTGAGTTTCATCTGTCCAGATGCTTATTATTTTTTACTCAGTGCTACACTCTGTACACTGTTGTTTCACATGGGTTATTTCAACAGCATCTTTCTGTTTCGAAGCATAACTAAACCTTTATGATATTTAACTGAAAAAGCGATGAGGTTAAAAAGACTTACATTGAGCTCAATTTCTGGATTTACCTGCAAATATTGATCAGGCAGTAAAGCAACAGGCAAAGTAACAGTATTGTCATCGCTTAAATGCACTGTTGACTGAAAGGATCAGTGAGTTCCAATTTCTGTCCTGTGGAGCTTTTTCAGCATAACCTAATCAGTGACTCAATAGTTATATTTGTTCATGATTAACATTATTATTTCTATTTTATGTAAGGCTACCCAGGCTGAGTAATATGAGCAAAAATAATCGACTGTATTCATGCAAAGCGTATCATCATCTTCAGTGTAAATTTGAAAAAATACGATTCACAGAGGGTGACAAAACAGTTACTGACTGTATATGGATGCAGTCGCCTCTGGAGCTGGTAAAAAAGATTAAAAGTCGGTTCATGCCAAACACCACTAAGCAAATGAAAACACTCTGCCCGCTCATTTGGGTCTTTATGCACATGGGTTCTTTGCTTACTTGTGTTCTGAAACGGCCATTTATTCGTGAGCTATGTGCAAGATGTGTTAAAGCAAAACAGAAGCTCGGTTAATGCGTCGGTTAAAAATAAGCCTCCCTTGCCCTTAAAATAGCTAAAGGCAGAAAATGTCTGAGCTGAGCTGTGTGAAGATAGCATCCTCCCACTCATTAGTATGCACTTGGTAATTTCCGTGAGGAGTGCCAGCTGCAGTGGCTGGGCACCCAATGAGTGCAATATGGCTCAATAGTATCCAGTGTGACTTTTTTACTTGCAAGATAAGGCAGCAGTGTTTGCTTTAATCTGAAATAAAAAATCTAAATCTAAAATCTTATCTAAGTTAGTCTTGGCTATTTGCTTCTGTTGCCTCGAAAAACTCTTAGTAGAAATAGATATTTTGATTTCCTAATCTGCCAAATCTGTGCATGGGTATGATTCCCTTTTTTTAATCTTGGTCATTAAGAATTACAGTCGGGAGCATGAACCCTGTTACTGCGCCTATTGATTGCCAAGAATAAATGAGGAAACTCCCCATTCTCCCAATTAGCTTTTTCCATGTCAGGGCATCCAGGGCATGATAATGATACCAATAAGAGGAAGTGCTGTCCTACCAAATATATAACTGATACAGCAAAGCAAAGATAAGTAACTTCATTTTTTATTGGTGTCGAGCTTAAACAGAGCAAAACTGCTGAATTGAGGAAGTTAGTTTCTCAATTTAATAAAACTGCAAAGTAAAATTTAAATGATTGGATCAGAGGCCAAAACACATATCAGATAGCATTTTCTGTTATATATATGCAACCAATGGATGCATAACCTTTACGAAGTTGCTGAGAGATAATCATAAGGGATGCAGAGGCAGATCATGGTGTGTTTTCTTAAACAGCCTTGCAGAAACCCATGAGAGAATCTTTGTTTTATCTTCTTAGGTTTTTCTCAGCCATAGTACACACAGGCTTTATATTCAGCACCTGCATTAAAATTAGGGGATGTCACCAAAGAAAAAATCCTTTTTAAAAACCTGCCATCCCAGTGTGCGTGGTCTGTAGAACGTACAAGGTGCAAACATTGTTCGTTTATAGAAAATGGTTTTAATGAAAACATTTTCATGTGGAAGCATTGTTAAGACCGCATGTCTTTCGATTAAAAAGCATCCACTCTCTGCTCTTTTGCTTACTCCTCAAATTCAGGATACTTGTAATCAAAAGAATTTCCTGGCATAGCGGCTTGCAGACCTGATTTTCTTTTTAGTAGTATATATATATACTTTCATCTGAATGATCACCCCAGAAATTTAAGAAATTCTAAGTACAGCATCTTAGCCAGTAACCTTATGGCTCAGTCGAGGTAAAAAAAACAAAAAAAACGTGTCAGTTATTGTGAAATAATGTAGTGCAAGCAAATACTTCTTGTGTCATGGCATATTGATAAACCTGCTCCTTAAAAATTTTTACGACAACATTCTGAAAACATTCTCCTATTGTTCAAAATGACTAAAGCAGTAAATTTCAGCATGGCCCACAGTAAATGTTCCTCCTTTAGTAGATCTTAAGTGAAATGGAATTGTTAATTTATTCAAAATTCTCTTCTTATGTTCTAAAAATGTGACATCACATAGAATTTATTAAGAATTGAATGTCAACCCTCCAAGAAATGCTACCCAGAGTCATTACACCTTCATCTTTGGGTTGTAGTTCATTTTAACTTAACTGATGTCAACAAGGCGGAGAATACCTATGGAAATCTTTGAGGTTGACAGTTACTGGTCTACAAAGGTAGAAGAAGCCACTTGTGGTCCTGTAAAACTTGAAAGCTTTATTGCAGCCCCCAGTTTTGAGAACTTCTTTGAGAATCGGAGGACGACAGCATTCGAGAAAATAGATCAGAGGACTTCAAAATACACTGACGAGGACAGCTTCTGGGCCACCATCCGCAGTGAGGTAAAACATCTGCAACAGAAAACCTGTGAGGTGTCAGACCTGATTCTCGAGGATTGCGACGATCAGGAGTTTTCCAAATTTGAGGATGATCAAAAGGCAAGTGAAACTTTGGGCGAGAAAAGCATTTGCACTGTCCCAGAGGACCACACCGAGCATACCCCCTTAATGCGAGAAGCTCACAAGGTCTCTGATAAAACTGAAAACAAATGGGGAAAGACTTGTGAGAGACATGATGACACTTTTTGGACCATCATGGAAGATGATGCTTTGCACACACACCTTCAGCAGGAAGCTCACAAGGTCTCCAGTCAAATAGCCTTGACATGGGACATTCACAGAAAGCACAAAAGCAAGACTGATCTTCAGACATGTGACAAACCTGATGAGAACATCATGGGAGATTCAGCTGTCAACATACACCTCAAGCAAAAAACGTACAAGGAAACTGATCAAACTGAGAAACAACAGGGCAGACACAAGAAAACCAAGTCCAGGACCAAGCTGCAGACTTGTGAAAAGCTGGATAAGGACAGTTTCTGTACCATAATGGAGGATGATGCCATGTACACACACCTGAAGCAGGAAGCTCATAAGGTTTCTGATCAGATTTCCTTGACGTGGGACATTCACAGAAGGAAAAACAGCAAGACCAAAC